CTGCCTTCCAAATGCGCACGGCAACGACCACGAAAATTTATAGGCCGCAGAGGTGATTTATGCACCAGCGAAAATATCACAACTCCGTAGGCTAGCTATAATAAACCGGACGCTCTCTCCCTGCGTGTGGGTCTTCTCTGCTGCACTGCGCATGATTGTGTGGAGCGCCGGAGGGAGGAGCTGAAAGATGAACATCAGGTAATAGCAAGGCGCGCCTCACGCTTATGCTCATTGTGTATGCTTGCGAGTAAGTGTGATGATCAGTGGTGTATATAATAAATTTCCATTATTATGTTTTCTTACAGGAATATTATGTTTGGTATATAACTTCAGCTTGTGTTTTTGCTGTTATTCAGCACCTCACTGCATTATACTACTGCCCAGCAAAGGTAATTGTGAATGATAGTAAAACTCAGCAGTCAATTTTACTCTGATACCGTTATACTGCAGTGTGTGTTGACCTACGAATATTATGCGCAGAGTGCCTATAGCTCTGGATACAGCTGCGGTTGGTGGGGCAAGAGCACCTGTTACTGGTATAGTTGCACTGGCAGTATTATGTATTCTATTCTCGTTCAGGTCTATCTAGATAGCTCATAAGCTTTACCAACCCATAAACTGTGTGTGATTCATCACATTGTAATATAGCACCAGGTTCACGTCACGTCTACGATATGGTACACACCTGGTGTATATACCATCAAGAAGTTGCTTGTTGCAGTGGATACCTCAGAGTTGAAGGAGAGTGCACACGTAAGTTTCATTTTTAACTTACTTGATCATTTTTATTAATTCCCGTGTCACTTGTAGTGACATGCCCCAACTGCCCCGAGTCCCACTCATGTTTAGCACCTTTCTTCTATGCCTGCCCAGAGAACTGGTCAGGTGGAGGGTGCACAGGTTATTATACTATCACATAATTATTATGTTGAAACTATTAATTTCTTGTCCAGAGCCTCCACAAAACGTGGCTCTGACAGCAACTGGGCCTCATACACTGCGGTTCAGTTGGTCACCACCTCCACGGTCTCGGGCAACCCTCTATGTTGTCATTTTCCAACGTGCAACCTATCACGTTAATCCATCGAGTGACCTGGTTATGGAACTGGGCTCCCTGAACTCATACACAAGCTACACCTGCTGTGTGGCTGCTAACACTGCATCTGGAGCGTCGAGAATAGCATGTGCTACACAGAGAACGTTAGAAACAGGTATAGCTACATAGCTACATCACAAACAGGAGTACTAGTATTACAAACCTGATTGTAGACTCTTCACGAGGCAGCTTTATGTGAACGGCACTGAGATACAATGTAATGCTGACCATACTCTGCAACATAGTTGTGGAAAAGGTTAAAATTGTTAAAAGGAATGTGTCCGTACATACGGGCTAAATTTAGAAATGTTACTAAGATTGATAGGGCCAAGTGCAAGAATGCAATTAAGTTTCTGTTTTAGTGTTAAATTAGCCCTTATATTGTACTGCCACATTGCCTTTAATCCCCCTGCAAACATTAATCTATGTTCAGCTCCTGGAGATGCACCGCACGCAATGTTATTCTGAGTACCTTGAACTCCACTGCCGTACACATCCAATGGGACCCTCCTCTTACTCCCAATGGTATCATCATTCACTATACGGTCTACATCAATGACATTCCACTTCGGAATGTCCATGGTACACAAAGTACCTCAGTGGGTGGATTCTCCACTGACCAAACTGTAATAGTTCGTGTCTCAGCTAGCACTACGGCTGGAGAAGGACCACTAATAGCTCCTCTGAGTGTCACCACTCACGAGACGGGTATATATATAATATTCGCCTGTATTGTACATTAACTTTTCCATGGTTTTTATACATGCACTTTAGTTCCAGGTCCAGTAGAAAATGTGAATGTGACTGTGGTAGATGTCAATACTCTCGATGTGTCGTGGGATCCTCCAACATACCCTAATGGAGACCTCACTGGATACCAAGTCTTGGTCATAAACCGTACAAAGACAACCTCCACTAAAGTTCCACCTCACTTGAACCAACTGATAATTGATAGAGGGATTAGTAAGTTCCACTCCACTCTCATCTCTACATCTTGTTCTGTTGTTGATGCTTAAAAGCTACGGAGCATGCTGACTAGTGGCAAACAAAATTCTTAACAATGGATGGAGTTAAAATGTAACTCCCTCTTCATTTTGATAAATTGTTTTTATCCACTTGTGGCAAAGCCTCAACAAAAACATTTTAGCTATAGCTCATGATGCTCTTTACTGAAAGACAATGCACCATATCCTGCTTGTTTTCTCTGACTGTATCACACCTGTCTCCGTCATTACATACCAGTTATGTATATTCCGCTTCTTTTATGCAAACATTTTCGATAGCTACAAGACAGATGTTGTAAGTTGATGTTCAAAGACAGAATAGCTTATGCCACTGATAACCGGACACCGATATAAACACAATTTAAGCATACTTAAGCACACCAGCTTCAAAAGGTACACAACTAGTAAGGGCATATAACAATGCATCAGCACACAGCCTCTCACAAATCTTTTTGGAGCCATGTTTTTTAATTGGACGAATAATTGAAGGTTAGTGGACAGCAACATTAGTAACACACACATAGGCTTGAGATCTAGTAGTAATTGGCGAGCGAAGCGAACCCACTTAGTCGTCTGAATGCAGGATTTTTCCTTATTGAAATTATATTATTATGTATGCAAAAATACCGTAATGTAACCAGTGGTTTCACAAATTAATTGCGGCATGGTGACAATTTTATAGGCGGAGCACTCCTAGCCCAGTCCTTTACATAGCTCCTTTCCTACTCCACAATGCAAGGGGCTCCTATTGCACATGAATTTAACTCAATTGCTGTCTAACTATATATACACATCGGATTTACTTTCGGACACTCTACCCCCCTCCGTACTTACACAAAATTAATGTGATTGTAATAATAGACCCTTACGAAAGACACATGGTTTTGGTGAAGGCCTCCTGTGGGGTTTGGAGACCCAGTTCAAGTAAGACTGTATTCACAGGAAGGAAGTAAGTTACTTCACTCTCTCAGTTCTATTTATGGGTCAGTCTCTCTTTCACATAGCTCCACAGAGCCCCCCTCCAAATGTTACTAGCACTAGGAAGTCACCCACCAATGCCAGTGTGGAGTGGGATGGGATAAGGTCGGAGGCTGGTGGACTATGAGATTGGGTATGGCAGTGTGATGATATCTGCCCACCAGCAGTGTCCTGCTAATGACTCCACCTACACTGAGACCCTGTCTGTGGATAGTGAAGGAGAGTATGAATTGACTGGTCTAGATCCAGGACTGCAATACTGTGTGAGGCTGGTTGGGAGGACCAGTGCTGGATTTGGGCCTTTCTCACACACCCTCATACCATGTACTTGTAGCTACATTGTATTTTGTCTAGAGATTTCATAACAGCTGAGTTGCCTTGGTAGCTCAGTTGGTAGAATGCTGATCCTAGAGAGTGTCGTGGGTTCGAATCCCACCTAGGGCAGCTGTTCTTTTTTCCTTGAAAAGAGCTATCCTGGGAGTAGCTGACTTGTTTGTTGTGCCTTTGCCTTTCTACCTCGTAGTTTACACATGCATCTAACCCTTCATAACAATAGGGTATGCCAACAGTATTTTCACAGTCACACTAGAAAAGGCAAACTGCAAAGAGTGGATTGTAAGTGAATTAAAAGCACCCTGTAGTTATTACACAATCTGCATTGGCCAACTGTGCAGGCAATCCTAAAGCCTACAAAGATCGTAGAAGACCTTGCACAAGATTTCAGCAGGGCATCGAACTCACATCCAACTGCACATTTCCCAGCACCTACATTGCAGACCGACAACTGACGTGTCGAAATCAGAACCAAATCCTATTCCGTGGAAGGATAATAAGCACCAGCAATAGAAACAGCACTGATCTCTTGGAAAACTTGGAAATATGGCTCTCACAAGAGCCTACAGTAACAACCTCAGGTGGAGAGCTCAAGGTAGTGATAGATGTCATTGGGGGTACAGTGGGAGCTAGGAGTCGTTCTTCTAGTTTTACTGGTAGTTGTTGTCATAGGAACGGTAGTGGTATGCCACAAGCAAAGGTGAGATAAATTATTGGAAATATATAATGGTTTTTTTTTTTTTATGGAGATGCCCTTTACTGGTCTATTACAGAAACTGCAGAACGGAGCGCTTTGCAGGAGAAACAACCACCGTGAGTGATCGATATACCTCATCTTCTGAACTTGATCATGAAAAGTCCCATTCCAAGTCATCTCCAATCCTACAAGTATCGCGGCGGCAGAATGCACCACCTGATTATAAAGCACCTGTCCCCGATATTGAAAATGTTGAGTACGAGGATCCCGATAAAGTTATGGGGTCCACAGTTAGAGGTGGCTTGACACGTAATGTGGCCTATGAGATAAGGGCGCCAGGAGCATGGATCCGAGACAGAGTAGTAGGAACCAAAGGGGTTTACTCTTATTCCTGATGATGATGATGATGATGATGATGATGATGATGGTACTGATGACAATGACATGTGCATAAGATAAGTATACTACTGTTCATTAAAAATATATAGTAACTTTTTACTACCATTAGTCGAGTGGAGCAATGAATTGATATTATTATGTGCATAATGATAAAGAGTGTTATAATGTTGATGTATGAGTATCGCCATTTTTGCTGTGCAACGTCAAGGCCTTCGGTTTTAGCTCACAGCCTTTCTGGTCAGTATAATGATAGTCTAAGAGTTAATAAGTTAAGGTGGCATTATCTCCAGCAGTTTTTACCACACCTAGAGGCACAAAAATTCATACCCCCTGCAAAAACCCTGTATGCTGTTTGCATTATAGCTTGTTGTGTTGTGTGCCTGAAATGTTGTATAATGATTAGCATGTCATCCAGCCGCTAACAATGTGAGTGCTGAAAGTGATACCAGTATGCAGTAAAGTCAATGGCGTTCATGATATGCTACAAATCTTGAATCTCGGTCTGGTTGGCGGTGCTGTGTTTGACGTCTGCTGTCGCTGGGCAGGTTGGGCAGGGTGATGTTTCAGACACCTTTGGGTCAGAATCTACGACAGTCAGCTCTGGAAAGAGTAATAGGCAGATAATGCGATGAAAAGACAGGTCTGAATATTTGTCTAGGGAAGCTCTTCTTTTCCCCTTGAAAAAGGAGCTGTCCTGGGTATAGTTGACTTGCGTGTTGTGCCTTTGCCAACCTCGTATATAGTTCACATGTGTATAGATATGTACCTGGGTTATCAGCAAGATTCTGCCACTCGTGGCGGTTCTTCTTGACTCCTTCTAGCAAAGGAACCAGGCCTTGCACTAGATTAGCCAGTGGCTGGGGACAAAGGGATTAATCTGTAGGTGTAGGTGTGTGAACCTGATACCTCATAGAGGGGCAAGCAGATGAAGTCGATGAACCCCACTTGCATCTTGGGCAGTTCGTGCTTTTTCTTCCTGTCCATCATGGCCTGCATCAACACACTGAGAGCTAGACCAACTGCACAAACATTGTAGCTATATATACCAAGTACCGATCACAAATGGAACAAAGCAATTGCAATTGAAAAGCTTTTACAAAGAAAAAACATTGCTCTCTAGGAGACATGTCTTCATACTAAGCTATCAAGGCAGCAGCACACCAGTGGTCTGATTCGACTACTTCTGTGATGAATTTTTGGCTAGCGAACGCGAGAGTCACATGCACATGCGGCACACAAGATTTCAAATTCCGTTGCGAATATTTTGAAATGTGTAATGTGTCACAGAGCCTAATGGTGGGAATGCCATACTCGGATTACTAAGTAGGCTTGCCAACAAAGTGCGAAGACAATTAACTCTCAGAGAGCTGGGTAAACACTGGTTGCCACACAGGGTGATCACTGACCATGGGCTCACTATCGAGCTGCTCTCTTTCCCTGTCACCTTGCTCAAAGAACTCGTGGGCCACCGTCACTGCCACTCTCTTCTGAACACTCCACGGCTTTGTGATGGCTGCCACGTCACACGCTGTCATTAGCATACCCCTACACATTTTTGCAGATCATACAAGTATATAGAAGTATGTTACACTTCATTGCACTTATACATATGGGGCAACTACACATGGGGCAACTTCAGTACAAGTACATGTTGGGGGTTTCAGCGGGAGCATGCTGCTGTATATAACAGACCATCATGCTTCCGCATTGGACACAGCAGTATAGTCTACAGATTTGCGAGTGTGGCTTATGAGATAATGGCGCCAGGAGCAGGGATCCGAGACAGAGTAGTAGGAACCAAAGGGGTTTACTCTTATTCCTGATGATGATGATGATGATGGTACTGATGACGATGACATGTGTGTAAGTACTAAAGTAAATGTTTACTACCATTAGTCGAATGGAGCAATGAAAATGTGTTTGTATCGCCTCATTGTTAGGAGTTCTCGAGTGTGGAGATGAAGGGGGGGGCAGTTACATTGTTTCACTTACCAAACTTTATATGCTGTGCCTGACACGAAAACAGAAAAATAACTAATTTCTCATGGCTGAAGTTTGTTCTCAGATTTCGAGCACTATACAATTGTACTGTTGATCCAGTGTGCATGGATAAGGCAAGGCCATGAACATTCATTTTCACCCACTTGGAACGGAAATATATCCAACGAAATACACCTAGTACTATTTGTCAGCACAAATCATAACTAACCTGAGTAGGTCCCTGTGGTTCTCTGATGTCCAGTCAAACTCTGAGTTGTTCACCAGTTCTTTAAACCGACCTTTCTTTCTACGTAACCCAACAGAAACACAGTGCAACACGCACGCTATGGTTTATGGTACATACACACTCACTGGAAGTAGAGGGCCAGGTCAGTGGAGAGTATTGCACTCTCGAGGATTGCCATCACCTCTGAGTGCTGGGCTGTTGTCAGCTGCCCCAGTATCTCATTACCCTGTAAACCAACAGGGCCCACTTAGTGCATAGCAGTATATACAGTATGGCATGGATCATTGGTGAGATTTTAGGATTAAGTCCATAAGAAAACTATGAAACTAAAAATGCTCTCATAAATGCACATGGACCTTATGTAAAGCCGAGAAAGCTCAGGTCATACAACAATCCACTCACTCTATAGTGTGATCAAAGCTTTGCATTACACGCACTACACCATTGGAGCCTCAATAACATGCACAACTGACATCGCTGTTGAGGATCATGAGGGAGTGGTCGAAGTGGTGGTGCTCCATGGTGGATGTGGAGTAGAGCTCAGCCAGTACACTCCCCATCCTTTCCCACCACACACACATGGAAAGAAAGAAAAGGAAGGACAATTGACTGTGACATACAACGCATCCTATTAATTTTGTGTCATTTTTGGCAAGAACACAGAGGACGAAATTTCAGCTGATATTATGCTAAGTACGTAGAGCATGACTGCATTCAGTACAGCGGCCAATGAAATTATAATGCAATTCTATGCTAGCCAATATCTATGGTAGATGATAGGCCACACTCACTCTAAGGCAACTTCTCCTACTTAGCTAATAGATTAAGGAGAGTGGGAGTGGGTTTACTTGGATTGGAAGGCGTTGTTAGTTCCACGGTGATCCAGGTCGTGGCAGAAACAGCCTATCAATAGTGCCAGTCTCTCCAGGTCTGTCAGTTTCTCATTCATCTTACCACTCTGTGTGTACATATATACGTGTATACAACTGATGCAGTTCTAGAATATTACGTGCTACAGCATGCGACATTAGCTATATCAGGTACTCTATACCATACTTAGTGATATTTTACCATCCCTTGCTTGCTAGCTGATATACGATACTTTTTTCACGATGCCGAACATTGTTTGTTAAACGGGTCAGTTGGTAGCTACACTCACCATAAAGATGGTGTACATGGACTGGGCGACGTTGAAGGCATGTCTCCAGTTGTGGTAAGTGACAGGGCGATAGTTCTTTTTGACTGTGAGCACCCACCGATAGAGAATCTAGCACCACAGGAAAATTGAGAGATAGATGTAAATAGCTAACAGTCACATAAAGTGTAGCTATTATGCCCATTTTGTAACTTCAACTCCACAGAAACAAGTTATTATGATAGTATGCGTAAGTAATGTAGCACGTACACACTGGCATGGATAGTTTTATGAAAGTATGAATGTATATAGTTGTTGTCCACAGATCACCGGACCTTGTCATCAATTCTGAAGGTGGAGGCCAATCCACCGTCTTTGAACATCCTGACGGAGGCCAGCACCGTCTGGTCGTCACTCAGGGGGTGGTCGTCAAATTCGAAGGTGTGCAGGTCGGAAAACACCGAATCAGGAGCTTGCACTTGCTGGAGGTACAGTATAACACATACAGCCTCTGAATAAGGGGCACCTTGGGACTTAAAAGTGTGCTTTATTCAATGAGTTTATTTGGAGGAATACGCTAATTATGGGGCAGAAATGTCTCTTTATAAAGAGGTGTCCTTTATTAAGAGTATTTTTTCAGAGCATTTCAGTGTAAGTTAATTCTACAACTTAGGAGCCATACAGTTCATTCAATAACCAGCAAATGTGGGTAAAACTTATGCTTAACCAAACTCCTCACCATGACTCTCTCAGCTTCTTCAATAGTGGAAGAAGCGTGAAAAGACAGCACCTCCAGAGCCACTTTTTGGCGGGCGTGGGCCTTCAGAATCTTCTCGTAGTTCATCACACTGTGCATAGCCAGTCCACAGAACACTGCAAAAATCTTGGAGACAGCATGTGATATGCAAGATACATTAACCAAGACAAACATGCACACACCCTGAGTGAGAGTATACTATGGCACAGTGGTTTGAGGTTTGCATTGTGTTGTGTTGTGTTGTAGATTCGAACCCCTACCAGCTGAGTTGCCCTGGTAGCTCAGTTGGTAGAGCGCTCGCCTAGACTGCAGAGTGTCGTGGGTTCGAATCCCACCTACAGGGCAGCTCTTCTTCTTTTCGTTGAAAGGAAAGAGCTGTCCTGGGTGTCGTTGATTTGTTTGCCTTTCCTTGTATTTCTACCTCGTCACCAAGTTGTTGAGACATGCACACACATCATCCCTTGTTGCATGGGATTAACAATTCCTTCAAACATATACAGCCAGAACTAACATGCTACTCACAGTCATATTATACAGATTGTGCCTACGTACCTGAAATACCTCTTGGTCGCTGTTCCCAAACAATGTCCTGTTTAGCTTGTTCGTAAGCTTCACAACACCTATAAGTAAAGAGGATAATTGGTGCCATGACCACCATCAAAAAGATACAAAATCAGGGATAGAGAGAGCAATGGGAGTGTTTTCACGCACTCTAGAAAGTTTAAGCCTCAATTTACTGGTTATATAACTTCGTGTCCTTCTCACTTTTTGAACCACCAACATATCTCTGATATTTTTAACTTACAAGAAGAGGAGAAAAAGATTAGAACTTACCAATGGTTGTGTGTTCTTTGTTGAAAATGGGCATACAGAGAATGTTTTTTGCTTCCTAAAATATGTGGAATTTAATGCACACCATTATTAACTGCTTCCACTGTGTGTGAGTAAATAATGGACTTACGTGGCCGACAGTCACTTGCCCGTGTGCTGCTGCACTGTTGTGTTTCACGGACTAAGATAGCATCAGAGCATTGTGAGAGTACGATGCTGCTACTCAACTAACCTTGCCAGTGGAAGCAACTTCTTTCACCAGATCAGCATCTGAAACACTTCCAATCTCAATACTCCTATAAAATTGGAGAGATAGAACTTCCACTACAGTTGATACATCGTAAACTTACTTGACTTCATCACTGTATCCTTCTATTCCAAAGGCATGTGTGAAGACCACCTCCTAATAAATTATACAGCACGCAATTTCAGTGAACGTAGAAAACCAGACACTACAACTGCCGCATGTTATACAAACCTCAGTTTTTTCCTGGTCAATGACAATGACAGTGCAGTGTTCGCAGGGAATCAGGCACTGTGCCTCCTTCATCACTTTACTCATCATGGCGTCTATACTAGCCGTCTCTTCAAACAGACCCCTGGCCAGATCCAGCAGTACCTAGTGTCCAACACAATATACATAGAAATGAGATAGAGGGTGAGGGGAGGCCAAGACTAGGTTCAAAAACACGTCACATTACCCCGTCGTGCCGTGCTGTGCTGCGAAGATAGAAATGGATTTTATCCTCGCGACACAGCAACAGGGCAATGTGACGTATTGCCTAAGACTGTTGCTCTATAGGTTTCAACCTTGAGTCTGCGGGAGAGGAAGAACGTTTGATCCAAGAGTTGAGCGTTGAGCAGACCAATGGCACAGAATGTCATGAACATTTTAAACTCCTGGAGTCATGAAGAAGAAAACAGTTGCACAAAATACACTTGTCATGCACATAATAGAAGATTCGCGAGCATCATAATGTACATGTACCTGCTCGTCTTGTTTGTTGAATGCTCCTCCATCCTTCTTGTTGATCACCTGTGCAACTCCTATTACCTGTTAAAGGATACTGTACCTATGATGATTGCGACTTGACCACGTCCTTTTAGTCTTAGCATGCATATTATATTGTTGCACTACTTTCCAGGTGCTGGTTATAACTGGCTGGAGGGAGAATGCCTTGCAGGTACATGTTGTGAAAAGTGGTGATGTGTGCTGGGGCAATCTGGGTGTGCAAACTACTGAGGAACTCGCCAAGGGTAAGTTGTTGGAAAAGAACAGTAACTAGATGATTTCTCCTACAAGTGACGTGCTGTAGTAGCAGCATACCTGGCAACTGGGTGCTAGTATTGGCATGCAAAGGATAGACTTTGTCTTGTAGCCAGTTAGCTTGTCCACCTGCTTGTTGAACCGTGGGTCCTGCAGAGACAAAGGTAGTGTCCATGTCATACTTTTTCCTGCTGCTCTGCAGTATAGCTATTCAAAACATAATGTTTGTTACTGTATTTTACTGGTGCTACTGTAAAACATACATTGTAGGCATCCGGGATGTTGATGGGCTCTTTGGCCTCAGCAACATGACCAGCAATTCCCTTCCCAAAGGGGATCTTGATGGCATCTGAGTCTTCGTGCAAGGCATCTTCCATGGAGCTATCAACTGTGACATCAAACAAGCGAGACACCAAGAGACTCTGGGCCTCATCGGTGAGGAAGAGGGAGGAGCGGTCGGCATTCACGAGGAGCATGACGCTGACAAGGATCTTGTGACTCAGGACGTCAATGTCGAAATTGGGAGACACAACGTCGTGAAGGAGCTCCATGAATAGCTCGTTCTTGTCCATCTTTCCGGCTTCTTTTCGCTGCAGTTTGTTTTTGTTTGGGAGTGGCACCAGGTGCTTGCACACTCTCTGGGCCTCTCGGTCGACGTCGAGTGAGGCCAGCGAGCTCCTGCAGCTGCTTCCTCCTGGGCCCCTTTCCTGGACATTTATACGCTGAAAAAGAGTCTTTGCGCGAGAGGGATGGTCCAGTAGCCACCGTCCGACGACACCGACTGCACCTTCCTCGTTTTCCTGTAGCCACTTCTCCACGTACTGCCGCGCGTCCGCCTGCGACGACGCCATTTTCAGTTGCGGCTCAGAAGACGTTCAACCACACCGAACCACTCGCAAAGGACTGCGCGTCATCAATAGATCATTGATGCAGTATTAGCTACTGTCAAAGTTCCCTCGATGGTTCCTGCAAAATTTCGGCTCCTCAGACGCGATGAGCGTTTGTTGCCATGCCAGGGGCCTATTGCGCATGCGCTAAGTTTCCCGCGCTTTGCTCTAGCGAGTTCCAGCAAGATGAACAAAACTTCCTGCAATAGCTCTGATACATGCTAGGTAGTAGCCTAGCCTGTATGCTGAGTACTGCCATACTTGGCTAGTGATATAATAATCTAGCCAATACTAAGGACCCTCAATGAAGGCCCCCATAAGGGAAACTTGCCTTCTGCCCCACACTAATACATTAGTGTATTATACTACCTTAGAATAAAGGACGCCTCTGATGTTTCTCAACAGAGATAATTTTACCCTCTAAGAAATGTTTTTCAAGCTGTGCACTTTCACTAGCATACATAATATTTATCCGGCTATATGCCACGAATAAATAATTACAACACAATATGAAGAGAGTGAATGGCTAATGGTAACAATGGAGATTAGTCTCATTTTCCACTCTATCTCTAAATCCTCCGGTAATGGCCGGACTGTTCTCCAGCCACTGACACTCATCGTCGTCGTCCACAACCGGGGTGGGGTAGTAGGCACTTAGTCCGTCGTTGATGGTGCGCTGCATGAGGTGTATCAGCTGGTCCGGCTCCCTCACTTTCATCTGGACACAGTAGTGGCGGAGTCGTGGCATGGAGGACTCTGGGGTACACGTGTCGTTGAGTAGGTGGAACTGGTCGCTGGCAATCACACTCGAAGTGTTACTGACCAGGTGGTTCAACTGCAGAGAGATGAAGTGTGGTTTCATAGCTCCACAACAGAAAAAGAAGCAACAGGGAAAAATTCAGCAGAAGCAGTGACTGCTTTAATGAAAACTGGTCCAACAGGTTCAAAGAGGCCTTAGGCTTGAAAGTTAACAGCAGTAGCTATATAACAGTGGCTCTTATAACACAAACAAAACATTGAAAGAGCTAGTACAGTGGAACCTCATTAATACGAACACTGTTAAAGTGAAATACCTGCTTAATACGAACCACTTTGAGGCATTAATAACACCAATACAAATAGCTACTCTTATAATGAAATTCCTTTTGAATATGAACATTTTTGATGGTCCCCTTGACTTCATATTAACGAGGTTCGACTGTATATACTCACCCAGATACATGAGTCGACTATGTTCTGTGTGAAGAGGAGGTAGAGGTCGCTGCCACGAGTGTCCACTCTAGAGATGAGGTCATAGATGGAGAGTAGTTCACACACACCCTCCAGCACAGACTCCAGGTGCTCCAACTCCGAGGACGAGTTGCTCTTGTTGACCGACACCAGAGGCTCCTCTTCAAACGCCACTACTTGCTGCACATGTGAATTGAATATCCAATAAGTTAGTACACATTTCATCGTCTCTTGAGTGAAAAGTATAGTACATTAGCACGGTGTGCCGAAAATGAGAAACATGTCATATGCGCATAGCTACTACTAAGCACAGATAAGGACAACAATTCAAGCCAATACTGATAGTTAACACTGCATTTAATTGTTGTGCCAAATCTTCATGAAAAAACCTGAGACCACTCTCTAAAATTGCCGATAACACCAAAAAAAGTAGCTAGGTACATTACAGCCACACAGTGTGCATAATGGCAATTAGAAAACTGTTGCTAGAAACTGACCTGCTTGTAGAATACATATTTGCTGGCAGTCTTTGCCCCAGCCACCATTCTCCAGACTGGGTCGTTGGCGTTGCTACCCACTTCCCTCCTCACTGGAGCAGATTCGATCGGTCCAATGACAAGACTTCCAGCCAGCAGCCCCAGAACAAGTGCCAGAGGAAGAGCTCCACTTGAAGAAATGTAGGTTGTTGATATTCCCATGATCTTTGAGTATATACACTGCTGTAGTTGATCTATATCCTTATGGCTGACTTGACTGAACTTAAGCTTTTTTCTCCTTGATTTTTGACTGAGTAAGACTTTCCAAGCTGACTTGTGGAAGACTCAGCTGTCATGCTGCTTTTTATAGGAGCTTCCAGATGCAATTGTTATTAGCTACGCACGCACGAGTTGTTTCTACAGAAATGGACCAACAGCTGCTGGAATCGACCCATGGGGAGTGAAACTGGGGGGCATTACAGCATCACAATTATGTTGTGCTTCACGTTGTAATGCTACAGGGTTAATAGGGTATCTTTTGATTCTTGTTCTGTATGCCAAGGTGACCAATTGTATTTGGGGAAAAACCATGTTAGAGGATATGTACGCAACAGATTTCTCCAAAACAGTAGTGTCCCGAGAACTTAGCCAACACCACTAATAAAAGATCGTTAAACTTTTGGATACCATGGATACCTGCTTAAATAAGCGTAAATTGATGTATAAATATATAGTAGCGCCTAGTATTATAACCTCTATATAAATTCTTGTAGATTTGTGGAGGCTCTAGACACATTTATGTGTCTGTGGTTGGTTAAGTGTTAATACCAATTCCCCATGCATGGAAACAGACACAAATCATGGCTTTGTTGAAGTTCCGTAAGCAATTGCGTTTGCACAAAAATCTCAGAGGATGTACACAGCCAATGGTGGTGGGCCCTGTAGCTACCACCACTAATAAATAACAGGTGGTTAGTGTAGTTTCCAGTAGCAAATTCCATCATCAAACATGGGAATGGGGACTGATCTTGGCCACCTTGAAGTTCGGCAGGTTCAAGTAAATCCTTTCAACATTGACATAGTTTCAATCTCAGTTGCAAGAGGAAGTGTGTGTGTATCAATTAGCGCTGTATGCAGTGGAGTGCTGCTGCCAAGCCTGTGCCGGTGTTGGCACAGTCTCTGCGTACATTAGCCTCTATATAACATACTTCAGTCCCATCATTGTGAAATTATCCCTATCATTGGCATAGCCAAAGAGCCGTAACAGGTTGCTGTGGGGAATGCGATTGTTGATACCATGTGCCTAATTGTAAGCACTGCGGCTCTTTGATTTTTCAGTGATTGGATGCTTCGAATGGGAGATCCCTGGACACAAGGGACAGACTCCTTCCTGTGCCCTCTGCAGTACGGGGAACTTTGGTGTGAGAGGGGGAAATGTAAATGGCTCTCTGGCATGTCCATTTTGTGTGGGGGGTCAATATAACGGACCACATTCAGAATGTTCAAAAACATGCCTGATTTTGTTAGAGCTGTAGCTGCAGTGCTTGTTACGCACTGTTTACATGTGTTGGGTTATTGGGTAAGCTACCAGACGCCACACCACACTCAACAGCAGCCCAACTGTGCTAGAGTATATCAGTACTACGTATGTAGCTATGCCTGTGTACAGAGGGAGTGGCGTGTGCCCACTTGAGAGACTACGTCACTACCGAAACAAAGCAGCAAGGGACTGGTGCATTTTGTTGCAAGGAGCAAGTGGGACTCTCCGGTACATATCAAATGCGGGTTTTTTCTTACTGCTCCCTTGGCACTATCGAAACTCGATTCCCCGTATTATGATTCTTCGACATGTTAGCTATAAAGCAGGGAAAATATTTCTCTGTTCCCAGTGACATCATGTGGTAGTAACGCAGAGTCGACCAGCGCCCAATGATTCTCCGATACACTTTGCCCAAACCAACTCTTGTTATTGAGCCCTGCCCTATGCTCCATCTCATAGGCATGACACTACGTCATGCCGTGTTATGCTGCACCTGTGTTTACTTGCCGGCCCCTCGGCGTCAACCAGCAGCTGGGAGGATCCCATATTTTTCCATGTAAAGTGGTACAAAGCTCGTGCAATTCTTTCTCATTGTTGTCACCTTGACTGCAGGACACTGCCAACCACAGTGGCTGTATCACTATAGTAATAATATGTAAGGAATCATGGCAGTCCACCTAACAGGTGTTGCCTTGTTAATTAACATATGGTGTAATCGATACCTCCACACTGCAGTTCCTTTGATCAGAGCTTCTCTCAAAGGAAAGCAGTTAGATACCGACCTATTGCTCATGCAAGCATCTCCAGGCAACTTCAACTATCACCGTGCATTCATCTTTCCTGCTTCCCAAATGAGCTCAGCCATTGTGTGAACTCAGCAACTGGCATGCAGATCGAGTCATATGCATCATATCTAAGTGACAGCTGCCTGTGTGTGACACAGAGAGACATTCAGACGACACACACTGTCTGTATAGGGCCATGGAAAGTGTGTAGGAAACATTTGTAGTCGGAATAAACCAATCAACCACAGCTTACTGATCTGAGATGAGAACGAGGAAGGAATAGATGGCCATCTCCATGACATTGTTATGAGTGATACACCGATAAGGTAAAAATGTTATTCCAGTATTGATGCCCAACAAAAAAATGTAATCTTTGTAGCCAGGGCTCATTATTGAATACTTAGGAAGTGTCTAGTTTAACCATACCGTGGTCACTTCCTACCCACAAGCATGTTCATAACTACTGTCCACCCACCTTCTGCAAAGTGTATATCATCATAGTAGTCGCTATGCTTTTGTGCTTGTTTATTACATACTCCCTTAGGAATCAACATCTGCTGCCGCAAAAATGCCAAATAAGTCCTCACCGGACGTGGACTATAAAAACGCACAAACGCACTGCACTTCATTCAAACCCCCCTAGAGAAGAGACGCACACACGACCTCACCTGAAGAGATAGCTAAAGCTCGGACCAGCTGAAGATGTTCAAGATACGGATCTCTCCAGGACTGCTTTGCTGTCTGCTGTTCAGACTGGTGTGGGGACACAGCTGCCCAAACAGCTCCATACCACAGTCAGAAGCCAGTAATACGTCTGACCCACGATGGAGAGTCCTCTCTGGACTTGATGCAACTGCAATATACACCCTCTACTCAGTGAGTCAGTACACTATCATGTCTCCCCAAACCTTGGCATCCACTTCTTGTAGCTACTTCCTTCATTAATAGATACTTAAAGCTACATATTGCATTCACTCTGTGCAGCTACAACACTGCTCTGTCTATCTTGTTTTTTGTTTTGTTCTGACAATGCAATGCAGCAATACAGAGAAATGGCTGAGCCCCCACTCGTCAACACCACAAACTACCAGGGAGCTGGAGATGGCGCTAGTGCGGACGAGGACCTGGACTCAGTGATAGACTCAGTGTGCAAACTGGTCTCCTTGTACGAGTTGGTCTCCAGCACCAACAGCGGGAACAACCTGCACATCGTCCTCTCAGCTAATTTGGAGGACTCCTGCAATTGGGTGAGTCATCAAAACTACATTATTATGCAACTGAAATTACACGAGCTAACCATTTAGCTGCACCACCTGATCAGCAGTCGTCTGCACGTGTCAGCAAGCGCCGAGTACCAGGCCCTCTCTGCGTCCTGCAGTCCAGACGGCACTACTCGCCTCCACCACTACTGCCTGGAGCGGAAGATCAGGACCGAAACACTGCGACTCCTCGTGCACCGGACGCTCTTGGATTCGTTGCACACGTACTACGCGGAGCACCCGGTGCTAGCTACGCAACCCAGGGACTGGCTGCGCTCTACGTCGATTCCTGCCGAACAACAGAGCCGCATCTTGGACATTATTTAGCTAATTTAAAAATTCAAATATTCTGTTATCATGTCAGCTATATTATCATTGCCTCTGAGTCATCAAATTGGTATTTTCGATGTACTAATACCCCAGGCAGTCTGGTACCTAACTTGAAACCTCAGTCTCATGTTGTAGCAAATACCGGTAGGCATTATAATATTACGCTTCAAAAAGACTGAGTCAAAAAGTACAACAATTGAAAACCATAACAGGTTCCGATCATTGCTCTGTGAGCACCTTGTCTTCAAAGAAACGCCAGCGTGCCTTCTCAGCACTGGGAATAGTATGGTATCAAAGTTTGCCGAGAGCTTGATCAGCTTTACTACACCTTTGTCAGCAGGTACAAAGTCATCAAAAAGATCCGTGATCACGTCTTTTCTCAGCACTAGTCAGCAAGTGTTGCAGTATAAAAGTCTTGAGTATTTCACTGATAGCATTCTGCAAACTCTTTTGCCTTCTCAACCATGAACTGCCGGGGACTGCTAGCACTGAGTACCATCATCTTGATGTACCGCTCAGTCGAGGGTACTGCTGAACCAAGAGGACAAGACTGTGCTGAGGTCTTCCAGGCTCAACTGAGGAGGCTTTTGGCCCTCAGAAAGACCTGCAACTCTGCTGGTTTCAACGATTGTTGCCAGGTATACTACATACTGCATTAATACCTCTTTCCAGACTCTGGTTCGGTTGTATCTTAGATAAAACAGCTGATGCCTAATGCAACAACAAAAGTCTACAAGATGGCGGACTTGCTGTCAGTAGCCAAGTCACCATTTCGATCTCCCTCCACGGTTGCTGCTCGCTGTGACATGGACACTGACAGTGGAGGATGGATTGTCATCCAGCGAAGAGTGGCCAATGGAACGGTCAATTTCACTCGGGGTTGGTGCGATTATCAGAATGGATTTGGAGATCTTGAGGGAGAGTTTTGGTACGGACTCAGCAACATCCACTACCTCACTTCGCAGGAGAACGTAGAGCTGAGGATCGACATGATCATGGAGGACGATGGGTCTCACCTCTCTTGGACCTACCAGACCTTCCGTGTGGCTGGAGCCTCAGACAACTACACGCTCACCATTGGAGGCGGCCAAGGACCTGGACGAGATGCAATGGCCTACCAGAACCAACAACAATTTTCCACCTATGACAACGACAATGATAATTACGAGTACGCTTGCGGGTACACCCACCAGGGAGGATGGTGGTACAACGCGTGCTACCTGGCTAATCTCAATGGACCCCACATCACTCCAACCTACCCCGGGGTTAACCAGAGGTTCGCAAGGCTCATCTGGAATGATGGGACCTACAGAGACGTGGCCAGTGTGGAGATGAAGATTCGAGCAAAGCAGTGCACCATCACAACGGATGATCCCTCCTGCTAGCTGTTTCTTCAGCAACATTTTGTAGCGTAGTGTAGTGTGTTGACAGTGTAGTAGCTAGATGATGTACGATTGTACCAGTCGTCGATAATATTGCACGCATGCGCACAAGAGATAGCTACGAGGATATAATGGGTGGGGCTGGTTTTGCACTGTACTGTAGCGTCGGTGAATGATTTTGCAAGAAATGATCCCTCTCGCTACCTTTTCGACTTTCCTCTGTATTCTACACCTGAGCGGAGTCAAAGCGCAAGGTATGCTTATAGATCCATATCTAGCCTGATGTATGCAGCCATAATTATACGCAGCCGACAACGCTGCGTCCGAGTTTTTCCTGGCGTACAGCAAAAACCACCGCTTCGGCTACTACGACACTCTATCACTCGTCATCAGTACCGCCGAAAGCGAGCCCGTTGGGTACGAGGTGTACTCTCCCTACGGATACTATACGAGCGGCACCGTGTATCCCTCGTCTTACGCTTACCTCTACCCCTACTCGTCTCTAACGGTCAACTCGGACACCGAGAGGAATAAAGGGATACGGGTGAGAGCTACTGACCCCAGCAAGACCCTCGTTGTCAGTGGAATGAACTATGAAAGTTATACGGTCGACAGCTTTCTAGCTCTACCAACTGGTCCAGTCAGGGAAGAGTACACCTATATCTCCAACTCTATGCTGTGGACCAATAGAACAGGAGATACCTTCCCTTCACTGATACTAATAGTCGGCACCCAAGACAACACAGTTCTAACAATAACTCCCACAGAGTATGTCGTCATTCCCTATGATCTGAGAGACCCGAACAGACCCCCAATACTTTGTACATCCCGGACAATCATACACCGTCACGCTGAATGCACTGGAAACCTATCAGATAGAGAGCAATCTTGACCTAACTGGCTCCAGGATCGTGTCCAACAAACCACTCTCGGTGTTTGCAGGTCACGAGTGTACAGACGTCCCTGGGGCAGTGGCTTATTGTGACCACCTCTTTGAGCAGGTCCCACCGACCAATACTTGGGGGAGGTTCTTCTTTCTCGTGCCGTCTGAATCTTCCTATCGAACTTCTCCAGAGTGGTACAGAATAGTTTCCTCCAAGCCGTCTACAACCGTCTCAATCACATGTTTTTCACTGGAGGACTCCCTGCATTCATTCTCCTACCACGCCTACATCGGACCAGTGGGTGGCTTTGAGCAGTTTCAAATGGAGCGAGACAACTACTGCTACGTATCAGCAGACAAACCAGCGCTAGTCATGCAGTATGCATACGGCGGCTCAGTTAACAATGGACACGGGGATCCCTTCATGATGATGATATTACCCAACGAACAATACGTCACCAATGCCACCATCCAGTTCTATGCGTTTTCCGGTTTCATCAGTGACATAACGATTGTGGTGCTACAGCAAACGTCTCCCTCCAATAGTGTATTACTGGACAGTGTTCCCTTAGTCTCTGACTGGGTGCCACTCTACTGCGCCGAGGGTGAACTGTGTGGCTACACACTCCGCTGGGAGATTAACAACGGGTTTCACTCTCTGAGACACACCAGCAACCTTGTACCAGTGGCAGTGTATGTGTACGGGTTTGGATCCTATCAAGGATATGGCCACCCTGCTGCAATGGCACTCAAAAGTTAGCCCATAACATGCATCTGCTATTCATAATATCCCTGGTATCTACTAATGAAATTCTCCCATACTAAGCTACGTGTATATACCACATTCATTGCCTAGATATTTACTTAGCTGGTTCCATTGATTATATTGATTGACCAACACCTCTAAAGATGAATCATCTCTGAAAGCATGCAGTGTCATTTTTAGCACCAACCTACCCAACCTTTTACCATTAGCTACAGTAATGATTATAGCAGTGAACTTCTTGTTCCTACATATCCTCTTTGTAATCTGCTACTATGTTGTTGGTGCTCCAGACCTGGAGGTGTTGGAGTGCAGTGATGGAGGAGTGAGACTGGCGGACGGAGACACGTCCACAGAGGGGAGGGTGGAGGTGTGCCAGGGGGGAGTCTGGGGAACCATCTGCAACGACCACTGGTCACAGGCTGATACTGACGTTGTCTGCGGAGAACTGGGGCTTCTATCATCTGGTAAATGTGCTGTGCATACTTGGTTGTGTATACTAAAGACGAAGAAGTCCAGTGGAACCTCCAAAACACACAGTCTCAAACTAAAATTTCTTATTTGTTTTATATAAGGGCATCTTTAAAGAACACTGGGTGTCTAGGTGTCCCTTATTAAGAACTTTCACTGTAGCCCTGCCTGTCTGAAGAGCTTGAAACAGGTTATGCCCATCTCACTATAATAATTATACTCTACCTACACAGGAGAGTTTCTTTAGTTGATCCTTTCGTTATCCAGGTGTAACGGACCGGTTCTATGGAGAGGGGGAGGGTCCAATACTGCTGGATAATGTGGAGTGTCTAGGAGTGGAGTCCACGGTCCTGGAGTGTCTCTATGACACCCATACCTCTGACTGCTATCACAGTCAGGATGCTGGAGCCGTCTGCCTCCCTTGTGAGTTGTAGGAGTAGATACCCTTTCAGTCAACAGAGCTGACCCTATTATGATCGGGTCGTATAACTTATGTGATTGTAGTCAATAGCTCAATCCAGTAGAGATTAACTATCTATGACTAGTTCACATACATTAGCTAATGTACTGTACCAAATTCAATAGGGTTGGTTGTCCCCCACACTTGCTCATGTAGAATACATCACCTTCAAACCTGCACAAGATTTCACAGGCTATAGTACACTTCCATGCCTACATCATACAGATCACATAGGGTTAGATATTGATAGCTGTGACACTGTAGCCACACTATAAACCTGGGTGTTTTCCAGATCCAGAGCCAGTAGTTGAGTTGCAGCAGAGTCCACCAAACATGACCCAATACTTTGCCGGCTACGACCTCACCCTCTCCTGCCTTGTGTCAGTCAGTCCAGAGGTGGTGGGTCGAGTTAGCGTGATTGCCACGTGGTCCAAGGATGACAGGGAGTACAGTAACAACTGGGACTCACGTATTTCCGTGTCTCCTGCTGCACTTACGAGTGAAGGAGTGTATGAAACTAGTCTGGCTTTTTCTCCACTGGATTCTAGAGACACAGGCACCTATCAATGTATGGCTGTCCTCACTAGCTACACAGGAGTACATCTTGCCAATGCTACGGTCACCACCTCACTAACAGTAGAAGGTAAGCCAAATTATTGCACTTACTACAATTGGTGGGCGTGTAACATTGGTTGCTGTGTGTGTAAACACTCCCAATAGATTTGCCAAAGATATTTGTTCAACTGCAACTACTTGGAATCGAGAACTGTTACGAGTGGATGCAAGTAATTTCTACCTCTAATCCCTTGCATCAGTTTAATGCTGTTCTCACAGAGTGCCACAGGAGGTGTTGAACAGTCAGTTGTAGCCTCAGTCGGCACAGGAGTAGAGAACCTCTGTGACTGTGGATTCTCTGCCAATAACATACAGCAGATCATCTTACAGTGTTACCCTGACAATCTGGCCAAGATTAATCTCCTCGTGTTGCTGCAGGCAACTCCTTCCAAAACTACCTCCGAGATAGTGGGCTATCTCAACACATGGATAGCTAGTGGTCCTCAGATTGTACTGGATGAGAGAAATACAACAGTCAGTATCAATGGAGAGTGTGACGTTACGGTCATACAGGGATCAGAGTGTTCTACACAATCTCCTCCGACTTCGCCGTCGTCCCCCCAGACTTCAATGCCATATCCTTCCCCCAGCCCCTCTAATCCACCCACTAATGAGAACCCTGATGGTCCGGGTGTGTCGACGGCCGCACAGTCATCAAACGGCAGAGACCTGACTGGAGCAGGAGGGGCAATGATTGCTATAGCCCTCGTTGTTGTTTTGGTGTGTACTGTGATTGTTATAGCTGTACTGGTGAGGTACCGGGTCATCAACGTTCGTTCATTCTCCTTGTAAGTACCATTTACCGATAGTCAAGATTTACACATGCATTGCTCATTGCTGCTTTTCATTATAGACATGATCGATTTCATCGACTTCGTGATATTCGCATCCTCTACCGAAAAGCAAAAGTACCCGAGTAAGTTGAATTGTTTGATTTCACAGATTTATCATTTTTGTGATTACTGATAAATCACAGGCAGTTTGAAGGGGATAAGGAAGAACTGACAAAAGATGATGGGTCAGGGAAATAGCTATAATATAGCAACTGTTCACAGTCGCTTTTTGCAATATTGCAGGTGTGAAGAGCCTACAGTAGTTGTGGATCCTGCCTTGACCGATCAAAACACAGCAACATAATTCCAACTAACTTCTTCTACGTAGTGTATTATTGGCGATCGGGAGCGGTATAATTATCGTTCGTAAGTGCGCATGCGCGGTTTTGTACTCACATTTTCACACACGGTGCCTCCTCGCGATATGCGCCGATCGATCTAGCCAGCTGGAGAACTCTCCTCCATTCGACGGCATGCGCTGCAACCTTCGGTGACTGACCGAGGCTGTACCGCTTCCCAATCTTCATGGTTCCAAGGTGCAACTTGCAAATACGCTAGGATTGCTCGTGCACCTTACTGCTGCATGCCAGCTGCCTGGTGGACCACGACTGACGAGCTGTAAAGCGTAAGGTAAGTACCGTTCTGCTCACCTGCTCACCGTTCTGCCAATGTACAATACGCATGTAACGGCGACAGGTAGATCTGTCTTGCTTCAGGAAAGGAAAGCTGTGCGCTGACGGCACGTTATGCAGCCCGAACATCGCGGGCAAATCCCAAGTTGGGTCGCTCCCGCTCCATTTCCACACGAATGTGCTGCGGTTGTGCGCATGCGCTGCTGTCGGACGTTATGATGAGGGATGGTCGCGCAGCCCTGGGATCGTTGGCGAAAGCGTCTTTGGTATTGCTAGCCCTTTTTGTCGCGGTCCACAGTCAAAGTAAGTTGGGTACCATCAGCGATCAGCTAAGAACACTCCTGAAAAATAACTTTTTCGTGCATGCACACTTCTCACAGCAATTGACACTTTCTTCTGATGTACGTACAGGGTAGCTATACGACTACCTTAGAACGCCGGTATAAGTAGATAGATGTGTAGAAAAGGTTTCTATAAGCCCTGTATTTTAGAGATCCTCTTTGAACAGACTAGCTACCCCTACCCCCGTGTGTTATGCAGTGAAGCTATCCCACATCTTAGAGTCAGGAATCCTCCACTAGTAGTAAGTTTGAAGCCGTATGACAGCGCCGTGGATGAATTATTCATACATGATCAACCCACTATGTATGGGATGCTCTGAGCATTATAGCTATATGCGTGTGGGAATGCTAAACCTTACCCTGGATAACCCACAGCCTCGGATACTGCAGTCTGTCTAGATGGAGAGCTCAGTCTGACGGGTGGACAGTATCCATTTGAAGGGACAATTCATATCTGTGTCGGCGGTGTCTGGGGTACAGTGTGTGACGATCTGTGGGGCATAGCGGATGCTACTGTCGTCTGCAACAGCCTTGGATACCCCAATGGTCAGTCCAATTATTGGTTAACTCCCGGTGCACATTGTGTATACATGCAGAGAGGTTTGTGGTACTTGGGTTTGTAAGTCATTTCGTCCATCCATTTGTGTATATATAGTTTCTGGTACTGAAAGACTAAAATCAACCACACATTACATTTTCTATGTATACTTAATGATGGGAGCAATAATGTCTATAGGACCAGCTATTGCACTGAGTGAAGCCTACTTTGGAGAGGGTACGGGACCAATTCACCTGGACAATGTCATCTGTACTGGCAGTGAGACCTCTCTACTGGACTGTGGCTACTCTCCCCACGACTGTGGCCACTTTGAGGATGCCGGAGTCATCTGCCCTGTTCCTGAAGGTCACAGATTAACAGTGCTGTGCTTTAAAACTGTGCTGTGCCTCGCAGGGCATGATTTTTCTGCCACTTTGTAAAGGAAGACAGAATTATTTTGGCAAAATGAAAACTAGTGTACAGTTGTCCTACTGTAGTAACGTCCACACTTTGTTGTGGATGGCTCTCAAGTGTCTCAAGTTTAGTCCCCCCAAATGTTTACTACTAGAGTGCACATAAATGTATAGTCTACCTAATTGCAGCAAATAAGAAACACTAGGCAGTCATTGTGCACATGCAAAAATACCACGTATAATTTCATGTAGGCTAGATTAATGTGACGTCTCCAGGAACAACTTCATGATGCTGGTAAAAGCTCTTTATTCTATTAACATGCTAAGACAAAGCATTGCAATATGCATGCATAAAGATCTGATGTTTATGCATCCATAGAGAACAACTTTTTAAATGCTACATTCACATGTAGCATTTAAAAAGTTGTTCTCTACGGACTTCTTGCATTCCCTCACCAAAATGTAATTGTACGTATGTATGATACAATGTGTCTACAGGTGTAAATACCAATTGTACCAGCGGAGACATTCGTCTGGTTGGTGGAGAGAATGAGTACCAGGGCCGAGTAGAGGTGTGTCTCCATGGCAACTGGGGCACAGTGTGTGTGACGACAACTGGGGCAGTAAAGATGCTCGTGTTGTCTGCAATCAGTTGGGCTTCAATAGCAGCGGTATGTACGTACTTGCTCGATCATGCAGTGTTAAAATCCCATCCAGGGCAGCTCCTTTAAACCCTTTTGAAACAGTATGTGGATATTCTGTGTGCCTTTCTATTTTTCGATTACTATGGCAACGTAGACTTGTAATGCACATTTCTATTATGTGTGGTGATATAATAATGATAATTATAATATGAGTGTTGATATAAGAGGAACGAGGGTGGAACTTTTATAATTTATGTGTTTTCCTAAAACAATCCATTGAGAAGTGGAAATGGTGCATGGCATTCTGTTTTTTTAAGCATGACTGGTAATCTTTTATGTTTAAGAGCCTCCTAACATCTTTCCGATTCTTTATGTCCATTACCAATTTTTTATTGTCTACATACTCTTTGTGTGTTAGGATCATAACTGGCAAATTGAAGCATCGGAAGTATCCATGGATTGACAACCTAGTATGCTACTTTTTGTTTTGTTTGGCAGGTATCCCTTTCCCAACAATGCATGCTGAATTTGGCCCTGGGAGTGGACTAATCTTCCTGGACAATGTGAACTGTAACGGGACAGAGTCAAATCTCCTCCAGTGTCGAGGGAACGAACCTGGGAACCACGACTGTGGTCATTCAGAGGATGCCGGTGTTTACTGCCCTGGTGAGTAGGGGAGGGAGGGAGAGGGTGGGAGGGAGGGAGTCTGCAAGCAAGGCAAGTACAAAGGAATCAATTCAAGGACACTCTGCAGTCTAAACTGAGTGCTCTACTACCAGGGCAGCTCAGCAGGCAGGGCTGTATACATCACAATAGGAAACACACAAGCAAACCCAAATTTATCTGTGTAGAACATAGGAATATTGATTGCATGCATGGTAGAGGTGGTGCACAATTCTTCCATGCGCAATATTGTTGTACAGAGTCATTTTGGTGTGTGGCATAATAATGGAATTATTATTTATGGCTGTGTAATTTTCTGTACTTAATGGTTACTGCCAGTTCTCTCCAGACCCCACGGCCAACTGTACTAATGGAGACGTGAGACTGGTAGGAGGTACCACTGAGTACGAGGGGAGAGTGGAACTGTGTGTCGGAGGTTCCTGGGGTACTGTGTGTGCCGACTTTTTTTGGGACGGCAGAGAAGCCTCCGTGGTCTGCAGACAACTGGGGCTCCTCCATCAAAGTAAGGCTTGGTTCGTATTGCCCTGTCGCTCCGTGCTGCATTGCCACGTTGTGAGGATAGAATTCATTATTCGCGGGGCATGGCGCGACATGATTTATTGTGAGCCCAGCCTGAGTGCAGTCTCAGTGTACTTTCCGGGCCACCTGCACAGAGTTTTGGTTCGTGAAATTCAGCTCTCTTCTTCCCCTTCTACCTCCCTCTCTTTCTCTCTTCTCTCTTCTCCCATCACAGACGCCATAGCAGTGGGAAGTGCTGCCTATGGGCCAGGTGAAGGCCGGATTCTTTTTCAGACTGTTCAGTGTAGCGGATCAGAGTCAGCTCTCCTAGACTGCGTATTCTCCAGTCCATCAAACTCCAGTGACCTTTGCTCCAGTCACCTCCAGGATGCCTCTGTTGTCTGCCGGAGTAAGGACGGACAACGAGTCTGTGAAATCTATGCATTATAGAAGCCAATGGTTTTGCGCTCTAGCTTTAGCGTATAAAATGAACTAACTGCCACATACGTACGTGCACTTGTTCATTAAAATATGTGTTCGCAGGTTGGGTGGGTAAAGCCTTAGCTCGCGAAAGTGCAAGCCGGTTGCCTGATAGTTATAGCATAATTTGTGAAATCCTTGCAGCGATACCCACACAGCCACCAACACTGCCATCTCGGTTTATCGTTGAGTGTTCCGTGGGACTTTTCACTGCTACACTAGTGTCTGCAGACTGTTCTCCACTCGCGGGGAGCCAGGACATCAGTCGTATAGAGAGCTACCAGATTGGTGGAGTCGATCAAAGTCCAGGTGAGGGCAGAACCTCTTCTCTCTCCTGTGGCAAACCAACTGTGCAGTACATATACCCTCACGGAAAGCACCTTACATGCTTGAGTAAACACACGGCACTTTATCTCTTAACTGAGTTTAAACAAGACAGGCATCTAATTGAGGCCACTGTCTAATTTCCATTGCTGCATATTGTTTTACACCAGACGTCTAAACGAGACCGGTGTCTATTCGAGAGGGCATAATAATTCGAAAGTATAACATTTTTCTGTGTAGGTATTATGTATACAGTGAAACCCCTTTCTAAGAGCACCCCCAAATTGGGGACACTTATCATAAAAAGGCACATTTTCTTTCCTCAAGGACAGCAATATTGTCCTCTGTCCTAATTGTGTCTGGATTATAGGGGTCCCAGTGTATTAACTCCTACCTCACTCTTTGCCAATCCAGCGTCGTTCCCTCTGTTGATTCCACTGGCATCGCTGGCTCCTGGAGGAGATGATGTGGACCTGAGGCTGGTCAGTGAAGGAGGTCTGAGTGTGTCTGTCAGATTCAGACTTATTGGCTTCCTCGCTTCTACTGGTATGTAGCATATCATGCTTAATTGGCCTCGTAGATGGGTGATTGTTAAATACACAGCACCAAAGCGAAAGAGAAAGAACTGATGGTATAAGTTTGCCAGATAGGTAACAACTGCTGGTAGTACAATAGTACCTAGAGGGAATGGGGAGGACTAGCTTTTGTCTGGGAGAATTTCTTAATCACTATGCTCTAGTACTTTTGATGTGTCATCCTGAATAAACCACTAACTCTATTGTTTTGCAGTAGTCTATCACCGTTAAAAATCAGGACAATTACTTCTTGATTCTCAGTGTATGGTAGTGTGTCTCTCTGCAGATCGTGCGTGTCTGGTGCATGTCGTCCGGACTGAACTGAGAGTCATAAGAGTCCTCATAATCTACTGTATTGGCTACACTGACTACACACTCTCCTACAACAATGCCACCTTCCTCTCTGGTACTGAGTTCCCAGTCCTCGTGCCGGGGACGACTCTCACTGATGGACTCAACAGTTTTGTGTTCCGGGCAACTGGAGTTGGATGACAACATCCACAGTCTTGAAGGCTTCTTTGACAACAGAAGAACAGGTCAAGATGTATGGAAGTTGACCAAAAAAACCCTGGGTTTTCAGCTTTGAAAAGTCGGGTTTTATATACCTTCCATGTTTTCGCAGCTTTGGGAATTTGGATTAAGTATATATGGTATAAAGATTGGAACAGTTCTACTGCATATTACACACAATTATGTAAACTATTGTACAGCTAATTAACCACCGTGCGTAGAATCTGTTTGAACAAAATTAATTAACGATCTTACGACCCATGCATATGCCATAGAGTCTCTTATGTAGGTGTACGTTTCATTACCTGCCAGATTTGATAGTAACCTGCAGCAATACTTCTGAGCCAGGTCGTCAGATCATCAACTGCACATCCACCAACCCTCTAATGTCCCTCCTGTGTGCCTATGACAGTGGGCAGTCTGAGGAATGCTCATTTCCAATAACACTAAGCATCGAGAGATTTGGCACCAGCAGACACATTTTGGTCGTCACTGCTACTGATGGATTTGGACAGCGTGAAACAATAGAGTTTTCATTTCAACTTGATGCACGTAAGATATAATCACAGTTATGGTTAGTTACCCTTGAACAGTGCATGATCAGCTATAATACCCATACCTAAGTGAGTCTCATACTGTGAGTCTAAAAACTGCCACAAATTCTATGCAAACTATAAATATACCTATACAACCCTCCTATTCCTACTCAAAAATCTGAACGTGCGGTTGTCCTTCCAGACAGTAGCAAAACCTACCTTTACATCTGCCACAAGTGCTATGTATGTACAGTACTATGTACCTATACAGCCATTATCCTGGAGGACTCAGTTGTAGCAGATCCTCAGTTCACCGTGAGTATTCCTGATGACAGGGGCCACTCTCTCTGCTACGAGGTCCACGGAGACTCTGACCATCACTTCAACCTCATCTCTGACACATGTCTATCTGTCAACGCTCTCTTCACCTCGATCAGCCCCGTCAGAAACACGATGAGCATGATTGGGGTCCGGGCAGTATCCAAAGGTGGCAGTGGCTGTGTGGACATTAAGATAAACTCTACGTGCGGTGCAAACGTGTTTACCGGAGGTTCGGCTGTTGGGGTAGGTGACGGGATGGTAATTGGAGGGGTTGACCTGCAGAGGCGTGGTGGCGACTGGAGGATATCTGTCCCAAACTGTGGAGAGCCAAGTGTTGTTATGAGAGTGAGCTGCACAGAGCGACAGGGACTGAGGCTTGCCGTAATGAGAGGGGCAAACCTACAGCCCACATCTCACGGTCTCCTTGGTAAGGAGACCTCTCAGAGTATTATGCATGCAACGAAATGGCAATCTCCTGGCATAGTACTATAAAGGTCATACAAACCATCAGTATGCATGCCACAGTACACAGTTTGTCCAATTACCTCTCCTTTGGATCACTAAGCGGTATTTCTGTGTTTTGCCCATACATTGTGTATTATACAAATTGCGTGGTGTGGAGCTCCCAGGATCAATGGAGTTTACCATCACTTCCAAGAGCAAAGACCCTCCTGAAAGTCCTGATACAAAATACATTTGTGTTCATAAATTGTGTTCAAGTTCCATTTCAGTGATGGTTATACAATCTTTTTGTATTCCTAGGACAATTCTGGAACATCCCAATCTCTGTCACTATTCTGGAAGGACAACCGCACGTTCAGATTTTCAAGCCAGACCAGAAGAACTACCGAAGGTTCCCGGCAGAGCTTAGCCAGCTGACATGGGACCGCTCGCGCCAATATTGCTACTATGCCGGAGACTCTCAAGGCAGCTCAGAGAGGGTTAATCAAGACCCAACTCAGTCCGTTATTGAGGGTGTCTGGACCAACTATGTCACTAGTGGACCATTTGACACCAACTTCAAATACAAGCGGTTTGAGGATAACCACTGCTTGTAGTTTAGTGATTTTATAATATACGAAAACTGCACAGAGTAATCATGTATTGCAGATGCTCTGCACTGGCCCAGATAAGATTTTGCAATTGTGTAATCCTCCTCCTAGATCCTGAGGATGTGTGTTACGGCGCATGCGTGAGCGGCATGCGGTAGAGCGTGAGGGTGTGGCTCTCCCGACGTACTGGACGGCGGGTCTACCGCTTAGGCGCTACCCCCACCACCTAGATGAGAGAGAATGTCTGCCACTGTGAGGGACATTGGAGAGAAAAAGCTGGTGGCGGTGGCTCACTACCTGGATGGATTTCCCCCGCTGGCCACCGGGCAGAAGGTGGAAGACGTGGAGCAGTATTACAGTCTCCTCTGTGCAGAGCTCCGTCGCCTACCGCCCCCACTGGGGGCCAAGTTCACCTACACTCTCAACCAGGTTTGATGTTGTTGCGCAAACCAATTAATTGAAAGGGGTGGGATCCTCATTCAGTCTCTAAGTTTGGCTCAAACCACCTAATAAGGAAAGGGTGGTTTACAATACCATCTTTTGCCTATGAGTCTACACAGCAAGGATGTTACAGGTATTGTGTCATTTGGGTGATTTTGATGTAATCACCCTTGTTTCTTTGCTTTTTGGTGCTTTGATCCACTTTTTCATAAACAGCTCTGAATACACCACATTTACTAGTGTTTCATATGAGGTTGACTAAGTTACTGCCCCAGAACTACTACTTTAGCTTGAGGCATTGGCCAGCAAAGCGAGCCAAACTTAGTCATCAGAATGGCTGATTCATGTCTCACACTATCAACATAAATTTCACAATCACGTGCATGTGACTCTCGCTCGGCAAAAATAATATTTTAATGCACACGAGTTGAAAAGACTGGATTCTGAGACTGTACGTATTTTCGTGCACCTAACCACAGCTAGCAGATTATGGGATGGAAACTCTGAAGATTGATGGGAGTCCCAGTCTCCTCCTACTGACTGACCTCCAGAGGAGAGGTCTACCACTCGAGGAGTTCATCTCCTGTCTGGAGAGAATTGGCTGCCAAGGAGCTCTCAATTTGTTTGCCTCTGCCAGTGAGGGTATATTGTGTATGCATAGGCATCACACCCAGAAGGTCAGGCCATGCCTTTAGTACTTATGTTGAGCTACATACATAGCTAGATGTCATGTTGGTACATATGAGTTTGATCGGGTTTAGTATGCAGTCTTGTGACTAGTGACTAAGAATATACGTTGTGTGAACTTGCATGCGGGTGGGATATTCGGTATGGTTCACGATATGTTGTTGGAGCCCGTGATGCAACGTGATCTTGACATTGCTCAAAATTTTGCGACATCAAAAAGAATAACTTTGTGTGACAGGTATATACATGTACTAATTTTGCGAAAGCAAGTGAAATTGTATTTGTAAACACATGCTCTATTAGAGCTCATGAGCTGTCCAACTACGCAGACGTGCTGTCCAACTATGCAGGGGTTAGGGAGCCTTTGCTTCCATGTACAGCACAGGGAGTAGAGTAGCCACTTATCTTTTACATAGCATTACATAACCTTACTATACTTTCGTGTGCTGCGTGCATTTCAGCAGATCATGCACTGTAACTGTCATCCAAATCCACATTAATACCCGCTATCTCTGAGGGTCAGCAAAACAGCATAATTAAGTATTCGTAAAAAGTGGTCAGTGTATCCCCTGCGACGTAGCGGAGGGCCAAACATGATGCAACTTATGTGCTGTAGTGTGTTCACAATATTACAGCAATTCTGCCTTGCGCTGCGTCACAGGGTCCTCTGATTTATTTTAAACCACGCTTTAATACCGTGTGAGTGTAGAATTATTGCTATGAACTCTCAAGATTTCTCTCTCTGTCTCCCAGCTCGACCAGAGATCACCCAACAGCCGCAGTCTCAGAGCGTGTTGGAGGGGGAGGAGCTGAGGCTAGAGTGCCGGGCCAGGTGTAAACCAGGCACGCCCACCTTCTTCTGGTTCAGGAGGAATGACCCCAAGTCTGACTGGGAGCCTGTCATTGACTCCCACTCCAACATGTCAGTGAAGATTAGTACATACATGTATATGGATGTCGCAACAAAAGAGCGAAATTTCATGAATATAACGTGTATTTTGAGTTACGTAAACATTGCTGTAACATCTCTCTCAAGTAATACGTAGTGTGTAGCATCAGATGTCACACCATATAAAATTACTGTGTGCATAGCCTCAGCCAGTGGTGTTAGCTTATTCTTGAAGTCTCACTAGAATTCATTAGGTCTGGGGAAAATGTGGGTGTTGCTGTGCTAAGTTTACTCATGTGCATATATTGTCTATTGCCCAGTACTATAGCTCTGGTTTGAGGACTAGAGAACTTGACTCGTCAGCCATACACCTTCATTCTAGAGTGCTATAGCAATGCAGTGTTAACACTGACTTTGATGTCTTTTATGCAAGTGTTCTTCTTGCTCAGTTGTGTATCTCTTTCTCTACCTCTCTCTCCCTCCAGACTGGTGATACAGGAGGTGAATGTGGCACACCGTGGGGACTACATCTGCAGAGCCACCAACCCCAACATCAATGACCCTCAGAGAGCCAATGTCTTCTCTGGAGAGGTGACTATCAAGGTGGAGCCAAGGGAATTTCAGCAGAAAATTCCCATCAGACAAGGTTACCAGTAAATTTAACGTGTACATTCACGACAAAGATTTTCTGAGACTGCAAATATTTTTCCATGAAAAGTGTATATACCTAATGTGCAATAAGCAATTTTGTGGAAGAGCCCCTACTACAAAGCCTAGTCGTCACTGTATGCTCCATTCCAATCCTCCAATCTTAGCTTGTCAAGCCTATATATAGCTGTTTTACTAGTCTGTCTTTGCTTCAAGCTACATACTCACTGGTGCTGACTCCTTGTCAGACTGGTTGAAATCAGTGGCCACCTACCATGTTGCATGGTCCGGCCCATAAAGGTTAGTAGTCGTTTCTGTGCATGCATAGCATCTGCTGCAGCATGAGCTTTTTCTCCAAGGCCTTACATAGAAAAGATATTTTCGTTGCACTGAAATGATAACAATGCCACTCTCTTTCATTCCTCCAGAGACGACAGGTGACCTAACAGATCCACCTCCATTTCCTCCTGTCATCATCTCCCAGCCCCAGCCCCTGGAGGTGGATGACTGGTGAGCCACCCAGCCACAGTGTAGCTTTAGGGAAATTGGAGTGGCCTAATTTTTGCACTTCTATGGACAGGCATCTTAGTACAAGTGGAGAAATCATTTCTTCAAATTGAAGAGGGATAGTAACAAAGGGTCATTACACAGCTAAGCTACATGACACCATCCCTAGATCTTTGTCTGATATCATTTGCCTATGAATCATATAGGGATGGTGCCATGTAGCTTTGTGTAGCTGTGTGTGATATCCGTGAAATCCCGTCTGAGCGAATTCTCGCTTGCAGAACTGAAGGAACGTATAAGGTTTTTGAGCGCATGTATTGCTGGATATGGGCCTGTAGACAATTCATTCTCACTGTGTTTGATAATAATGTTTGTCGCTCAGATTCCCAACGTGCCCAGTACCTTCTTCTGTGCCTGTATTTGCCACTCAGGTTCAGAGATGACCAGTATGTCAGTTCACGGAACAGTTCGGGTAAAATAGAGTTCCGTCAAGTGAGGGTGGAGCATGCTGGACAGTACCAGTGCAAGATGACCAACCCTCAGGGTGGCTTTGTCGTGTCTGACACTGTCTCACTCACTGTGGGTATGTTATAATAATTATACAACCATTGTTTGTCCCAGGGATTCACCCGCATTTCCACAATCACTCCTGAGGGCGGTTATGAGCTCATATGGTTAAGCAGAGATGTAAAGAAATATTACGAACACATTTTATTATGGCGCTTTATTTGACACAAACCAATGCTGGTATAGGAATCCTTGATTCATTCGCTGAGGTTGGCTTACACGTCTTCCATAAACATGTACAAAAATGTAAGTATCCACAATATGTCTGCTGCAGTTCCAGTGATTGTGATAGACCAGCAACCTCCCAAGAGTTTGCAGAGATACAAGGATGAGCCCATTAGCCTCCAGTGCCGTGCTAGCAGCAAGAGAGGCCCGGTTACCTACCAGTGGTTCAGGAACAAGAAACGTAAGCCAATGGACTTACACATGCACATTCAGATGCACTTCTCAAGGTGAAGGTTACCCTATACCGGGAACTTTTTGCCTTATGCAAAATTTTGCACGCAGGGTCTTCTTCCGGGAAAATAAAAATCTGACGTTTTTTTATGGCGCGTCACCGCACACGGGCGCTGGCAGGGTGGCGGGTTTAGTGTGATCAGAACAGATAAGTATAATGTATGCCACGCATCTGTCAGGTGCCTCTTTGCATGTGTGGCAGTGAACTGGTAGAATGGGCATGATCAAGGCCGAGAAGCCTTCTGGGGACCCTTACGCACGGATAGAGGATATGGCTGACAAGACTGTAATTATTTCATGTGCACTACTTCGCCATATATATAATAAATACTGAAACAATATTGGCGCGTACTAATATTGCCTTAAGGTGACCTTTTCTCGCGCTTGGTGAATATGGCTATCCCTCTTCTCTACATTGGTGTTTTCCTCTCCAGCCATCTATAGAGCAACAGAGTCAGTGTTCTGTACAAAGTCCTCTGGTAGGTTCTACTGTCAGGTGGGACTGAGGGACCACCCAGAGCAGCTGCCCATGCTATCATCCACCACCAGAGTCTCCATCAACACCAGTGAGAGAGCCTTTATGCTTGGGTTATGATTTGGCGTTTTTATTGACGGACACTATTTTTTCCACGTAATACCTGCAGTTAAGATCACAGCTCAGCCTCAAGATGTTGACGGAAAAATTGGAGAGTGTGTATCTCTTCAGTGTCAGGCTGAATTCAGTCCTCCTCTGCCCTCCAAGGAAAAGATAGAGTGAGTACTTACGTAGTAGTAGAACGAATGCATGGCACTTTTGACGAGCGAATACAAGAGTCACACGCACACACATGCAGTTCCGTTTCGTCTACTTAAAGTTACGTGTAAAAACATTGTGGTAGGTACTAGGTGCAGCCGGCCCACCAGCGTCATTGTTGTTGTCGTCATGGTTGGAAACATAATATACTAAGAAATCGTGCATTCAGCAGACTAAGTATAGGCTCGTTAATACTGCTATTGGCAATTGAATGTGTACACACATATGAAGTTAAAATGTAGACTACTTGAAGAGTTTATGTCAAAACTCACTGCAAGAAGAGCGAACACATTTGCTGTGCCCCCTTTGTAGTTTGAGAGTTTGAGGCCTTTGTCCCCATTATTGGCGAGCGGAAGCGAGCTAACCTAGTGGTCCGAACGGCGCGATTTTTCTATATATATATGTATTTAGTGCATAGCTGATTCGAATCGACCAATCAGATTTGTTAGTACGAGGTTCCTGATTTCTCATATGAACCTCGCGAGCTAACAAAAGTAACATGAAAACATGATATAAAACCTTGTTTTTTCTGTTGATTTTCAACAGCATTTCATGTAAGAAATGTATCCCGCAAAACATGATCTGTACAAAATGTTGATCAAAATAAGTGATATCTTGATTTTCTTTTTCCACGAGACAGTTTTCTGTGTCTGCTTTGAGCCCATCTCCCTCCTTGCCATGTTAGCTATTAGCTCACGCCCGCCCACAAACCACCGCACGCAAATAAGGGGGTGGGGCTCCGAGAGCGAGTGCGCGCGATAAAGCTACTAAGTCTACGGCGAACGCCTTCGGTATAGCAGCCCGCACAGCGCCTGAATTCTCCACTCTCGCCTCTCTCTGATTGCGATGGTTCGCGCAGGTCTCCTGTCGCGTTTCTTCGGATGAGTGGCGGAGGACAGTCCCTCAGCGGGAGTAGCTATAGAGCGGCGAAGCAGCGTATCCTAGCGTTCGGCGTTCAATAGTCCCGCACGAGATGACGGTCTTGCGCTCTCGTCTCTTTCTAGCATCTTTCAAATTCCCTGTGCATGCGCGTATACGGAGCTGATTTGCTCTGCACTAAACATGTTATGTACTCCGTATACTCGGGACATACCGGATTTCAATGAACCCTCGAGCCAGCCATCCGCGTAGTGCCCTCGCTGCGCTCGGGACACTACAAACGGGGAGGCCCTCGGGTTCATTGAAATCCGGTGGAAACGCAACACCTCCGAAGCTATCGAGTATTGCTGCACAGTCCAGCGAGAGATTTTTCTACATTGCCACTTGTTCCCTATTCCTGCAAGACCAATCAGATTGCCGGATTATGCCTGATTCGCGCTGTCGACTGACTGTTTTTGACTCGACTCGAATTGTCTACTGCGCTCGGGTCGTTTCGGCCTACTTGGTCCTGTGCAATGTATCTCACTGTTTTGTGCACACACAAGAGTGACTCATACGATTAGACCCCAATTGTAAGCGCGCTTCCGCTCGCCAAAAAGGACATGCATTCGCCTACTAGTAAATAATAGTTAGACGCTGATTCGAGGTAACTACGCGCAGTAGAAAGCCGAGAGCCCCAGCATTGTGGCGCCCCGAGCGCAGCGAGGGCGCTACCCCCGGGGCACGAGGCTTTCTACCGGCGCGTGGTTATCAGCGTCTAACTATTTTAGAGTGAGCGCTTCACGTTGAGCGCTCTGGCTTTCCTGTTCTTTCGTGTGGCGGAGCGCGTCTAACGATGACTCGATGGAGACAGGCTCAGAGCGCCAGAAAATGCAGAGCAAGAAGAGCGAAGCGGCAGAGACACGCGGTAGCGACTCCGCCTTCTTTTTCTGGTTGCGCGCAGGGGGGTCTGCGCCTGCGCGTGCGCGTGGACGACGCGTCAATGTAGATTCAGTTGTTGATCTTGTTGTTTACATGTACATTTTGTTATGTTTTCCTGTTTTATCTGTAGGTTTTGTAGTTTCTGTAGGTTTACTATGATAGTAAACCCCGTCGAGGTTTGCTACGGGATTTAGTAAACCTCGCCTTTGCAATCTGATTGGTCGGCTCAAACGTAGCTCACTCTAAAAGCTGGTAAACCGTTTGTTAGGTACATGTGGCTGATGTCAAGTACCAAGGACGGGAAGAAGGAGCCACTGCAGAAGGCCCTCCAGCCACAGCAGTCGGAGGGAACACTGCTGTTTGAGCAGCTCAATATCAACCACCGCGGCTACTACGTCTGTCAGGCTTGTTTCGAGAATGAGTTTGTGGAGTCAGTGGAAGTACACCTCTCAGTCACCATGGCCGGCGGTGAGTAGCTACCACTAGCTTCCATAATTGCCATGTTTTCTGGGTCTTAATCCTAAAGTCGGGTACATGTATGTCACCCCTGGCTGTGAAAAGACACAGCTTTACTTTTGTGCTAACTATAATGAAAAGCACTAAAGTGCAAACCCTCAGTGCGAACTGCGCATGCACGATACTGCTAGACTGGGCCGCGTTTACCCGTGGTCTTCCGCTAGTATAGTAGCCCGCGGAGAGTCAGACACGGGCTAGCTACAGTAGTAGATAGCATGACATGCCATTGGTTGTGACTTCCTGAGCCCCAAGGTACACAGAGCGAGCGGATCAGGTCGTGGTAAGCCCAGTGCGATTATGCATATTGGCTTTTTCGCTTGTTTTCACGGCATATCTCTCGAACGAAGTCGTTTCAGGAAAATCGCCTAATTATTTTTCAGGCTCCCGTAGTTCTGAATCCGCTGGTATCGCTAACGTAGCCTGTAGTGCCAGAATAAGCGTCGACACACACACACACAGACAGACAGAACGACTACCGTAACCCTCGCTGCGCATGCGCGCCGAGGGTTAACTACAAGACTGTCATGAGCTGCTTTTTTCCGCCCCCATTAATGACTGGCTATTATTTCCATACTGCAGGCATTACAAAGAGGGCCTCAGAGACATCCTTTGTATATACAGGCAAAGAAGACAGCTTAATTTTGAAAGAAGTTGGTATCAGTTTGTTTTTTCCAGTTGCTCACTGTGAAAAAGAGATCAGGTTTTCCGTCAATGTAGTCAACGGGGACTATGTCCTGCCATCAAAATATCAGAACATGCCACTAGTCAGTGCAATGTACAAGATTACAGCAAGTGCTAAATTACCTGCTCCGGTCACAATCCGAACAGACCACTGTGCTGCTCTTAATAAGAAAGATTCTCTAGAGTTCATGGTTGCACGCGGGGAACCCCCTTACCACTTCAATCCATTACCAGGTGGAACATTTCGAAAATCGTACGGGGAAATAAAAGTGTCTGATTTTAGCGTTTTTACTGTTTTGCTAAATATCTGGGATTGGAAAATGCGGTTTGCTGTTCGTGTGTTTGATTGCAATGACGGCACTACAGATTTCATTGTGACAAAAGACATTCCAACACACTGTACTGCGGTGAGGGAAAAGTACTGTCGTGCAAAGGAAATAGTTGAACAAACAAGAGTTTTTTCCTTTTTGACCACTGAAATCACTCTAATGATGCCAGAAACTCCCACGGGTGGATGGAGTGTCGAGCCAGTTGTTGAGCCCCCAATAATAACCATGGAAGAAATCCATGCATACAAGGGCAAGGCTGGTACCATAATCCCAAACATCAAACTGAATGTGAGTTGGAAAGGAGATAGACCAACAAAAAAAGACAAAGACACGGTAAAAATTGGAGTGCGAGGTGTAAAGAAGTTTTCTTTTTTGAACTTGCCCTGTAAAGCATTCCATTCACAATCAATTGACACTTTTGACAGAAGGAACGAAGAAGAAGTTAAAGAGCTAGCAAGGAGAAGTATGAAGGATGAGAATGGACTAAATAGTACAATCACTGAAGAACATTTACTGAAAATAAAGGAGTTCATATCATGGAAAGAGGTTGGACCTCATCTCAAATACATCATAGCCGGGGACATTAATGACATTGACGGAGACTTTAAAAACATAGCGGACCAGAGACAGCGGCTATTAAACCTCTGGGTGGAAAGAAATTATGGACAAGATGTCACATACCTTAACCTGATCATGGCAATGTTGGAGGCCCAGTAAAAGGAACGAAGCTGAGGAGAGTGTGCCTTCTTCTGCCAATAAGGAGTGTGACATGATGAACTTTTCTTTCTTTTATTGTCTTTTACACCAATGTTACTGTCATTAATGTTGTTCGTATGTTTCCAGCAGAACGTGTGTGAAAGTGCAGCGATTTGGTATTGTGCGATTTTTTACCATACTGATGTCACAAGGGGGATGTGATTTACTAGTAAAAGTAGACTCCACCCTCAAGAGGAAGAAAGGTTTGTGGTGACTATTATTATAATTGAGCGATTTCTTGGTTGTGCATGACTTGACAGTCTTACTTTTCAGACACTGAATCAGTATTTGCCATGATTGTGAAATATCACCTGGTGTCATGCAATCGTTCGTAACATAGCTCCGTGCAGAACTCCACATGTCCATGAACAAAAACAGGCCTTTGTGTGTATACAAAGCCTTGTGGGGATGAATCTCATTAGTTCAAAACCACAAGTGCTGCACTCAACTTTGCCTTTATAAACTCATGATGCCAGAGAGAGAAGTTGCGGTATGCTTTGCTGATGAGGGCTAACAAGCCGAAACAGCTCTCCAGAGCTCCGCATCTTTTTCTCTTGGCATCACATGGTCTATTGTTACATGCACTCCACATTGAGCAAGACAATGCTCAATAGTCACCAGATCCTTTTCTCTCCTGAGGGCGGGGTCTGGGCACCAGACTATAAGGGGGACTGACATGGCTTTATAGTGGCGTATAGCTATCAATAATTAAACAACTGGGTTTAGTAAGTTGCAGATTAAGCCTCATTAATTCAACTTCCGTTTAAGGGGCGTGACGTCAGAGAGGAAAAAACACAGATGTGTTAAATCGATCCATCAGGTATAATAATATAGAGTTCTTCTTTTTCTACCTTTCTTCAAACACATCACTTCAGCCTAAAGTGAGATCAAGAGTATAGCAGGACCTGTGACAAATGTCGGTGCATACGCAATCGTAACCCTAGTAGTGGTGGGTGGCAATTGGAGTACTGTTGTTGGCAGAACGCATGATTGACACTGAATTATTACAACTGCTGCTTGTAGTTTTTTGAGGTTAGGTTAAAAATTTCAGAATAATTCAAAAAAAACGTGTATCATGAAAGTGACGATGCTACAAGGTTGTTTCAAATGGAACTGGTAGTTCATCCTCTTCCTCCCCCTGCTCTGTGCCCCCCTCGCCCTCTCCCTCCTCCTTTCCCTCTCCTCCCTCTGACTTTGATTCAGTCAACGGAGGAATGTCCGAATCGGGCGACGACACACCGTTCAACAAACCAGTCTTATCTGACAACCCGGCCAAATTGGACGGGATCACAGGGGACTGACCCGTGAACGAGGGTGGCTCGCTCATTCTTCTGTTCCTACTTCCCAACTTGGTTGTCCACTCTGCCATATTCCCGAGGGAGGAGAGCCGTCTCACTCGTGATATTAGACTAGAGTCTCTGGAGCAGCGATAGACTAAGTCTCCGTAACTGTCTCTGTGCATGAAGCAGGCGAGGACGGCTGTCATGTTGTCGCAGCCAACTCCTCCCATTCTGCAGTCTGGGGCCAGGCAGTGGTCCAGGAGAGCCTCGCAGATCTAATGGCAGGTCATTGAGGTGGAGTAATGGAGAACTTCACGATTTTGTAGCCAACAAATCCCAAAACCTTGGTGGATTGCTATATACTGTAATGTCCCTATCCACAAAAACTGTGGACAACTATCAAAAGATGGAATTATGTTTTCTCCCTCACTATAAGCTACCAGAGAGAAAAGTACAATAGAAAATTGTAGACACATTTCATCAAAGTAAGTAAAAGACTATAACTTGATTCACTTATAGCTTGAAGACAGTTAGAGAGTTAACGGCGAGACAAAAAGTTAACAACTCACCTCTGGCGGTTTCATGTTGGATGCTATCTTTTTCCTAACAAACTCTACCACCTCGATATTTGACATCACATCCCACACTCCTGCATGATCATAGACGGACAACACTGTGAACCTTAGAAGACTGCTACAGTTAGAGCTCTCAGTGAGGGGCAACTTGGGGGACATTAAAAGCTTCCTGGTAATATATCTCTGCAAACTGAACAAGACAGAGTAAGACTATATGGAAACCAGCCAGTATGGGACAGAATCAAAGTGTCCTTATAACGTTTATACAGTGGTGTCCTTTGTGCAGAGAGTCCTTTTCAGGTTAGTCTAAGTTAACCCTTTAGCTGACCGTCACAAGCCAGTACGATGAACTCATGATCTGGAGTCACATCCACTGCTATCACCTCAGGGTTAGCTGTTGGAGGTAATCAGAGGGGACACCCCTTCAATCATTACACATACATACGTCACCGATCACAATGCAATAATTTATCATCATAGAGGGAGTGGTTCTAACCAGTGACAATCTGCTCTGCCTGTGGAAGGTCCGGGTTACGTTTGAAGTTGAAGTCAGCAATTGCTCTAGACAGTGCCAGATTACCTGTACATTACAATACATTATTTCAGTGCCCCTGCAATTCTCGTGTAATTACCGTTGACTCTGTTGAACTCCACCCATCCTCCAGCTCTGAATATTCTAGCTTGTTCCCCTATAGAACAACACAGTAAGAAATGAAAAGCACTAAAGTGCAAACCCTCGGCGAACTGCGCATGCGCGGTACCGCTAATTGATGGGCTGGGCCTATTATACTAGTATACGTTTACTCCCGCTTAGCTCGCGGAGAGTCTGAAACGGGCTAGCTACAGTAGTAGATAGCATGCGGGAGTCGATACACGCCCTTCGTTGTGACTTCTTGTGCCTCCGAGGTACACAGAGCAAGCAGATCAGGTCGAGGTAAGCTAGTTCTAATTAGCATATTGGCTTGTTCACTTGGTTTTCACGCCATAACTTCTGAACGCGGCACTTTTACGAAAATCGCCATTTTAAAAATCAAGCCAGTGTAGCGCTGAACCCGTTGGTGTCGCTGTTTTACCTGTTTGTTGCGCGTGGTAACAGACGGACGGACAGACAGACAGACAGACGGACAAACCAAGTACTATAACCCTCGCTGCGCATGCGCGCCGAGGGTTAATGATCATTGGCTAATATTTAGAGAAGACGTGCACTGTTGGGGAAAGTTATAAGACCAAAAATTCGCCTTGACAATAATTCATACCAATTTTTTCAGTGGGGGGAATATAGGTTCTTGGAGAAATATAGGGGGTATATATATACAAGGTATATACAGACTATTGATTTGCGCCAAGGTTCAGGAGGCTTTTGTTCCCCCTCTCTAGAAAAGCATGCGTAAAAGTGCAAACCTTGGTTGTAAGGCTTATGATCAAATGACAGTTCCTTGACTCTGCCAGCCACACAGGCCACAGCTCTCGAGTCTCCCGCATTTGCCTGGTATCAGAACCGAGTGGGAGAGAGGGAGAACGAAAAGGAGAAGAGAAGGGAAAAGAGGGGGGGGAGGGAAAAACAATTCTCAAAGCAGCTGCCATGTTGCTTTTATAGTCACAAATCATCAGATAAGTACACATAGTTTATGGTCTGTATTTGAACAGAGTACTAATTGGTGGTGTAGGTAGACTCGACAGGCATGCAGGTTTGCAGCCAGTCACCGGCATAGCAATGTACGGTGACTCACACAGTATATCATGTTGTCTCTGACGAGAACAACTATGGCAGTGGTCCCGCCGAGTTCAGTCTGCAGCTCCTGCTCTGGGGGGACAATGTGCAGAGGATGATACGAGTAAAGAACCACCAACTGACTATAGCTAAGACAATGACATCTTGATTTACAACTACACACAGGTCAGGTGCACAAAGAAATTCATGGACCAAAAAGCTACACTGGTACACAAAACACATACGTACGTACAAGATTATGCAGATACATACATTTTTTCGCCTAATAAACACTCCCTATGAACAAGGATGCACATTCGGAGTAAAGGGGCTGGCTAGTTGTAGACTGCACATGGGTATGAATCCTCACCTTCCTGGAGATCCTTGTCAATGGAGAGAAAACTGTTGCTGAGGGCAGTGGAATAGTCTCCACTCCCTGAGGACATGTGAGGTGAAAACGACACTTGAGCCATGGTATTATATATATTGGTGTGTGTCCTACTAACAACTGAAATATTCTTCCATATACTCGGCATGCATTGCAGATAGTAATTATTATAGGGTGACCCTCTGACGATTATAATACACGTGTCTAAGTGCATACCTTATGTAGTTATTGTTGTGTGTACACAGTGTGTGTGGGTGCAAGGCTTGGCTAGCTATATACTTACAACGAACAGTTTACAAGGAAGAGTAATATCGTGTGCTACATGAGGCAGTGTTGACAAACAAGGGCTTATGATTGCCTTTACTTGTATCACAGTACACATGCACACCACGGGTGCAGTAAAAAGACTTGGCAAGTGGTGCTATACAAACGTAAACAGCTTCAATAACCACACTTTTGAGCTTCTATGTATTATATATACTAACAGAGTTGACCAGTTCGTGCTCGGAGTGGCAGAGAGAGAATTGAGGAGGGAGAGGGAGGACGTGGAAGAGGGAGGAAGAGAAAGGGAGAAATTAAAGAGAGAGGGAGGTAGGTGGGGGAGCTCACTGAAGGCAGAGTCTGTCTCCAAGTAGTGAGAAAGGCGAGAGCCGCAGAGCTGGGCAAACTTGGCTCCTCCGTGGCCATCAAAGACGGCAAAGTAGGCCGATTCCGGGTCCTGTGCAAACCCCAGCTCCACACTGTGGGCATCCTCCATCTCTGGGAGGAAATACATAGAGAGATGCCCACTTCCTTCTTTGTCACTTTCAAGATGATTTCTAGTGCAATGCCGCTGATAAGACCAGTGCTAAAGATGGTATCGATCTCTTACTCTCAGCTATGTTTATGGTTAGATCACACACACACACACACACACACACTGGATGAGGCATCACATGATACATTGGGTTGTATACTACTGGATGCGAAAGGTCAGGATGAAATACTGGTTCATTTGATATGTATCACTAGCGGCCCTATACGTACCCAGTAACCATTTGATATGTATCACTAGCGGCCCTATACGTACCCAGTAACCAGCAAACAAAAGAGCACTCTACCGCAAGTGGACGGTCAAGCTTGCACCGCCTAGCACAGACGGGACAAGTGTGTTGCAGTAGCTACATGTGATGCTATGCTATAGATGGCCAGCTGTAGCCGCTTGTGGCCGGCGAGCTCACCTAGACGCCATCCCTGCATGGAGGACGATCCCACAGAGAACTGCACATTCTCGAATTTCTCCGTCTTCTTCTCCGTCTTGGGCTCGGAGAGACTCTGCCCCATGTCTCTAGCATGTGGTCCGCCAAACACTAACTGTCTAATGGTAGCTTCACTCTACTCTGCTGCCACTGAGTCGACCTGTAAGCATCAGCCAAACACACTGCACTGCTCAGGCAGGAAACGCATAATTAGAACTAGCCCCACCCCCTTCAAATTTTCTTTGTGATCACTGAATTGCACTTTGCACTCGATCGACGACTTCAAATCAAGAGATCTGTTCGTAATGCTGAGACACGCTCTGTCTGGTCGGTGGATCCGTGCACCTGTACCCAGGGCTATCAGCAGGGGGCTTCGAGCTGCCGCTTCCTGGAGGAGCTCACGTGCACTGCAGGGAGAGACGGTCCGTGTGGGCTGCAGCTCGGGGTTCTGGGGCGACACGACCACTGCAGGTAGTCACGCAGCTCTCCTGAGGTCCTGTAGTCTTAGTATGGCAGTAGCATTCTTCCTTTTGTGGTGCTCACTATTGAACATTGGTACAGTCTCATAGGCATATACCAGTAGAAGTTTTAATTATTAAGCCAATGAAATCACTTCTGGTCACATAAGCAGTGACAGCAGACAACAAAGCTCGATCTACACCACTACTCCCTCGTGAATCTTGCATGTAATTACATAATGATCACATAGTTGCCGATTCAGGGTGGGGACTAGTACCACCACCCAGCCGCGCTCCACCCACAAGGGGAAAGCCCCACCCCTTTCAAATTTTCTTTGTGATCACTGACACAAAACCTGGTTCTGAGTATGTCATCTGAGCCGCTCTTCTGTTATGTGATCCATACCGAGCCCCGCCCCCTAACCAAACTCCGTGGACTACGGATGCACCTGATGTTGATTGGCCATTCTGTAATGTGATTGGAGATCTCACTTTCGAGATATAGGACCAAGAAATGTGTCAATAGTTACCAGACCCTTTTCCCACGTGATGAGTGGGTGGGGTCTGGGCATGAGACTGATTATATATCAGTGCTAGAGTTACAGTATGTACATGTGTTCAATGTAATACCTGCAGCCCCTCAGTTGGTGGAGGCTGGCGACATTGACTACCTGGTGGCTGACTATCTCTCTGAAATAACCATGTCCCTCCTTGCCAATGCCAAGCAAAAGTCACCAGTGAGCGAATTCTTCCATATATACCAGATATGTATATAGTATTCTGTTCCAGTGCTCTTTGCCCTTGTATGTATGTATGTATGTATGTATGTATGTATGTATGTATGTATGTACATATACATTATATATGTACATTGATTTTGTGACTGCAGCAACTGGGCTACTGTCCAGATTTCGTAGAGACTCTGAGGCCGCTACTCAAAGACATTAAGAAGAAAGGTGTGTTGTACATTGTCTTAACTTGCTACATGTCACATGCTCATACAACGTACAGCGTATAAAGTAGATCCTCCTAATAGTGGACATGTGTGTGGCCGTAAAATTGCCCTTTGAATGGAGGTGTCCTTTATTGGGAGGTTGCATGGGATCGAAACAAGTTTGATTTATTCACAGAGTGTCCGGTATAAGAGGCTACAGAGTATTGCTAATTGCATGCCGAGTGGGGTTTTTTCTGCATGTATATAGTAGCTGGGTTGCTGTGTCTCTGATGATGGATGCAGGTATTCGAGTGGTGAGCAATGCAGGGGGTGTCAACCCCCAGGCCTGTGTGGCAGCCCTCCTCCAGGCTGCCAGAGACCAGGGCCTGGAGCTCTCCGTCGCCACCGTCACTGGAGACGACTTCACCGACAGAGTATGCATTTCTTACTCTTTACATTCCTACTCCCTCCTCGTTTATACGTCTATCCTAATTTTGTTGTATCGTAGATGGAGGAGGTTCAGATGCTAGGAGTACAGGAGATGATCACTGGACAATCACTACCTGAGAGTGTCCACAGCATGAATGCCTACCTCGGGTACTTTTCATCATAAAGTCAGGAATGTTCCAATAAGCAGCCTATAGTTTATGAACATACATGCAGACCTTGTGTTATGATTTTACACATCAAGGGTCGTGAAAATTTCAGTATGATGTTAGAGTAAGGTTGTTGCTGTTGGTCGTTCGTTACCCAGGGGCTTCCCCATCGCGGAGGCCCTCTCTCTGGGGGCAGACGTGGTGGTGACTGGTAGATGTGTGGACTCTGCACTCACCCTCGGCCCTCTCATTCACCAGGTCAGCTGGGGAGGGAGGGAGGGAGGGAGGATTGCAGAGCCTCGTTCCCACCGTGTCATTTCTTGTTCTCTCTCTCTTTGAATGTTCTCTTCCTCCACAGTTTCAGTGGAGAGAGGAAGACTTTGACTTGCTGGCAGCAGGAAGGTATATACTTACATACATACGTACTGCATGAGCATGCCATCCTGGAAGGTATTAAAAAACACTGCATGAGCATGCCATTATTATTGAGGTGAGTAATGCACAGGGCTTGTGTGTAAAAGGTGGAAATTGGCGAGCCTCTAGGTCCGAAGTGTATGTACTGCACCTAATATTGTCACAGAATCATGCATATTATTATAGTTAGCTGTGCAGACCTGCTTGCATTCGCTCACCGTATCACCATTCTAGTATATATCATGTATTTTGATCAGATTGTGAGTATGGTAATTGTGTGTGTGTGTGTGTGTGTGTGTGATATTGACTCAGTCTGGCGGGTCATCTGGTGGAGTGTGGGGCACAGGCAACCGGAGGCATCTACACTGACTGGAGACATGTACAAGGATGGTCAGTTTTTTCCCCACTGAACAGCTAATAATGTTTATGCACATAGACTACCTTATACTGTATAATTATGTAGCGAAGACCTTAAAAATGTCATGCTCACATGATTATGGCTAGAGTAGTACTATGTTCATCTGTTTGGGCTAGTATCAACAAATGTAATAGCCTTTAAATATAGTCTCTCTCTCTCTCTCTTACTGTCAGGGACAATATGGGGTTCCCAGTGGTGGAGTGTGGAAGTGACGGTGTGTTTACAGTCAGTAAACCACCCAATACAGGAGGTCTGGTGACCTGGGGATCTGTCGCTGAACAGGTGATGATAATGCCTCGTACACAATCATACAACTGGGACTAATCGGTGATTTCGAGAACACTCTGAATATTGGAATACATGTACACACACAGTTCTCAAACAAGCTCACCTATTGTAACTTAAAAGTAAAGTGATTTACAAGACATCAACTTGTCTCCTGCTATCTCAACATCATCATCTTTGCCCCATATTTGACATACACTTTCTCTTTGGTCAATGACACTCGATGAGCAAACGAGCTAATATCTCTAATGATGAATACATGTTTTTTTTATATATTTGCAGTTGGTGTACGAGATAGGAGATCCTACGAAACTATCTTCTACCTGACGTGAGATGTGACTTCTCCCAAGTCACCATGGAAGAGATCGCTGGTATACTGGCTCGCCCAGACCTGATCCTCTACACATACGTATTCCTACCTCCACAGAGAGTAACGGGGAGAGTGCTGTTTTGGTTACTGGTGTCATGGGAAACCCTGCTCCAGACACTTACAAGGTAACTGTGCATTTCTCAACAGTATACGCATCACGCGTCACTTAAATGGACGTGTGTGGATATTATTGCGCACATGTGTATAATTTCGGTGTGCGTGGAGAATTTGGCATAATTAGTGTTCCAGAGTACGTGTGTAAAAGTCACGCTGTTTTTCAAAACCAGGTGAGTGCGACATACGGAGATGGATACAGGTGCATGGGAGTGTGCACGGTGGTTGGTCCCAAGGCAGTGGAGAAGGCTCACAGAGTAGCAGAGGCCATCCTCAGCAGGTCAGCCACCCCCTGTGCTGCCTCTACAGTATACATATCACCTGACTCTGCAATTGTAACATTGAAAATACCTTGAATTCTTTACAAACAAACTGAATCAAAGAATGGAAACAGATAGGAAATGGGGATTGTTTTTGCTCTTTTTTACGTATGTGAACCTGTATGTATGTATGTGTTACTGCTGAGGATCTTTGTCTTCAGAACTCGCAGAATTTTCCAGAAGACTGGGCTACCAGACTTCACTCAGACTCATGTCCACGTGAGTCGTTATTATAGTCACACACGTGAGGGGAAATACAGGCCAACCAACATCTGGACTCCATTGTTATAGATAGGTGGTGCGCTGTGGTGCATATCTAGGTTAACTGTGAAATATGGGGGGGGCTGTAACTCTTCGTACTTTTTTTGGTTACGCACGGGGAAGGACAGGACAATCAATTATGCTAAACATCTTCAATATAGCTGGAGAGTGCAGTGTAACTAATCCTTAGGGGTGGGTGTGTAAAATGGACTTTTAATAGGTATGCAAAGGAAAAGGACAGGCCAGCCAACCATGCCTTGTAGCTACGTGCCGGCTGGGGAGTATATACAGTATGTGTGTGTGTGTGAGGTGGAAAGCTGATTATAGCTGAAGAGTGCAGGTCAACCAAAACCTCAGAGGTGACTGTGGAAGATTGGGTAACCAAATCATTGTTTCATTCTCCATTGGGGGTTAATACATGAGGGAAAGGACTGGCTAACAAGTCATTCTATTATGCAGCATGTGGAATGCACTGGATGGTGCAGAGCATTAGGAGGCCGATGATACATACATGTACATACATGATGCACCTTTTTTTGCTGTGTGAGATGAAGTAGTGATGTCTGTGACTGACTGGGTGTGCAGGTGGTGGGATCTGGGTCCAGCTACATCCACGGAGCTGACAGTGGAGACAGCAGGGAGGTGTGCATGTGGCTCGGAGTACGACACACGCACAAGCAGGCCCTGGGCATCTTCTCCAGGGAACTGGCTCCGGCTGGAACTGGCATGGGTCAGTAAGTCAATCACGCACTATATTGCTATGGTGGAACCCCTCTAATCTGGACACCAATGGGGCAAAAGAAACTCATCCTTATGTCAGGGATTGAGCAAGAGCTGTGTGAGGAAACGGGTGTATTATAGAGAGGTTTCCTCATTTCAGGGGTGTCCTATGAAGAATGACTGTTATCATGTATAATGGTTAGGTCCTTACACTGTCACTATTGTCTTGTAGTCTGTTTATGGTTACACAGTTGTACTCACCATGCCCCTTGTGGTTCCACTATGTCTATAAAGACTCTGCACTGTATTCCCGTCAAGATTCTACATCCCAGAGAGGGGTTCCACTGTATTGTAGCTACACTCTCTGTCGTGTGTGATGATGTTTATCCCGCTCAGCTCCTGGGTTTACATCGCTCATTGGAGGCAGACCGAGTGTGTGAGTGCTCCAACTCCCGAACAAAATGTGTGAAGAAAGTGGTGTCATTTTTCTCCAGGTCTCCCGTTTTAAGACTGTTTTCCTTTCTGTATCCCAAGAACAAACTACCAGTAAGTAAGTATATCCTAGAGTTGAATTGCCTATATACCTCTGTTATATCTCTGATAAAGGACACACTGAACAACTGAACAACTACACACTTTGAGGTCCAACTTTTCCCATTAATCAAGTAATTTTAACCTCGTCCACCTCCGTACTGCTCGGTCCCATGTCCATTATTGGGAGGTTCCACTGTCTGTATGCTAGTGCTACTGACATTATGTTTCTGTGTGTAGGTCTCAATTCATCTGAATGGAGAGCTGGTGAAGACTCTGGACTATAGTGGGTGTGGCACGGGGATTGCCAGTCAGTTAGAAGATGAGAGAGAGGGGGAGGGGTGTGCTAGGGGAGACTGTATCTACAGACTGGAGCAGTTGGCCTACCTCCGCAGTGGAGACAAAGGGAACTCTGCCAACATAGGTTGTGTGTGGGCGCAAGCGTGCGTGCGTGCATACGTACTGAGTGAGAGTGTACTGTCCCATAGCACAGTGGTTTGAGGTGTGCCTTTGTGTTGTGTTGTATTGTAGATTCGAACCCCTACCAGCAGAGTTGCCCTGGTAGCTCAGTTGGTAGAGCGCTCGCCTAGACTGCAGAGTGTCGTGGGTTCGAATCCCACCTAGGACAGCTCTTTCTTCCGACTTGTTTGCCTTGCCTTGCCTTTCTACCTCGCTATATACCAAGTTGTTGAGACATGCGTGCGTGAGCCAAGGAAAAAGTTGAAAGGCTCGGTGAAATAGAGAGAGGTATACAGTATTGCTGTCAAATGTCAAAGCAACAGAGATTCAATATGGCCTTACCTGCAAGTTGTGGCCACTCTGGCCACCTCTATAGCAAGTTTGGCCACCACAGGCTGGAAATTACAACACTTGTTTCGCACGCAATTGTGTAGCTCTAGTGCCTCACTCAATGGCTGTTTTGGGAACCACTGGGCAGAACTCTGCAGTTGTGGAAAGCCTTCCTCGTTTTGTACTGCCACAAGTTCTTCTTTTTTACTGTCAAGGAAGCTACTATTTAGCAGCCTCCTGTGGTGTTCTGTACCTGCAGGAGTGATAGCCCGTCACCCGGACTTCCTGCCCTACATCAGGAGAGCCCTCACCACAGACGTCATCAGAAACTACTTTGGCCACTTCTTGGAGGATACCTCCACCATTGAGAGGCACGTGTGGCATTTGGGGAGAATACGTATGTAATAGCTATAGCACTAGGGCCATTGACCATTCACCCAGAGCTGCACCAATCAGCAATTGGCCAGCGAAGTGAGCCTACCTAGTCCTTTCAATGCGGGAATTTTCTATATGTTTATAACTAGCGGTCGGGTGCTGTACATACCGTAATGTTCTACGTGATTCTAAATACGCACAAAACACATGCGAAATATTGAACTGCTCGTGCTTGCTCGCCAAACAATGCGTTGCAGTTGAATAATTCACTCATTTCTGCTACATACCCCGTCTATCTGCTACATACATACCCCTTCTATCGCTGCTGATGATTTGTGTGCTCTTTACCTAGTGTTGCTAAATGACACCTTGTGAAAAACATTTTCATTGTAGTTGAACTTACACAACAGACTCAGTGTTAATGATGTGTTTGGTACATATAGATATGAGCTACCGGGGATCAGGGCTCTCAACTTCGTGATTGGAGACTGCCTCGGTGGAGGGGGTGTGGCTTCTCTCAGAATAGACCCTCAGGTGATGAATCATGCATTCCACATTAGTAATAAGTTGGTTTGGTGGTAATAAGTGCTCATCTCATATATAGTCCCTCTACTGTAATAGGTTTGGTCAAACTTTAGTGTACTGAAGGAACACATACTTGTAGCACAGCTACATACAATATTATGGTATATAGCATGACTATTCTTTCTGTTGTCTGTCAATAGGGCAAAGCGTATGCTCAGATGTTGGCAGAGTATGAATTGATTGGACTACCAGAATTCCCCAGTGAACACTTACAGAAGAACTGATTGAATCAAATTCCAATTTCTAATTTATACTACTGCTAATTATCCAATATCTATGGCTTTGGAGATGATGGTTGTTACACTTGGCATACTTAGTCATGTGAATGCGGATTTTACAAAGCTACCCGATCCAATTCTATGCTCTGAGACTATTGCTGTAATATTATGGCCCTCTCGGTAGCTTGCCCTATTCCAATCACATCATTGCCCTGTGCTTCAGATAGCTATACAGTGAGAAGGACTCTACACATCTTACACCCCCATGCTTCCCCCCCAGCGATGGCTTGGATGGGTGACCACCTAGGAACAGCAGGTGTTGTAGTTTTTTTTCTTTTGTCTAACTCGTGTGTGGCTGAGCCACTGTCGCGACTAGATCTGTAGAGCCCTAACACACCTTGTTCCCCCCGGTAAGGTTTACAGTTTGGGAAGGCTCAGTCTTTTTAGAGTTGTCCTGGCTGCAGTTGACTTGTTTCCTTTCCCTTTGCTGCCTTGCATTATTCCTAGACTTATGCCCCCCATCTGGCAGTGAGCGAGTATTGCTTCAGTGGTGGATAACAAAGTTTGCACACATGCAATAGATCTTCCTTGTGCTTGAACAGTATTTGTAACAGTATCTACATACATAACATACCACGATCAGGTTTAACAGCAGATCAGTCGATATTAACACAGTGTGGCTTTCTTTAGGAGTGATATTGAGAATTAATTAGTTAATAGCAGGGTGTTTGGTTTCCCTTGCCATTCTGTGTGAAACATGCCCTCTGTCAGAAAAGAACTCAGCAAAGCTAGTAATGCTGGTACCCACACGCCATGCCATGGACGATAACTATCATATGGAACATACAGAGGGCATAATTAAATGTGGCGGACAATAAAACTGGTATAGAATACTGCACACTCCATATGCGATGCATAGGCAATGGCTCAGCGCGCGCATGCACCCCGGGCCCGCACGGACGTACGTACGCGTCATCGCTTGCGTCACGTGCGCCTTACACTCGCCGCGCCCACGCAAACCCAGTCAACCCGCTGAGTCAGCACTTTCTGTAGAACGCGTTTGCAAGGCTACGAGTGTTCTCCGTGGTACACACTTAGGCATATAAACAATCGAGAGATAGCAAGGTCTTGGCCCGCCTGAACACCAGCCAGAGCAACTTCCTTCCGCAGCTATGATACTTGATCACATTATAGCCGCATGCGCAGACAGCCTAGGAATGTTGATTGTGCGTGCATGCGTCGCGTATATAGTAACTTCAGCCCTGCGCTCAACCGACGAGTAAACGGTTGATACCGGGAGTATTTTGACCCAATGGCTGCTGCAGTAGCCGTGCGGACGAGAAGACTAGAGAGCGGCCGAGTAGGCCACGTCGGTCCCAGAAGACTGATTGGCCCTGCAGTTCCGCCCCCGCCCCGGGCCAAACGACCGAGGCTTGAACAGCTGGAGAAAGAAAAGGCGTTGGAGCTGAGGAAGAAACACGTCGCGTACGTATGTCTCACAGTAGTGTTTGTGGAGAAGCAACACGCATGTCCTGGGTGTAGTTGATTTGCCTTTGCCTTTCTACCTCGTAGTTTTCACATACATGTGCACTCAGCATATAGCATGCAGTTGTATGGGAAGCATCTGCATGCATTTAGCGATGCTGGAAATCTTCCTATGGCCGTCCATCAACTGCAGGCCCTCGCTGGGTCTCCACTATGCCGCGGTGAAGCCTATCAAGGTCGCCTACGGACGGGGCCAGTACTTGTATGACGAGTGGGATGAGCCCTACCTGGACTGCATCAACAACGTCACCCACGGTAGGCCCCTGCCTAGCTCGCTGCACGACCGGTCGATCCTGGCTGGCTGCGTGCATGATAGCCCAGTAGATCCGCCACATTTGGAACGGGGCAGGCTGTTGTTTACTCCCGCTTGGAACCAGTTTTGCGAACCGGATATTGCATTCCGGTTTACTTGTCATTGATACCCAACCAGTGTAAGGTGTCCATTCATTAGCCCACACAGATATGCCAGACTCTGAGCCAATATATACACTCCTACAAGTGACTGTATTCTTGTAAATTGGGTAGAGAAAGTGGAGTGGATAGCTGTAAGTGTCACTGTGTTTCCAAGAATAGGTTGCTAGTATGGGAAAAGGTGGTCACTACTTTATCTCTACAACATGCAAGTTAATCCCCTATGATGAAGGGGTTTACTCCAATTCTGTAATCTCCTAGTGGGTCACTGCCACCCAAAGGTGGTAGCAGCCGGTGTGGAGCAGATGTCAAAGCTGGTCCACTCCCCTGGCACCAAGATGGCTGACTCATACACACAACAACTTCTCTCAACCTTCCCCGACAACATGGGACACGTCTTCTATGTCACCTCTGGGTAAGCCCCTGCCATTAGTACTCTTTGCGGCCCAAACAACGCATTGTTAATGTCGGGAAGATGAGCATTGTGTAATGCAAGAGAAAAAATGGTTGGGACTGACAATTGTGGTTATAGCTAGAAATGATACCAAATGAGGCATATTACACTTTGTAAGTGTGGTAATCTTAAAATACACAGTCAACCATCTGCTTGGGAGGCCTAACATTGTCATCTTATTTTGATGAGACAGAAGCTTGGTGCTGAATTTAATTTTAAGAGCACTACTAAACTTTCTATGGTTGGCTGAAGCTATGTAATCGGAGCCCCCCATTGTTACCAAAGTGGCAATTTGTTGTGTGAAGTGGGTGGCTTCTTTCCTGGACGAGAGGCCTGGCAAGAACACAGGGAGCCCTGTTTTGGAGGAGGCTAAGCTTTTTTGGCATCCTTGGTAAATAGCACTTGTTACTGTATGACAGTTCATGTTTCCTAGATTCTTTTATATGTGGGAAGTGCTAGCTGCTAGGTAACGTCATGTCGACATTAGAACTTACTTACCGCAACGCATTATTAACCCTCGGCGCGCATGCGCAGCGAGGGTTACGGTAGTTGGGTTTGTCTGTCTGTCTGTCTGTCTGTGTGTGTGTGTGTGTGTCTGTCTGTTACTCGTCATCTCACTTCTCGAGTGTTCGTTCGTCTCACAAAGGATACCACCTACTGAACGGGCAATGAAGGTCAGAAAATATGTGGGGTTTTCTCTGAAACTGCTCCGTTGCAGAGCTAGAGCGCGAAAAAGCTAATATGCAAATAGACAACGGACGGGACGGCTTACCACGGTCTGATCGATCCGCGTGCTCTGCGTATCTCAGAGGCACCAGAAGATGCAACGCAGGGCGTGTATCGCCTCTCGCATGCTATCTAGTAGTGTAGTTAGCCCGCGTCAGACTCTGCGCGAGCTGGGAAGAGACCACGAGTAACAGCTAAAACTAAACCCAGCCCATCAATTAGTGGTACGGCGCATGCGTTTACTTACGCGTGCGCGTCACAATGCGCCGAGGGTTTGCACTTCAGTGCTTTTCATTAGGGAGTGAATGTTGAGTATTAAGTTTCCACATCTTTATGCACCTTGTATAAGTCAGCAAATTAACTACCTAGTGTGCTTCGCTCGCCCAAAAAATTGTGCAAAATGTAGACACCTTTATGCGCATTGTTTATGATATGGTGCAGAACTGAGGCAAACGACCTGGCTCTGATGATAGCCGAGACCGTCACGGGACACTCGGAGATCATTGTCATTGATGGGTATGGAGAATATCAAGTGTACACCTTATAAGGCTGGTCTCCATAATAATAGTCTTACTTGGTATTGTGCTGTCTGGAGATGGATAATTATGGAATAACACTGACTGTAGTCTATTCCCCAGACCTGATCTGCAGAGGACTATATGGGGACCAGCCTATACGTATTGATGGGTAGCTCCTGACATGTGATGCTGTGCAAACTATGAATATGTTTAAACGTGGTGAAGTCTGCGTGTACACCGGTACGGGCAAATTTCAGTTTTGACATTTTTGGAGTTTGCCCAACAAGGACGCACTAACAAAATGGCGGCCGATACAAACCTCCTCTTGGTACACGCTACTGTCACACTCCATATAACTAGCTCGGTCGTCTTTGCGCGTTGTTCAGATAGCCACACCCACTGACTCAGCTAAAAAAGCAGCTGCGAAGCTTTTTCATTCGAGTTGAGTTTGGCTGGTAGCTCTTGTCGTGGCATTTTCAGGGTCCTCTGCGAGTTTTCGTCGATTCTTGACAGGCACGTGAAGAACGCAGAACACAACCATCCTCAATAGTTAGCCAATATAATACGCGGTTTTGGAGGTGTCGTAATGTGTCGCTGTATTTAAACGCAGTGGAAACGAGGCTGCAAAAATACGTTGCAACTTAAACTCTTCTTTCTATGTGAATAATATGCACCTCGTAAACTGTAATATTGCAGGGCTTACCACGGGCACTCCAAGCCTCTGGTGGGACTGAGTAGCTACAAGATGAAGGAGAAAGATGACTCGGGGATATCACCTAACCCTCATGCCTGGATAGTGAGTTACGTATATAATCCACCGTGAACCTAGTGATGCACCTCTGACACAGGCATGCTAGAGAGGTAGGTACAATGGGCGGATTCGATTCGTTCTGCATGGTGGTGATATTCACTGATTTGTGATTGCGCATGTAAGCCATGTGGCCTAGTATTAGTTACTGTGTGCCAAAGTCACCCAAGCCTCTCCCCCTACACCTGTAAATAGACCAACAGACACAACATTATTTAAATTCACCACCTTCTCAAATTTACCGAACGTTTCCCTAGGCATTGGTAGGACAGAGCACTCACAAACTAAGTTACTCTCCTCCTTCCCTCCCCTTCCCTCTCTCTCCTTCCCTCCCTCTCTCTCCCCTTCCCTCCCTCTCTCCCCTTCCCTCCCCCTCTCTCTCCTTCCCTCCCTCTCTCTCCTTCCCTCCCTCTCTCTCCCCTTCCCTCCCTCTCTCCCCTTCCCTCCCCCTCTCTCTCCTTCCCTCCCTCTCTCCTTCCCTCCCTCTCTCTCCCCTGTCTGTGTAGGCTTCCAATCCAGATCCATTCCGGGGAAAGTACGCTGACCCAGCCACAGCGGGGACTCAGTATGCTGGGGAAGTCAAGGAGATGATTGACAGCATGGAGAAGGAGGGAAAGAAGGTATATATAAGATACTGAGTTACACACACCCTCTGTTCTCACTTACAGTTGGGAACAGCACTTACAGCTAGATGTGAACAGCATTTCAGACCAAGATTTATATTTATACAGCTGTTGAGCTTTAGCTCTGAGCCGCCCAACTAGATTATTTAACATTGTCTGCTATTAATTACACAGTAACACCAGATGGCTTGGTGGAGTGTTAGTGCATGAACACACTCACACTGGTAATGAATCACATTGAAGTACAGTATAATTAGGCTTATGACAAGTATACAGTACACAGCGTGTGTATGAGCCGCATGTGTGCCGTTCAAGCCAGTTGAACATATGGTGCACATGTGTGTGTTTCCCTATGCGCGTGTGTATTGTTGTGTGTGTGCAGTTGGCATGCTATGTGTGCGAGTCCTTCCCCGGATGTGCTGGACAAGTGAAGCTACCTGAGGGATACTTCAAGGCTGTATTTGAGTAAGACGCTCACCCATTAGCTCTCCACGTGGCAAAACAAGTGCCTCATTAAAATGGGGAAACTCCTGTCTCTACAGCACAATTAATAAATAGTCTATACTTTGTAGAGGTTATTGTACAGGTGTCAACCAATACTTAGTCTTACGCCTGTATTATACCATAGAGGCTTTTGAAACTGGTATTGTATGTATATCAACCTCTACTTTGGTTTCCCTTTACCTGTTTGTAGCCAAGCAGCTATACAGTATATTTATACACGTGCCAGATAATATAATTCAGCCTGTTAGTCCACACAAACAAGCGTCATGTATTGCACCTTGACTGGATTACATGGTTGATTCCCCTCGTGTTTCGGTCCTCCCTGCAGTCACGTCCACAGAGCTGGTGGTCTGTGTGTCATCGATGAGGTCCAGACTGGGTTTGGCAGGGGCGGAGAGTTCTTCTGGATATTCCAGTCCCAAGGTCACCACTCTTCCTCCCTCCATGTTTACATATATACACCTGGTGATATGTACGTATTGTGCATGCACTGGGTCGGCAGCCTTTTACAAACTGAGTTGTGAACTTATGCAAACTGAAAGCACTACACATACACCTGTATTATACTAGCATCACTGTTATGGAGTGTGTGGATCCAAAGGCTTGTGCTTATATTGTTAACCCTCGGCGCGCATGCACAGCGAGGGTTACAGTACTTGGTTTGTCTGTCTGTATGTCGACGCTTATTCTCGCACTACAGGCTACGAGGCGGCCTATTAGCGATATCAGTGGCTTCAGAACTACGCGAACCTGAAAAATACAGAGGCGATTTCCTGAAACGACTGCATTCGAGAGATATGCCGTGAAAACAAGCGAAAAAGCCAATATACATAATCGCACTGGGCTTACTGCGACCTGATCCGCTCGCTCTGTGTACCTTGGGGGCTCAGGAAGTCACAATGGATGGCATGTAACGACTCCCGCATGCTATCTACTACTGTAGCTAGCCCGTGTAAGACTCTCTGCGAGCTACTAGCGTGGAGACAACGAGTAAACGCATACTCTTGGCCCAACCCTCAATTAGCGGTACCGCTTATGTGCAGTTTGCTGATGGTTTGTACTTCATTGCTTTTCATTTCATCATGATCGGGGAATGTAGAGTATGAATGTAGAGTTTATCTGCATTCTCTTTCCATTCTAAACACCGGGGTGTTGGTTGTGTGTGTGTAGGTGTGAAGCCGGATATAGTGACAGTGGGAAAACCAATGGGGAACGGTCACCCCGTTGCAGCTGTCGTTACCACCAAGGAAATTGCCAGGGACTTCCTCGCCAAACGCCCAGACCTTCAAATGAAGTGAGACCCCATTACATACAATGTATATTATTATACAGTGGAAACATCTCACAATCTCACAGTTTAACCCCAAGAAATAAAAACACTGATTATGCACAATATCAGCCTTAGTATAATATTACACCTCTACACAAATTTACAACATATGACTATGACCTGGTGGACTACACTAGTGCACTGTATATACCCATTTTTACTGGCCTTTTTACTGTATATACCAGTTTTTCCAGGTACACTAGTCCAATCCACTGTACCAGTTTTTCCAGGTATACTAGTCCAATCCACTGTACCAGTTTTTCCAGGTACACTAGTCCAATCCACTGTACCAGTTTTTCCAGGTACACTAGTCCAATCACTGTACCAGTTTTTCCAGGTACTAGTCCAGTCCACTGTACCAGTTTTTCCAGGTACACTAGTCCAATCCACTGTACCAGTTTTTCCTGTATTCCATGCAGTACAAGGGTAACCTGGTGTCTCTGGCGGTAGCAGAGGCAGTTCTGAGGGTGGTGGAGGAGGAGGGACTGGTGGCCCATGCCCGTGAGCTGGGAGGGTACATCCTCTCTCAGCTGAGTCTCATGGCCAACAAACATCCCTGCATCGGTGACGTAAGGTCTGTGCACCCAGCCGTCTGCAAACATGTCCCACGATAATCTATATACGAGGGACCACTGAGAAGCAAATATTTTAAGGGCAGGGACCATTTGGAAACAAAGTTTTTATGGGCAGGGACCATATTTTATGGGCAGGGACCATTTGGAAACAAAGTTTTTATGGGCAGGGACCATATTTTTATAGGTAGGGAGCATTGAGAAGCACAAATAGCACAAATGACAGCGAGGGACCAAGTAAGAAACAAAAAATTTGGAGAATTGGGAAACAAATTTTTAATGGGGTAGGGAACATTGAGAAAGAAATATGTGAAGTTTGGTACAGAATTCTCCCTTGATAGTTTCCTACTCTACAAAAACAAAGGATTACTCTTGCAACAAAGGCCTTTCATTGTGTTTCCAGTGTCTCCAATGGACTACAGTAGTGATACCGTGGGAAAAACAACTAGTGGTTTAAAATATTTGTTACTTGCAGAGGCTATGGGTTGTTTATTGGTGTTGAGCTGACGGAAGGTGCTGGAAGCAAGGCCCCCAATGGCAAGCTGGCGAAAGACGTTGTTGCAAAGTGAGCTATACACACAAACATACAATGTGTTGGCTCCACCCAGCGTATTTTGCATCACACACACACTATTGTATGGTGTGTACACTGTACATGCTGCATTTTGAGTATATTCACGTGGATGCACCTTAACCTCTCACCTCTCACCTCTCACGTGTTAATGTATGTCTACAGGATGTTGTTGAGAGATAAGATTATGGTGATGCAAGACGGACTGGACAACAATGTCCTCAAGATCAAGCCTCCAATGTGTTTCACCAGAGCCAATGCTGACTCCCTCCTCCAGTCTTTGGATGCCGTGCTCACCGACCTGACACAGTAGTCCCTTCCACACTCTGTCACACGGTGTATGAATGACACACGGTTTTTACTCATCGTCTTCATTTTACTGAAGAACAGTTTTAAAACAGCGTGGTAGTGCCTTCTGACTCTAACTTGGGCACTACGATTCTTCATTTACAGAAGAATACGTTCATCAATGACCCCCTCTGTTATATTTCGGTATTTATAAAATTCATTCACAGGAGAAACTTTTTCTGTCATTATGTGTCTAATATTTATGTGTCTAATATTTTTATTATTGACATGTGAAGAATGGTGTATTGTATTGTGTGTGTGGATGCACTATTCAGAACCCATATTTGGAGCGACTGTCTTTCCTGGCCTGGCTCCCCACGGCCCAATGCTTCTGTAGGTCCAACTCTCTCTCTTTAGCCTGCAGCATGAACAACACAATCACACTACCCTGCAGCATGAACAACACAATCACACTACCATGCAGCATGCAGCATGAACAACACAATCACACTAGCTACTCTCTCTACACAGGCCACGGGGCAGACACAGCAAGGAGTCTCCCAAAAAGAATTCTTGGTGTTCTGTGATAAGGATGGGCAGTGGTTTTGCTGCTTGAATTCAGTTGGTATAGGTATGCAAAACATCCCTTTTTCAAGAGTTTCCTGGTTAATTTTGAACCTACATGTGCAAACAGTATGCTTTCTAGCAAGAATTGGGCACTCAGGATGTTATTGGAGAGTGTTGTGGGTTCGAATCCCACCTGGGAGAGCTCTTCCTTTTTCCTTGGAAAAAAAGTTTATTTTATCCTTTGGGAAAAAAGAGCTGTCCTGGGGTATAGTTGACTTGTTTGCTTTGCCTTTGCCTATCTACCTCTTTTGACACATACATACACAGGTTTATACGCGGCAAGCATTTACTCTAATTCCACTACAGTTACTTTCTGCATGCATTAGCATCGCTTGCAAGGCTCGACTGTCCGTATGCTGTAGCCCTTTAGTCGCAATGGTCAAGGTTAACACCTCTGTTGCCCACCTTTAATGTACCCCTGCTCTTTATATACCTTGTCTAGTACATTTCCCTCTCCAGCCATCAATGGAGCAACAGAGTCAGTGTACTGTGCAAATTCCTCTGGTAGTTTTAACTGTCAGGTGGGACTGAGGGACCACCCAGAGCAGCTGCCCATGCTATCATCCACCACCAGAGTCTCCATCAACACCAGTGAGTCTTACTGCAAACTAAGGTCACCACTTTTACTGATGGCACATTATGTGTATGTGTGCATGCTCGGCGTGAAATACTGCCCAGAGACTCTTAGGCATTGCTTTTGCCAGCCATACACTGCTTTGTAGTACTCTCAAGAATGCATGTGAGAGGAAGAGGGAGAGAGAGGAGGAGGGGGCGAGAGAAGGAGAGGGAGAGAGAGAAGGAGAGGGAAAGAGAGAGAAGGAGAGGGAGAGAGAAGGAGAGGGAGAGAGAGAGAATTGTTACATGTGTAAACTACGAGGTAGAAAGGCAAAGGCACAACAAACAAGTCAACTACACCCAGGACAGCTCTTTTTTTCAAGGAAAATAGAAGAGCTGCCCTGGGTGGGATTCGAACCCACGACACTCTGCAGTCTAGGCGAGCGCTCTACCAACTGAGCTACCAGGGCAACTCAGCTGGTAGGGATTCGAATCTATATACAACACAATACAACACAATACAAACCTCAAACCACTGTGCTACGGGACTATGCAAACCTTTTCACATTTGGATATGATATACATGTATATATGCCCTTCGTTGTGACTTCTTGTGCCTTCAAGATACACAGAGCGAGCGGACGTGATCGAGATAAGCCTGTGCTAATTTGCATATTGGCTTGTTCACTTGCTTTTCACGCCATAACTTTTGAACGTACGAAAATCGCCTTTTTTTAAATGAAGCCAGTGTAGCGATGAACCCGTTGCTGGTATTGCTGTTTTGTTGTCTCGTTGCGCGTAGTCGCAGAAAACGTGGTAACAACCAACTACAGTAACCCTCGCTGCGCATGCGCGCCGAGGGTTAATTATTATAATAATTCTTTTGTCCATCTTTTATTGGCGATCGCTCGTAACTAATCATTAACACACATTTTTCATTGATGAACATTAGATTATTTAACACACATCTAAACTCAAGAGTCTTAGCTATAGCTAATTAGCATCCATGATCAAAGAATGTTCAAGCTACTTATTTCACTGTGACCTTTATCAGGTTCTCAAGGCAATGATCAAATTTGTCAGAAGCAGGAGGTAGTTGTCCAAGAGGACATGCGTGTACGCCAACTCCTCCATTACTTGGGAACCTAGCGTAGGAGCCACCTGCTGGGTAGTAGAGCACAATATCATCTTCCTCGTCTAGAGCAGCTCCATCATTTTTTCCATAGGCATATATCCGGAAAACTTCCCCGCCACAAATGAACCACTTGTGGAGATGATCAAACCCTATGAAATAAACATTTTTGACAGAAAATGTAAAATAACCGAAGGAGGTTGCCGCTAGTGCACTGTACATCATACACGTACATGTACATACGTACCTCACTGAACACATTTAAAAGATATATATTGCTACATAATGCATAATTGGGCCTAGTAAATGTGCTGCTTTCAGCTCTACAACCACATATGTGAGTTTGAGCAAAGTCGAGTGTGTCAAAGTTTACGATGGGCAATGGTGAGCTTGTAAAGTATACACCAGCAGCAACCATTCATGCATTAACTGATGCAAAATTAAACCACAGTCACATTAAAGGACATCATATGTAGGGTAGAGTTTTAATTACCACACTTAAGGCCATATACTGCCCAAACTAGCTATTTTTGCCACCACTTTATACAAATGCAAGACCCATTAGAGCTTAGAGCGTCGATAGACGCTCTATATAGGGATGACACGAGTGAAATCTCACGTGATCTGGGTAAAAAAACGACTAAAAACGGTGAGAATGACTCCCTAGGCCTTCAAAACACACTAGCAATAGTTTACGGGCCCATATCTACCTATACATATTCCCAAAGACCCCATATGCACCTTCAGTCGTCCACACGAGAATTCGCTCATACGCGATTTCACGATTTTCGTGTCATCACATTCTTCATCTTCTTCTTCTTCTTCTTCTTTTTCTTTAAACCCGCTATCTCCTTACTAGTACCAGTTGAAGCGCTGATTTTTTCACTGAACGTGTCCAATTTCGCCAGAGCTGTGCACGCACATCAAGCGATCGTTTCTTTCTTGCCGCTAGTCACTACGGTAGATCATGGAGCTCTTCCATGGTCGACACTGAACAACGCCATTTGCTGCTAACTCAGCATCAGTGAGCCGCGCGCATGCGCCAAGCAGGGGCGTTGTCCAATGCGCATGTTACCAGGCGAGTTGACAGACCTGCAGAGGAAGTCTCAGCCTCCAGTGCCTTCTGTAAGTAAGTGTGCACATTTCCAACTGGCTAGCTTGCTGCTGATTTGTACGAGGACCAACTTGGCAGAGTCTGCGCAGTGTTACGCGAGTCTAGCGGGGCACTCACATGGACCTTCATTGTTTGTCCCCCCAGGTTGTATATGGCCTGATTACCATAAGCCTGCCGATGAAACCACAAAACCGCAAAGTTTAATATCGAACAGAGATATAGGGATGGTGTCATGTAGCTTTGTGCATCTTTGCTGTGTAATGACCCCTTGTTTCTAACTTTTTGGAGCTTCAAGCCATCCCTATATCCCCCTTTCATTTTGAAGAAATGATTTTTCCACTTGTATAATTACGCTCTGTACCCCTAACTCTAGTTTTCGTACAGACAGATATAAGTGCTAGTTATAAGCCAGTGAAAATGTTGAGAGCTTGGGAGAGACATCTCTGTGTTACGTCATTGTTTGTAGCATCAAATGACCTCACCAGTGACTGAGTTCACACTTCCAGGGCAGGTTTCAGTGTGGCCGCTGTTCCCAGAAAGTGAAAACCATTGTCTAGTACGACCGTAGTAGAGACCAACGAAATCTCCAGACTGAATGGCACCAGGACCAAGGGCCCTGTATATTTGAAACACTTCTCCCCAGCAGTTGTTCCATTCGGCTCCTGTAAAGATCAATCTGGGGCATGGGGCGCCGGAACATGGGTGTCCAGCACAGCCCAACCACTTGGCCATATTTGCCTCAAACTGAAGTCCAATAGTGGCACCATGGGTGATCGCTGCAACATTATTATACACTGTAAAGCAAAGTCTACTTGCTACATTGTAAACCACTAAGCCTCGAGTATACACCCTATAATAACAGCTATGAAACCATAGCCCACATGCACACTTGAATGTTATTGTCCTCACTTTTAACTTTGTGGCAGCTAGCTACTAGACTAGGAATCATAGCCCACATGCATACTTATGACTCTGCACTCACCTTTAGCGTTGCAGCTAGATTGCATACTAGTCTCTCGCTGTTTGGGACGATTCAAAAGTTGATGCTTCAGGTCTGCTGCTGATTTTGGTGGTAGCCTTGGCTCTGCCATGAGAAATGCGTCATCCATTCCTGCAGCAACGAAGCAAACCTGGATACATTCACCAATAATATTCATTATCCTTACCTTGTCGAATATCGTCTTGTGCAGTTGGCACATCACCCTGTGATTCAAAGTCTCTCCGAAGATAGGATTCCAGGAAAGCATTGTAGTCCTCGTCCATCTCTGACTGTCCATCACTGGTCGTATCCTGAGAGTCCATTTCCACAGGGTAGTCCTCCACTGGACCTGCCAGTACAGCAGTCACCAACAGAGAGACTGCCACTCCGATATAGAGGCACAGCTTCATTCCTGTAGATGGTTAGAAATTTGTTAGTCGCAGAAGAAAATCTGGTGCTTGCTCTTTTCGTTTCGCAGCTTTTTATAACGAAAAAGAGGCCTAGCATAATCACCAGGAGCCCTGTTTTGGAGGAGGCTAAGCATTTTTGGCATCCTTGGTAAATGTAGCACTTGTTACTTGTATGACAGTTCATGTTTCCTTATATGTGGGAAGTGCTAATGCCAATAGCTGCTAGGTAACTGACTCTAACTTGGGCACTACGGTTCTTCATTTACAGAAGAATGTGTTCATCAATGACCCCCTCTCTGTTCAGGGTAACCCTCACTGCGCATGCGCGCCGAGGGTTAAAATTACTGTTAACCCTCGCCTGCGCGCATGCGCAGCGAGGGTTATTGCAGTTGGTGTGTGTGTGTACGTGTGTCTGTGTGTGTGTACGTGTGTGTGTGTGCGTGCGTCTGTGCGTCTGTCCGTCCGTCTGTCCACCGTTTTTCTCGGTAACCGCGGCAACTCTGAGCGTGAAACGTGGTCATATTATCAAGTAGGAGGTATGCATGGTAAAATAAGATTCTGGAGCGGAGAAGGCCGGGGAAGCTGGTGAAACGGGCGGCTGTCGAAGTGAGTGTGCGTCAATTAGAGATCGCGCGAACGATCGCTGTGCTAGATGTTACAGTTGAGTAGGACAGCAGCACACGCCCAGTGAATCCGTTCAGTGAAGGAGTCACTTATCTAACGTAGCTAGTAGCTGAATAAAGTGGTGAGGGTTATGTACTGTCAAGTGCTTTTCACTTTGCTGTAGTAGTAACTAGTATTGAACACGCATGTGCAAAAGACTGAGGTAGTGTAGCTAGTAGCCATTGGCTGCTGAAATAAAGAATAAAGTGGCGAGGATTATGCACTTTCAAGTGCTTTTCATTATTATTGATGAGACAGAAGCTTGGTGCTGAATTTAATTTTAAGAGCACTACTAAATATCTAGGGGTTTGTGCTTAGGCTGAACCTATATATGTAATCCGAGTTCCCCATTGTTATCAAAGTGGTAATTGGTTGTGTGAAGTGGGTGGCTTCTTTCCTCCACAAGCAAAAATATGACGAGCCCTGTTTTCGAGGAGGCTAAGCATTTTTGGCATCCTTGGTAAATAGCACTTGTTACTGTATGACAGTTCATGTTTCCTAGATTCTTTTATATGTGGGAAGTGCTAGCGCCAATAGCTGCTAGGTAACGTCATGTCAACATTTACCGGATCAAGCCCCCGATGTGTTTCACCAGAGCCAATGCTGACTCCCTCCTCCAGTCTTTGGACGCCGTGCTCACCGACCTGACACAGTAGTCCGTCCCTTCCACACTCTGTCACACGGTGTATGAATGACACACGGTTTTTACTCATCGTCTTCATTTTACTGAAGAACAGTTTTAAAACAGCGTGGTAGTGCCTTCTGACTCTAACTTGGGCACTACGATTCTTCATTTACAGAAGAATGCGTTCATCAATCACCCCCTCTGTTCTTTGGTTTTATATTTCAGTACGGTAACCCTCACTGCGCATGTAGCTGAAGCTATATATGTAATCCGAGTTCCCCATTGTTACCAAAGTGGTAATTGGTTGTGTGAAGTGGGTGACTTCTTTCCTCCACAAGCAAAAACATGAGGAGCCCTGTTTTCGAGGAGGCTAAGCATTTTTGGCATCCTTGGTAAATAGCACTTGTTACTGTATGACAGTTCATGTTTCCTACATTCTTTTATATGTGGGAAGTGCTAGCGCCAATAGCTGCCAATAGCTGCTAGGTAACGTCATGTCACCATTAGAACTTACCTACCGGAAGTAATGCAACGCATTATTGGCAAGTGAATGTTGAGTATAAAGTTTCCACATCTTTATGCACCTTGTATAAGTCAGCAAATTAACTACCAAGCGTGATTCGCTCGCCCAAAAAATTGTGCAAAATGTAGACACCTTTATGCGCATTGTTTATGATATGTTGCAGGACTGAGGCAAACGACCTGGCTCTGATGATAGCCGAGACGGTCACGGGACACTCGGAGATCATTGTCATTGATGGGTATGGATAATATCAGTATACCTTATAAGGCTGGTCTCCATAATAATAGTCTTTCTTGGTATTGTGCTGTCTGGAGATGGATATGGAAAAACACTCACTAATTTGGAAGACCCATTACCACCATGCAAGTCTGGGTCTGTGAAATAGAAATGTAGTCTATTCCCCAGACCTCTGCAGAGGACTATATGGGGACCGGCCTATACGTGTAGTGTAACATTGATGGATAGCTCCTGACGTGTGATGCTGTGCAAACTATGAATACGTTTAAACGTGAAGTCCGCGTGTAAAAGGGAGTGCACCGGTACGGGCAAATTTAATTTTTTGACATTTTTGGGGTTTGCCCAACAAGGACGCACTAACAAAATGGCGGCCGATACGCTACTGTCACACTCCGTAAGCATCTACAAGCAAGAACTACGGTCTAAATCCATTGCCCAGCACAAGCCAAACACTCACCAGGGCGAGTTTTCGTCAATTCTCAACATTGGTAAGTTGGTTTCTAAGACTGAGAAGCAGCATGCATAGCAGCCGTCATTAGGCCTTCTCCGGTCTGTAGTACAGTGTAAGAGTGTGCACTCCCCAGGAATGGCGTGGGTCATCAGTACATACAGCGAATCTGCAGAGGCTGTTGCTCGGCGAGCTGTCGGTCCGTTTGTTTACTTGGAACCAAGCTGGCTCGTAAGCCGTGGCTGCCAGTTTTCTTTGTTTGTTTGCTGGTGCATGGTCATGAAACGGCTCATGTTAGCCAGTTTGTGTGGAAAATGGAGCCTGCTTGACAGTGGAGCGACAAAGACGCTTGCATGCCATCTTCACTTCGACCGAAGCGCGAAAATATTTGAATTTGAACCACACCGATGCGCCTCCTTTTATACGCAGTCTCTGGGGTGTTTTTTTTATTTTTTTTGATTTTTATGCTTTTTTGATTTTTATGTGGAGAAATACTACTACTAAAACTCAAAAATAAAACAAATGAAAAACAAAACAAAACAAACGAAACAACAAACAGATTAAATGATGCTGTCAATAGAAGGGGGGCCAATGGGGAATCAATGGAGCCAAAGAGCGGCATTCCCACGCCAGAGAGAAACAGAGCAGCGCTGGAAGAGGTGACGAATTGAGTCCGCGGGAGAGACCCCTAAACGCTGGCCTAGAAGGCGACCAATTCTGGACAACGAGGTGGTTGTGGCCTCACTCATGCCGCCCAGGGCCTCAAAAGCAAGGGAGATGAAAGAGACCCCTACAGCGCGGCAAGCGGGGGCATGAGCTGACATCTTTCGATGCTCCCCCACAGAAAGGGCATGGCCAGCAGAGGAAGCAGCCCCTTGAAGGGTGAGGGGTTGAAGGGGGGAAATGGCGGTCACATCCATAGCAGCTGGTTGACCCCGTTCCCAATTAGGATTGATGGGGTGTTCGGAATGTGTATTTTCCTACGTATTTACATGACAACTGCACGTTTAACCACAAGTACCCCATTGTTCCACGCATATCACACAATTGTTTGCATACATTCTTTCATCCTGTGTATAAGGTCCTGTGTATAAGGTCCTGTGTATAAGGTGTAAGCTTGACCACTTTATGATAAATACAGGCTCATGAAGAACGCAGAACATGACCATCCTCAATAGTTAGTATAATGCACTGTTTTGTAAGTGTCATAATGTGTCGCTGTATTTAAACACAGTGGAAAAAAGGCTGCAAATATACATTAAAACTTAAACTCTTCCTAGTATAATTGTGAATATGTATGCGCCTCATAATAATAATAATAATAACTGTAATATTGCAGGGCTTACCACGGGCACTCCAAGCCTCTGGTGGGGCTGAGTAGCTACAAGATGAAGGAGAAAGATGACTCAGGGATATCACCTAACCCTCATGCCTGGATAGTGAGTTACGTATATAATCCACCATGAACCTAGTGATGCACCTCTGACAATAGTCTGTACTTTGTACAGGTGTCAACCAATACTTAGTCTCCATAGTACAAATAGGTACATACGCCTGTATTATGCTATAGAGGCTTTTGAAACTCGTATATATTGTATGTATATCAACCTCTACTTTGGTTTTCCTTGTAGCCAAGCAGCTTATACAGTATATTTATACACGTGCCAGATAATATAATTCAGCCTGTTAGTCCACACAAACAAGTGTCATGTATTGCACCTTGACTGGATTACATGGTTGATTCCCCTCGTGTTTCGGTCCTCCCTGCAGTCACGTCCACAGAGCTGGTGGTCTGTGTGTCATCGATGAGGTCCAGACTGGGTTTGGCAGGGGCGGAGAGTTCTTCTGGATATTCCAGTCCCAAGGTCACCACTCTCCATGTTTACATATATACACCTGGTGATATGTATTGTGCATGCACTGGGTCGGCAGCCTTTTACAAACTGAGTTGTGAACTTATGCAAACTGAAAGCACTACACATACACCTGTATTATACTAGCATCGCTGTTATGGAGTGTGTGGATCCAAAGGCTTGTGCTTATATTGTTAACCCTCGGCGCGCATGCACAGCGAGGGTTACAGTACTTGGTTTGTCTGTCTGTATGTCGACGCTTATTCTGGCACTACAGGCTACGAGGCGGCCTATTAGCGATACCAGTGGCTTCAGAACTACGCGAGCCTGAAAAATACAGAGGCGATTTCCTGAAACGACTGCATTCGAGAGATATGCTGTGAAAACAAGCGAAAAAGCCAATATACATAATCGCACTGGGCTTACTGCGACCTGATCCGCTCGCTCTGTGTACCTTGGGGGCTCAGGAAGTCACAATGGATGGCATGTAACGACTCCCGCATGCTATCTACTACTGTAGCTAGCCCGTGTAAGACTCTCTGCGAGCTACTAGCGTGGAGACAATGAGTAAACGCATACTCTTGGCCCAACCCATCAATTAGCGGTACCGCTTATGTGCAGTTTGCTGATGGTTTGCACTTCATTGCTTTTCATTTCATCTGAACAGTATATGAATGTAGAGTCTATATGCATTCTCTTTCCGTTCTAAACACCGGGGTGTTGGTTGTGTGTGTAGGTGTGAAGCCGGATATAGTGACAGTGGGAAAACCAATGGGGAACGGTCACCCCGTTGCAGCTGTCGTTACCACCAAGGAATTGCCAGGGACTTCCTCGCCAAACGCCCAGACCTTCAAAATGAGTGAGACCCCATTACATACAATGTATATTATTATACAGTGGAAACATCTCACAATCTCACAGTTTATAACCCCAAGAAATAAAAACACTGATTATGCACATATCAGCCTTAGTATAATATTACAACCTCTACACAAATTTACAACATATGACTATGACCTGGTGGACTACACTAGTGCACTGTATATACCCATTTTACTGGCCTTTTTACTGTATATACCAGTTTTTTCCAGGTACACTAGTCCAATCCACTGTACCAGTTTTTCCAGGTATACTAGTCCATCCACTTACCAGTTTTTCCAGGTACACTAGTCCAACCCACTGTACCATTTTTTCCAGGTACACTAGTCCAATCCACTGTACCAGTTTTTTCCAGGTACTAGTCCAGTCCACTGTACCAGTTTTTCCAGGTACCTAGTCCAATCCACTGTACCAGTTTTTTTCCTGTATTCCATGCAGTACCAAGGTAACCTGGTGTCTCTGGCGGTAGCAGAGGCAGTTCTGAGGGTGGTGGGAGAGGAGGACTGGTGCCCATGCCCGTGAGCTGGGAGGGTACATCCTCTCTCAGCTGAGTCTCATGGCCAACAAACATCCCTGCATCGGTGACGTAAGGTCTGTGCACCCAGCCGTCTGCAAACATGTCCCACGATAATCTATATACGAGGGACCACTGAGAAAGCAATATTTTAAGGCAGGACCATTTGGAAACAAGTTTATGGGCATGGACCATATTTTATGGGCAGGACCATTTGGAAACAAAGTTTTTATGGCAGGGACCATATTTTTATAGGTAGGGAGCCTTGAGAGCACAAATAGCACCAATGACAGCGAGGGACCAAGTAGAAACCAAAATTTGGATAATTGGAAAAAATTTTTAATGGGTAGGACCTTGAGAAAGAAATATGTGAAGTTTGGTACAGAATTCTCCTGATAGTTTCCTACTCTACAAAACAAAGGATTACTCTTGCAACCAAGGCCTTTTTGTGTTTTCCAGTGTCCTCCAATGGACTACAGTAGTGATACCGTGGAAAACAACTAGTGGTTTAAAATATTTGTTACTTTGCAGAGGCTATTGTGTTGTTTTTTGGTGTTTGAGCTGACGGAGGTGCTGGAAGCAAGGCCCCCAATGGCAAGCTGGCGAAGACTTGTTGCAAAGTGAGCTATACACACAACATACAATGTGTGGCTCCACCCAGCGTATTTGTCATCACACACCTATTGTTGGTGTGTACACTGTACATGCTGCATTTTGAGTATATTCACGTGGATGCACCTTAACCCCTCTCACCTCTCACCTCTCACGTGTTAATTTATGTCTACAGGATGTTGTTGAGAGATTAGATTATGGTGATGCAAGACGACTGGACACAATGTCCCTCAGATCAAGCCTCCATGTTTCATCACCAGAGCCAATGCTGACTCCCTCCTCAAGTCTTTGGATCCGTGCTCACCGACCTGACACAGTAGTCCTTCCACACTCTGTCACACGGTGTATGAATGACACCGGTTTTTACTCATCGTCTTCATTTTACTGACGAACAGTTTTAAAACAGCGTGTAGTGGCCTTCTGACTCTACTGTGGGCACTACGATTCTTCATTTACAGAATATACGTTCATCAATGACCCCCTCTGTTTATATTTCGTATTTATAAAATTCATTCACAGGAGAAACTTTTTCTGTCATTATGTGTCTAATATTTATGTTCTAATATTTTTATATTGAACATTGAAGAATGGTGTATTGTATTGTGTGTGTGGATGCCTATTCAGAACCCATATTTGGAGCGACTGTCTTTCCTGCCTGGCTCCCCACGGCCCAATGCTTCTGTAGGTCCAAACTCTCTCTCTTTAGCCTGCAGCATGAACAACACAATCACACTACCCTGCACCATGCAGCATGAACAACACATCCAACACTAGCTACTCCTCTCTACACAGGCCACGACAGGAGGTCGAAGAGGAGGGGAGGGGAGAAGGTGGGAGTTTCCATTCTTTTCCTCTTCTTTTCTCCTCTTCCCTTTCTGCTTTTTGTGGTGGGTGCAGCCACCCAGCACGTCGATCTCCCAAAGCCCTCTTGGTTTTCTTTCTAGGCCCCGGATGGGCAGTGGTGTGTCGCCGCTTGAAATCAGATTGTGTATAGGTATGCAGAACAATCCCTTTTTCACAGAGTTTCCTGGTTAATTTTCTCGACCTACATGTGCAAACAGTAATCTTTGCTCTACTAGCAAGAATTGGCACTCCGGATGTATATTGGAGAGTGTGGGGTTCGAATCCCAGCCTGGGAGAGCTCTTCCTTTTTCCTTGGAAAACAAAGTATCCTTGGGAAAAAAGAGCGGTCCTGGGTCTAGTTGACTGTTTGCTTCTTGCCTTTGCCTATCTAACTACACCTCTTTGGACACATCCTACACAGGTTTATACGCTGGCAGCATTTTACTCTACTTCCACTACAGTTACGTTCTGCATGCATTAGCATCGCATTGCAGGCTCTCGACTGTCCGTATGCTGTAGCCCTTTAGTGCGCATGGTCAAGGTTCACCCTCTGTCCACCTTTAATGTCACCCTGCTCTGTATATACCTCTGTCTAGTACATTTCCCTCTCCAGCATCAATGGAGGCACACGAGTCAGTGTACTGTGCAAATTCTCTGGTAGTTTTAACTGTCAGGTGGACTGAGGGACCACCCAGACAGCTGCCATGCTATCATCCACCACCAGAGTCTCCATCAACGCCAGGATGTCTTACTGCAAACTAAGTACCCACTTTTACTGATGGCACATATGTGTATGTGTGCATGCTGGCGTGAAATACTGCCCAGAGACTCTTAGCATTGTTTTGCCAGCCATACACTGCTTTGTAGTACTCTCAAGAATGCATGTGAGAGGAAGAGGAGAGAGAGGAGGAGGGGCGAGAGAAGGAAGGGAGAGAGAGAAGGAGGGAAGAGAGAGAAGGAGAGGGAGTAGAGAAGGAGAGGAGAGAGAGAATTGTTACATGGTAAACTACGAGGTAGAAAGGCAAAGGCACACAACAAGTCAACTACACCCAGACAGCTTCTTTTTTTCAAGGAAAATAGAGAGCTGCCCTGGGTGGGATTCGAACCCACGACACTCTGCAGTCTAGGCGAGCGCTCTACCAACTGAGCTACAGGGCAACTCAGCTGGTAGGGATGTCGAATCTATATACAACACAATACAACACAATACAAACCTCAAACCACTGTGCTACGGGACTATGCAACCTTTTCACATTTGGATATGATATACATGTATATATGCCCTTCGTTGTGACTTATTGTGCCTTCAGATACACAGAGCGAGCGGACGTGATCGAGATAAAGCCTGTGCTAATCTTGCATATTGCTTGTTCACTTGCTTTTCGCACGCCATAACTTTTTGAACGCTACGAAATCGCCTTTTTTAAAATGAAGCCAGTGTAGCGAGAACCCGTTGCTGTATTGCTGTTTGTTGTCTCGTTGCGCGTAGTCGCAGAAAACCGTGGTAACACCCACTACAGTAACGTAACCCTCGCTGCGCATGCGCGCCGAGGGTTAATTATTATAATATTCTTTGTCCATCTTTTATTGGCGATCGCTCGTAACTAATCATTAACACACATTTTTCATTGATGAACATTAGATTATTTAACACACATCTAAACTCAAGAGTCTTAGCTATAGCTAATTAGCATCCATGATCAAGAATGTTCAAGCTACTTATTTCACTGTGACCCTTTATCAGGTTCTCAAGGCAATGATCAAATTTGTCAGAAGCCGGAGGTAGTTGTCCAAGAGGACATGCGTTACGCCAACATCCTCCATTACTTGGGAACCTAGCGTAGGAGCCACCTGCTGGGTAGTAGAGCACAATATCATCTTCCTCGTCTAGAGCAGCTCCATCATTTTTTCCATAGGCATATATCCGGAAAACTTCCCCGCCACAAATGAACCACTTGTGGAGATGATCAAACCCTATGAAATAAACATTTTTGACAGAAAATGTAAAATAACCGAAGGAGGTTGCCGCTAGTGCACTGTACATCATACACGTACATGTAGATACGTACCTCACTGAGCACAATTAAAAGATATATATTGCTACATAATGCCTAATGGGCCTAGTAATGTGCTGCTTTCAGCTCTACAACCACATATGTGAGTTTGAGCAAAGTCGAGTGTGTCAAAGTTTACGATGGACAATGGTGAGCTGTAAAGTATACACCAGCAGCAACCATTCATGCATTAACTGATGCAAAATTAAACCACAGTCACATTAAAGGACATCATATGTAGGGTAGAGTTTTAATTACCACACTTAGGCCATATACTGCCCAAACTAGCTATTTTTGCCACCACTTTATACAAATGCAAGACCCATTAGAGCTTAGAGCGTCGATAGACGCTCTATATAGGGATGACACGAGTGAAATCTCACGTGATCTGGGTAAAAAAACGACTAAAAACGGTGAGAATGACTCCCTAGGCCTTCAAAACACACTAGCAATAGTTTTACGGGCCCATATCTACCTATACATATTCCCAAAGACCCCATATGCACCTTCAGTCGTCCACACGAGAATTCGCTCATACGCGATTTCACGATTTTCGTGTCATCACATTCTTCATCTTCTTCTTCTTCTTCTTCTTTTTCTTTAAACCCGCTATCCTCCTTACTAGTACAGTTGAAGCGCTGATTTTTTCACTGAACGTGTCCAATTTCGCCAGAGCTGTGTACGCACATCAAGCGATCGTTCTTTCTTGCCGCTAGTCACTACGGTAGATCATGGAGCTCTTCCATGGTCGACACTGAACAACGCCATTTGCTGCTACTCAGCATCAGTGAGCCGCGCGCATGCGCCAAGCAGGGGCGTTGTCCAATGCGCATGTTACCAGGCGAGTTGACAGACCTGCAGAGGAAGTCTCAGCCTCCAGTGCCTTCTGTAAGTAAGTGTGCACATTTCCAACTGGCTAGCTTGCTGCTGATTTGTACGAGGACCAACTTGGCAGAGTCTGCGCGGTGTTACGCGAGTCTAGCGGGGCACTCACATGGACCTTCATTGTTTGTCCCCCCAGGTTGTATATGGCCTGATTACCAAAGCCTGCCGATGAAACCACAAAACCGCAAAGTTTAATATCGAACAGAGATATAGGGATGGTGTCATGTAGCTTTGTGCATCTTTGCTGTGTAATGACCCCTTGTTTCTAACTTTTGGAGCTTGAAGCCATCCCTATATCCCCCTTTCATTTTGAATAAATGGTTTTTCCACTTGTATAATTACGCTCTGTACCCCTAACTCTAGTTTTCGTACAGACAGATATAAGTGCTAGTTATAAGCCAGTGAAAATGTTGAGAGCTTGGGAGAGACATCTCTGTGTTACGTCATTGTTTGTAGCATCAAATGACCTCACCAGTAACTGGGTCAACACTTCCAGGGCAGGTTTCAGTGTGGCCGCTGTTCCCAGAAAGTGAAAACCATTGTCTAGTACGACCGTAGTAGAGACCAACGAAATCTCCAGACTGAATGGCACCAGGACCAAGGGCCCTGTATATTTGAAACACTTCTCCCCAGCAGTTGTTCCATTCGGCTCCTGTAAAGATCAATCTGGGGCATGGGGCACCGCCACATGGGTGTCCAGCACAGCCCAACCACTTGCCCATATTTGCCACAAACTGAAGTCCAATAGTGGCACAATGGGTGATCGCTGCAACATTATTATACACTGTAAAGCAAAGTCTACTTGCTACATTGTAAACCACTAAGCCTCGTGTATACACCCTATTATAACAGCTAGGAAACCATAGCCCACATGCACACTTGAATGTTATTGTCCTCACTTTTAACTTTGTGGCAGCTAGCTACTAGACTAGGAATCATAGCCCACATGCATACTTATGACTCTGCACTCACCTTTAGCGTTGCAGCTAGATTGCATACTAGTCTCTCGCTGTTTGGGACGATTCAAAAGTTGACGCTTCAGGTCTGCTGCTGATTTTGGTGGTAGCCTTGGCTCTGCCATGAGAAATGCGTCATCCATTCCTGCAGCAACGAAGCAAACCTGGATACATTCACCAATAATATTCATTATCCTTACCTTGTCGAATATCGTCTTGTGCAGTTGGCACATCACCCTGTGATTCAAAGTCTCTCCGAAGATAGGATTCCAGGAAAGCATTGTAGTCCTCGTCCATCTCTGACTGTCCATCACTGGTCATATCCTGAGAGTCCATTTCCACAGGGTAGTCCTCCACTGGACCTGCCAGTACAGCAGTCACCAACAGAGAGACTGCCACTCCGATATAGAGGCACAGCTTCATTCCTGTAGACGGTTAGAAATTTGTTAGTCGCAGAAGAAAATCTGGTGCTTGCTCTTTTCGTTTCGCAGCTTTTTATAACGAAAAAGAGGCCTAGCATAATCACCAGGAGCCCAGTTTTGGAGGAGGCTAAGCATTTTTGGCATCCTTGGTAAATGTAGCACTTGTTACTGTATGACAGTTCATGTTTCCTACATTCTTTTATATGTGGGAAGTGCTAATGCCAATAGCTGCTAGGTAACGTCATGTCACCATTAGAACTTACCTACCGGAAGTAATGCAACGCATTATAGCTGCTAGGTAACGTCATGTCACCATTAGAACTTACCTACCGGAAGTAATGCAACGCATTATTGGCAAGTGAATGTTGAGTATAAAGTTTCCACATCTTTATGCACCTTGTATTTATATTTCAGTACGGTAACCCTCACTGCGCATGTAGCTAAAGCTATGTAATCCGAGTTCCATTGTTACCAAAGTGGTAATTGGTTGTGTGAAGTGGGTGACTTCTTTCCTCCACAAGAGACCTGGCAATAACACGGGGAGCCCTGTTTTGGAGGAGGATAAGCATTTTTGGCATCCTTGGTAAATGTAGCACTTGTTACTGTATGACAGTTCATGTTTCCTACATTCTTTTATATGTGGGAAATGCTAGCGCCAATAGCTGCCAATAGCTGCTAGGTAACGTCATGTCACCATTAGAACTTACCTACCGGAAGTAATGCAACGCATTATAGCTGCTAGGTAACGTCATGTCACCATTAGAACTTACCTACCGGAAGTAATGCAACGCATTATTAGGGAGTGAATGTTGAGTATTAAGTTTCCCCATCTTTATGCACCTTGTATAAGTCAGCAAATTAACTACCAAGCGTGATTCGCTCGCCCAAAAAATTGTGCAAAATGTAGACACCTTTATGCGCATTGTTTATGATATGGTGCAGAACTGAGGCAAACGACCTGGCTCTGATGATAGCCGAGACCGTCACGGGACACTCGGAGATCATTGTCATTGATGGGTATGGATAATATCAGTATACCTTTATAAGGCTGGTCTCCATAATAATAGTCTTTCTTGGTATTGTGCTGTCTGGAGATGGATATGGAAAAACACTGACTAATTTGCAAGACCCATTACGACCACGCAATGTGTCTGTGAAATAGAAATGTAGTCTATTCCCCAGACCTCTGCAGAGGACTATATGGGGACCGGCCTATACGTGTAGTGTAACATTGATGGATAGCTCCTGACGTGTGATGCTGTGCAAACTATGAATACGTTTAAACGTGAAGTCAGGACGCACTAACAAAATGGCGGCCGATACAAACTGCCTCTTGGTACACGCTACTGTCACACTCCGTAAGCATCTACAAGCAAGAACTACGGTCTAAATCCATTGCCCAGCACAAGCCAAACACTCACCAGGGCGAGTTTTCGTCAATTCTCAACATTGGTAAGTTGGTTTCTAAGACTGAGAAGCAGCATGCATAGCAGCCGTCATAGGCCTTCTCCGGTCTGTAGTACAGTGTAAGAGTGTGCACTCCCCAGGAATGGCGTGGGTCATCAGTACATACAGCGAATCTGCAGAGGCTGTTGCTCGGCGAGCTGTCGGTCCGTTTGTTTACTTGGAACCAAGCTGGCTCGTAAGCCGTGGCTGCCAGTTTTCTTTGTTTGTTTGCTGGTGCATGGTCATGAAACGGCTCATGTTAGCCAGTTTGTGTGGAAAATGGAGCCTGCTTGACAGTGGAGCGACAAAGACGCTTGCATGCCATCTTCACTTCGACCGAAGCGCGAAAATATTTGAATTTGAGCCACACCGATGCGCCTCCTTTTATACGCAGTCTCTGGGGTGTTTTTTTTATTTTTTTTTAATTTTATGTGGAGAAATACTACTACTAAAACTCAAAAATAAAACAAATGAAAAACAAAACAAAACAAACGAAACAACAAACAGATTAAATGATGCTGTCAATAGAAGGGGGGCCAATGGGGAATCGATGGAGCCAAAGAGCGGCATTCCCACGCCAGAGAGAAACAGAGCAGCGCTGGAAGAGGTGACGAATTGAGTCCGCGGGACAGACCCCTAAACGCTGGCCTAGGAGGCGACCAATTCTGGACAACGAGGTGGTTGTGGCCTCACTCATGCCGGCCAGGGCCTCAAAAGCAAGGGGGATGAAAGAGACCCCTACAGCGCGGCAAGCGGGGGGGGGGCATGAGCTGACATCTTTCGATGCTCCGCAACAGCGAGGGCATGGCCAGCAGAGGAAGCAGCCCCTTGAAGGGTGAGGGGTTGAAGGGGGGAAATGGCGGTCACATCCATAGCAGCTGGTTGACCCCGTTCCCAATTAGGATTGATGGGGTGTTCGGAATGTGTATTTTCCTACGTATTTACATGACAACTGCACGTTTAACCACAAGTACCCCATTGTTCCACGCATATCACACAGTTGTTTGCATACATTCTTTCATCCTGTGTATAAGGTCCTGTGTATAAGGTGTAAGCTTGACCACTTTATGATAAATACAGGCTCATGAAGAACGCAGAACATGACCATCCTCAATAGTTAGTATAATACACTGTTTTGTAAGTGTCATAATGTGTCGCTGTATTTAAACACAGTGGAAAAAAGGCTGCAAATATACATTAAAACTTAAACTCTTCCTAGTATAATTGTGAATATGTATGCGCCTCATAATAATAATAATAATAACTGTAATATTGCAGGGCTTACCACGGGCACTCCAAGCCTCTGGTGGGGCTGAGTAGCTACAAGATGAAGGAGAAAGATGACTCGGGGATATCACCTAACCCTCATGCCTGGATAGTGAGTTATATAATCCACCCTGAACCTAGTGATGCACCTCTGACACAGGCATGCTTAAACTCTTCTTTCTATGTGAATAATATGCACCTCGTAAACTGTAATATTGCAGGGCTTACCACGGGCACTCCAAGCCTCTGATGGGGCTGAGTAGCTACAAGATGAAGGAGAAAGATGACTCGGGGATATCACCTAACCCTCATGCCTGGATAGTGAGTTATATAATCCACCATGAACCTAGTGATGCACCTCTGACAATAGTCTGTACTTTGTACAGTTGTCAACCAATACTTAGTCTCCATAGTACAAATAGGTACATACGCCTGTATTATACTATAGAGGCTTTTGAAACTGGTATTGTATGTATATCAACCTCTACTTTGGTTTCCCTTTACCTGCTTGTAGCCAAGCAGCTTATACACGTGGCAGATAATATACAATTCAGCCTGTTAGTCCACACAAACAAGCGTCATGTATTGCACCTTGACTGGATTACATGATTGATTCCCCTCGTGTTTCGGTCCTCCCTGCAGTCACGTCCACAGAGCTGGTGGTCTGTGTGTCATCGATGAGGTCCAGACTGGGTTTGGCAGGGGCGGAGAATTCTTCTGGATATTCCAGTCCCAAGGTCACCACTCTCCATGTTTACATATATACACCTGGTGATATGTATTGTGCATGCACTGGGTCGGCAGCCTTTTACAAACTGAGTTGTGAACTTATGCAAACTGAAAGCACTACACATACGCATATACATACACCTGTACTAGCATCACTGTTATGGAGTGTGTGGATCCAAAGGCTTGTGCTTATATTGTTAACCCTCGGCGCGCATGCACAGCGAGGGTTACAGTACTTGGTTTGTCTGTCTGTGCGTCGAGGCTTATTCTCGCACTACAGGCTACGAGGCGGCCAATGAACGATACCAACGGCTTCAGGACTACGCGAGCCTGAAAAATACAGAGGCGATTTCCTGAAACGACTGCATTCGAGAGATATGCTGTGAAAACAAGTGAAAGACCCAATATACATAATCGCACTGGGCTTACCGCGACCTGATCCGCTCGCTCTGTGTACCTTGGAGACTCAAGAAGTCACAACGAAGGGCGTGTATTGACCCCTGCATGCTATCTACTACTGTAGCTAGCCTGTGTCAGACTCTCCGCGAGCTACTAGCGTGGAGGCAATGAGTAAACGCATACTCTTGGCCCAACCTATCAATTAGCGGCACCGCGTATGTGCAGTTTGCTGATGGTTTGCACTTCATTGCTTTTCATTTCATCTGAACAGTATATGAATGTAGAGTTTATCTGCATTCTCTTTCCATTCTAAACACCGGGGTGTTGGTTGTGTGTGTGTAGGTGTGAAGCCGGATATAGTGACAGTGGGAAAACCAATGGGGAACGGTCACCCCATTGCAGCTGTCGTTACCACCAAGGAAATTGCCAGGGACTTCCTCGCCAAACGCCCAGACCTTCAAAATGAAGTGAGACCCCATTACATACAATGTACATTATTATACAGTGGAAAGATCTCACAATCTCACAGTTTTAACCCCAGAAATAAAAACACTCTGACAGTATCCAGATCTGTACTCATGCACAATATCAGCCTTAGTATAATATTACACCTCTACACAAATTTACAACATATGACTATGACCTGGTGGACTACACTAGTGCACTGTATATACCCATTTTTACTGGCCTTTTTACTGTATATACCAGTTTTTCCTGTATTCCATGCAGTACAAGGGTAACCTGGTGTCTCTGGCGGTAGCAGAGGCAGTTCTGAGGGTGGTGGAGGAGGAGGGACTGGTGGCCCATGCCCGTGAGCTGGGAGGGTACATCCTCTCTCAGCTGAGTCTCATGGCCAACAAACATCCCTGCATCGGTGACGTAAGGTCTGTGCACCCAGCCGTCTGCAAACATGTCCCATGATAATCTAATGGTTACTAGGGACCACTGAGAAGCAAATATTTTATGGGCAGGGACCATTTGGAAACAAAGTTTTTATGGGCAGGGACCATATTTTTTATAGGTAGGGAGCATTGAGAAGCACAAATAGCACAAATGACAGCGAGGGACCAAGTAAGAAACAAATATTTGGAGAATTGGGAAACAAATTTTTAATGGGGTAGGGAACATTGAGAAAGAAATATGTGAAGTTTGGAACTGAATTCTCCCTTGATAGTTTCCTACTCTACAAAAACAAAGGATTACTCTTGCAACAAAGGCCTTTCATTGTGTTTCCAGTGTCTCCAATGGACTACAGAGTAGTGATACCGTGGGAAAAACAACTAGTGGTCTAAAATTTGTTACTTGCAGAGGCTATGGGTTGTTTATTGGTGTTGAGCTGACGGAAGGTGCTGGAAGCAAGGCCCCCAATGGCAAGCTGGCGAAAGACGTTGTTGCAAAGTGAGCTACATACACACAAACATACAATGTGTTGGCTCCACCCAGCGTATTTTGCATCACACACACACTATTGTATGGTGTGTACACTGTACATGCTGCATTTTGAGTATATTCACGTGGATGCACCTTAACCTCTCACCTCTCACCTCTCACGTGTTAATGTATGTCTACAGGATGTTGTTGAGAGATAAGATTATGGTGATGCAAGACGGACTGGACAACAATGTCCTCAAGATCAAGCCTCCAATGTGTTTCACCAGAGCCAATGCTGACTCCCTCCTCCAGTCTTTGGACGCCGTGCTCACCGACCTGACACAGTAGTCCGTCCCTTCCACACACTGTCACACGGTGTATGAATGACACACGGTTTTTACTCATCGTCTTCATTTTACTGAAGAACAGTTTTAAAACAGCGTGGTAGTGCCTTCTGACTCTAACTTGGGCACTACGATTCTTCATTTACAGAAGAATGCGTTCATCAATGACCCCCTCTGTTATATTTCGGTATTTATAAAATTCATTCACAGGAGAACATTTTTCTGTCATTATGTGTCTAATATTTATGTGTCTAATGTTTATGTGTCTAATATTTATGTGTCTAATATTTTTATTATTGACATGTGAAGAATGGTGTATTGTATTGTGTGTGTGGATGCACTATTCAGAACCCATATTTGGAGCGACTGTCTTTCCTGGCCTGGCTCCCCACGGCCCAATGCTTCTGTAGGTCCAACTCTCTCTCTTTAGCCTGCAGCATGAACAACACAATCACACTAGCTACTCTCTCTACACAGGCCACGGGGCAGACACAGCAAGGAGTCTCCCAAAAAGAATTCTTGGTGTTCTGTGATAAGGATGGGCAGTGGTTTTGCTGCTTGAATTCAGTTGGTATAGGTATGCAAAACATCCCTTTTTCAAGAGTTTCCTGGTTAATTTTGAACCTACATGTGCAAACAGTATGCTTTCTAGCAAGAATTGGGCACTCAGGATGTTATTGGAGAGTGTTGTGGGTTCGAATCCCACCTGGGAGAGCTCTTCCTTTTTCCTTGGAAAAAAAGTTTATTTTATCCTTTGGGAAAAAAGAGCTGTCCTGGGGTATAGTTGACTTGTTTGCTTTGCCTTTGCCTATCTACCTCTTTTGACACATACATACACAGGTTTATACGCGGCAAGCATTTACTCTAATTCCACTACAGTTACTTTCTGCATGCATTAGCATCGCTTGCAAGGCTCGACTGTCCGTATGCTGTAGCCCTTTAGTCGCAATGGTCAAGGTTAACACCTCTGTTGCCCCACTTTAATGTACCCCTGCTCTTTATATACCTTGTCTAGTACATTTCCCTCTCCAGCCATCAATGGAGCAACAGAGTCAGTGTACTGTGCAAATTCCTCTGGTAGTTTTAACTGTCAGGTGGGACTGAGGGACCACCCAGAGCAGCTGCCCATGCTATCATCCACCACCAGAGTCTCCATCAACACCAGTGAGTCTTACTGCAAACTAAGGTCACCACTTTTACTGATGGCACATTATGTGTATGTGTGCATGCTCGGCGTGAAATACTGCCCAGAGACTCTTAGGCATTGCTTTGCCAGCCATACACTGCTTGTAGTACTCTCCAAGAATGCATGTGAGAGGAAGAGGGAGAGAGAGGAGGACGGGGGCGAGTAGATAGGAGAGAGAGAGATGCGAGGGAAGAGAGAGAAGGAGAGGAGAGAGAAGGAGAGGGAGAGAGAGAGAATTTGTTACATGTGTAAAACTACGAGGTGATGAAAGGCAAGGCACACAAACAGTCAACAACTACACCCAGGACAGCTCTTTTTTTCAAGGAAAATAGAAGAGCTGCCTGGGTGGGATTCGAACCCACGACACTCTGCAGTCTAGGCGAGCGCTCTACACACTGAGCTACAGGGCAACTCAGCTGGTAGGGATTCGAATCTATATACAACAAATACAACACAGAGCAACCTCACCCACTGTGCTCAGACAGTATAGGTTATGCAAACCTTTTCACATTTGGATATGATTACATGATATATGCCCTTCGTTGTGACTTCTTGTGCCTTCAAGATACACAAGCGAGGAGGACGTGATCGAGATAGCCTGTGCTACATTTGCATATTGGCTTGTTCACATTGCTTTTCACGCCATACTTTTGAACGTACGAAACTCGCCTTTTAAAAATGAAGCCAGTGTAGCGATGAACCCGTTGCTAGTATTGCTGTTTGTTGTCTCGTTGCGCGTAGTCGCAGAAAACGTGTAACAACCAACTACAGTAACCTCGCTGCGCATGCGCGCCGAGGGTTATTATTATAATAATTATTTTGTCCATCTTTTATTGGCGATCGCTCGTAACTATCATTACAACACATTTTTCATTGATGAAGATTAGATTATTTAACACACATCTAACTCAAGAGTCTAGCTAGAGCTAATTAGCATCCATGATCAAAGAAGTTTCAAGCTACTTATTCACTGTGACCTTTATCAGGTTCTCAGGCAATGATCAAATTTGTCAGAAGCAGGAGGGTAGTGTCCAGAGGACATGCGTTTACGCCAACTCCTCCATTACTTGGGAACCTAGCGTAGGAGCACCTGCTGGTAGTAGAGCACAATATCATCTTCCTCGTCTAGAGCAGCTCCATCATTTTTTCCATAGGCATATATCCGGAAAACTTCCCGCCACAAATGAACCACTTGTGGAGATGATCAAACCTATGAAATAACATTTTTGACAGAAAATGTAAAATAACCGAAGATGTTGCCCGCTAGTGCACTGTACTCTCAGTACACTTACATGTACATCGTACCTCTGAGCACAATTAAAAGATATATATTGCTACATAATGCATAATTGGCCTAGTAATGTGCTGCTTTCAGCTCTACAACACATATGTGAGTTTGAGCAAAGTCGAGTGTTCAAAGTTTACGATGGGCAATGGTGAGCTTGTAAAGTATACACCAGACAGCAACCATTCATGCATAAATGATGCAATTAAACACAGTCACATTAAAGGACATCATATGTAGGGTAGAGTTTTAATTACCACACTTAAGGCCATATACTGCCCAAACTAGCTATTTTTGCCACCACTTTATACAAATGCAAGACCCATTAGAGCTTAGAGCGTCGATAGACGCTCTATATAGGGATGACACGAGTGAAATCTCACGTGATCTGGGTAAAAAAACGACTAAAAACGGTGAGAATGACTCCCTAGGCCTTCAAAACACACTAGCAATAGTCTACGGGCCCATATCTACCTATACATATTCCCAAAGACCCCCATATGCACCTTCAGTCGTCCACACGAGAATTCGCTCATACGCGATTTCACGATTTTCGTGTCATCACATTCTTCATCTTCTTCTTCTTCTTCTTCTTTTTCTTTAAACCCGCTATCTCCTTACTAGTACCAGTTGAAGCGCTGATTTTTTCACTGAACGTGTCCAATTTCGCCAGAGCTGTGCACGCACATCAAGCGATCGTTTCTTTCTTGCCGCTAGTCACTACGGTAGATCATGGAGCTCTTCCATGGTCGACACTGAACAACGCCATTTGCTGCTAACTCAGCATCAGTGAGCCGCGCGCATGCGCCAAGCAGGGGCGTTGTCCAATGCGCATGTTACCAGGCGAGTTGACAGACCTGCAGAGGAAGTCTCAGCCTCCAGTGCCTTCTGTAAGTAAGTGTGCACATTTCCAACTGGCTAGCTTGCTGCTGATTTGTACGAGGACCAACTTGGCAGAGTCTACGCGGTGTTACGCGAGTCTAGCGGGGCACTCACATGGACCTTCATTGTTTGTCCCCCTAGGTTGTATATAGCCTGATTACCAAAGCCTGCCGATGAAACCACAACCATGTGCAATACCCTAATTACATCCTTGTTGAAGACAATACATGAGGTAAATGCGGTATCTAGCCCCTGCTTCAGGCATTAGAAACCCATTAGCTACTGCTTTCAACAGTTAGAGTTTGTCTATCTACAACATACCCATCAACATCACAGTGACTAACAATAAAATGCAGTGTTGTCATTAGCTGTTAAAAGTAGTGGAGACAAGTGGAAACTTCATTTCTTCAAAATGAAGGGGGATATAGGGATGACTTGAAGCACCAAAAAGGAAGAAACAAGGGGTCATTACATAGCAAAGAGATGCACAAAGCTACATGACACCATCCCTATATCTTTGTTAAATTATTGTTTATAAGCAAAGTTTAATATCGAACAGAGATATAGGGATGGTGTCATGTAGCTTTGTGCATCTTTGCTGTGTAATGACCCCTTGTTTCTAACTTTTTGGAGCTTCAAGCCATCCCTATATCCCCCTTTCATTTTGAAGAAATGATTTTTCCACTTGTATAATTACGCTCTGTACCCCTAACTCTAGTTTTCGTACAGACAGATATAAGTGTTAGTTATAAGCCAGTGAAAATGTTGAGAGCTTGGGAGAGACATCTCTGTGTTACGTCATTGTTTGTAGCATCAAATGACCTCACCAGTAACTGGGTGCACACTTCCAGGGCAGGGGTCAGTGTGGCCGCTGTTCTGATAAAGTGAAAACCATTGTCTAGTACGACCGTAGTAGAGACCAACGAAATCTCCAGACTGAATGGCACCAGGACCAAGGGCCCTGTATATTTGAAACACTTCTCCCCAGCAGTTGTTCCATTCGGCTCCTGTAAAGATCAATCTGGGGCATGGGGCACCGCCACATGGGTGTCCAGCACAGCCCAACCACTTGCCCATATTTGCCACAAACTGAAGTCCAATAGTGGCACCATGGGTGATCGCTGCAACATTATTACACAATGTAAAGCAAAGTCTACTTGCTACATTGTAAACCACTAAGCCTCGAGTATACACCCTATAATAACAGCTATGAAACCATAGCCCACATGCACACTTGAATGTTATTGTCCTCACTTTTAACTTTGTGGCAGCTAGCTACTAGACTAGGAATCATAGCCCACATGCATACTTATGACTCTGCACTCACCTTTAGCGTTGCAGCTAGATTGCATACTAGTCTCTCGCTGTTTGGGACGATTCAAAAGTTGATGCTTCAGGTCTGCTGCTGATTTTGGTGGTAGCCTTGGCTCTGCCATGAGAAATGCGTCATCCATTCCTGCAGCAACGAAGCAAACCTGGATACATTCACCAATAATATTCATTATCCTTACCTTGTCGAATATCGTCTTGTGCAGTTGGCACATCACCCTGTGATTCAAAGTCTCTCCGAAGATAGGATTCCAGGAAAGCATTGTAGTCCTCGTCCATCTCTGACTGTCCATCACTGGTCATATCCTGAGAGTCCATTTCCACAGGGTAGTCCTCCACTGGACCTGCCAGTACAGCAGTCACCAACAGAGAGACTGCCACTCCGATATAGAGGCACAGCTTCATTCCTGTAGACGGTTAGAAATTTTTTTGACACAGAAGAAAATCTGGTGCTTGCTCTTTTTGCTTCGCAGCTTTTTATAACGAAAAAGGGCACATGTAACCCTATCCCAAATAGCTTGCTGTCATGTGTGCACAGTAACGTCGTAGAGACATGACACATACAGAATAAGGGGAAAACAATTAGCGAAACAATTACCCACAACTAACAAAAGAGAATGTTGTTAGGAGAGTTTAGGACACCCTTTTCTGTTTATGGTTTATGGTTAAGTGAATTAATTTTGTGACACACTACTTAACAGAAGGAATTTTGCATCCTCTGTGCAGCATTTCTGAACATGCCTTTCTTGTGAGTAGTTTCAGTAGATTTGTTAATCTCCTTACTTTTGCAGCACTTTTTAAACATTCAACAACTTTATGAGGTATTTTGCACACTCTTACTTTGTACAAAGAAAGTCTAACCTTGTAATGTTGAAGCGTGTTAGTGCTGGCACACAGACAGCTTGCTTCAATAGGTTACCTCAGATTTATTAATCTGCTGCACGTCCTGATCTCAAGACTTTATGCTCCTAATATAAACCTATTTTGCTTTCGCTTTCACCTATTTTCTCACAGGTTTTCCTATTTCTTCATGTTAAAAAGGAGATCGATGAGCAAAGAACCAAACATTACATATGAAAATATTTTTTCAGTTACTACTATATACAATTATTATACTGTATATAGAATGACAGAAAGTTCTGTATAATCTTTCAATGAGGATTCTTGCTGTGAGTTGAAAGAATTAAGAAACACACGCTCTGCTGGTGCAGAGCATGCACTTGCCCACAGTGGAGGTTCATTCTTATGATCTTTCCACCAAGTCAGTGAGATATGGCAGATGCCACGTCTTCCATCTTCCCGTGGCGCATGCGCAACCGAGGGTTAAATATTATAATTAAAATCATGTACAATATTTCCTTTACGTCATACAAGTAGTTCACTACTATCAGTTGTACATTCTTGTTGTGGCTGCTTTCTTATCTTCCAAAGCTTCTCCCTCCAGAAAATGCAAGCTGTTATTACTATGAATATGAGGGCTAGAATAGAAAACACAGCCATCAGAGATAGCCATAGATTTTTATAAGGAGAAGATAGGTGGAGAGGGCATGAAAGAATTTCGAGTGACTCGGTTTCAACATCCTCAGAAGTTGCTTTGCAAAGGATGATGTAATCTTCAGGCTGTTTATGTACTCCACTGTTTTCGAAGCATTCCCCATATGCCAAGGCCGAGTAGTTACTACTAGTGAAATAGTGTGGGTCTCTATATTGCGTTCCATTCACATAAACCTGCTTTGTGACCATTTCAAGGATGTAGTTAACCTCTGTCGATGTAGAAAGTGAAAAGAAAAAGTAACCATCAATTTCAGCAACAAATGGCTTTCCGGGTCCCCATTTATCAAAGCACTGCGTGTTATTGCTTTTCACAGAGATATTTTCCCTGAAAATCGCATCTTTCTGAATCGGTTTTATTGCACTGTGGTAGGTTGGAAAGATCTCCAGTGTTACTTGTGCTGTTGTACCTCAATTGTTTATGATGCAGCAGTTACCCGAAACTACTGTTTCTCTCCAAGAGTAGTATGTTACTGTTGGTGATGAAAATAGTATGCTGCTGGTCAATGGTCCCTCAAACCGAACTGGCTCTCGTTGCCGGTTATAAGATTTCAGCTCGTCGCGGGGAACAAGCCAAGTCTTGATTGCTTGGTTGGTTGTGTACTGCCCACCCACACTTACATTCATTCCACTAGCCGAGCAGGAATTTCCCATTCCACACAGTATAGTTTCAGTTGTTAGGGCCTCATACTCGGTGCAAAGAGTACTTCCGGAGAACATAGTATTGCGATACAGCATTATCACTGAAAATATGGCTACTAGAACTAGCAGTGCAGATAGTAAAACTGCCCCAAAATCAGATGTACATATCAGGCATTGTTTTGGTCCTGTATGTATAAGATATTGCAATTAATCCTCGTTTATGCCCTATAAGCAAAGTACCTTCACAGATAGAGACATATCCTGGAGCTTCCTTTCTTTCTTCTAGCACATGAGTATCTGCAGGAATCAGCCTCTGAGCACCTATGAAGGAGGTATAAAAAGATTGCTGTAGCTACATAGTTTAGCTAAAGTACCTAGCTGCAAACACGCCTGTAATAGTTAGCTATCATGGTAGTCGCTAAAACTGTAGCTAGAGTGACTAGCTAGTTGAGCATCCATGTGGGTGAGATGTGTAGAAACAATTTTCAGCACAGCGACTCCAGCCTCTGAAGTCTCCGTTGGGAAAACAACCTTGTTTTATTCACAAGCGCACCAACCCTAACACCACCGACTATATTAATCAATTCAGCATCCTCCACTTCCATATAGAACGTTGATGGTATTGTTCCGTCTTCAGTTTGGACAAAGTAGATGCTCTTTGAAAGCATGGCCGCCAAATTTGGCTTTTTGTTTGCCCTTCCAGGTCCATCCACTGAAGCTGATGTCACATCGAGCTTGAAACGTTTTGCCTTTTGATTTCCATATGTTCCAACTGTGAAAGAAATTTAGCCATGTTTGTGATGTGGCAAAATCATGGGTGTACATGGTTTGTTGAGTATGAAATACAAAAGTGAAGTTCATCACACAGATTAGTTACCTACCTGTTTCACAAACAACCCGAAATTTAGCAGTAAACTGAAATCCAGGCTGTTTCTCCATGTGCTCCTTTGATTTGAAATCATATAAATTGGCGTACAGTGCCTAAAAATGAACCACCATCATCATTCAATCGGTATAGAATGTTACTAGTTAGTACCTTGCAATCTCTATTAGCGACATACTTGCTTCCAGCAGAGGAAGCAGCCGCAAAAGCAGCAACGATAAGGATAATTTTACCCAACATCCTGGTCCTAGAGTGTAACTGGAAGATACATCCTAGATCGAGGACTTTTGTAGGAAAGCACAAAGTGATTATTGGCTACAATGCATACCTAAGGACAAACACATGCAATTTCCTCCTAACAGTGCACGAGTGTAATAAACACTGTGCTTAAATGGTGACTTTGCCTCAGCAATGGGTGTCAGATTATATTTTACAGCAATCAAATTGCCAGAGGTTGTGCAATAGAACATTTTTACTTTTTACTGTGGTATGTTTGCAATCATCAGAGCAACTAAAGGCCTTAGAAACCACCATACCACATCCAAGGAAGGCAGCAAAGTCAGTTGAAGTGGTAAGTAAATTGCAGGATCCACACCATTACTGTTACTGTACCAAAATGTGCTTCACCCTTATCTATTGCTCTGTTCAACTGTAGAGTAGCTACCTTTCTCACAGGCAGAATCCAAGGTCATACTAAATACAGTAGGTCATATATACTAAATACAGAGCTTTGCTGTTAAGTAATGTACAATGCCTGAGATCTGACATAATTCTAACACGCTGCCTGTAAACAAACTTCCCTGATCAAAATACACACTCTCACGATAGCTTTCAATGAAAGCCAGCTGCACAACAGCAGGAACATTAAACCCAACTTACTTAAGTGTGGCAGGAAAATGAAAATAAACAAAATCTAGATGATTTTAATATAAGAGGAAACTCTATGTAAATTTATATAAGGTTTTGTGATGTTTTCTTTATTGTATCAAAGCCAAGGTAACTTCATGTCTATTTAAAACGGATTCTGTACCATATGTGTATATCTACCATTGGACACAGGAAGATTTACCACTAGATGAAGGGATTTTATGCTGATATGCACTCCATTTGTGCATGCGGGGTGTATGATTGAAGCTCAGCATAAACCACAAAAGGGATGCTTTTATGCCCAGCAAGGTCTCCATTGTTTTCTTTGCCAGAAGTGGTCGGTTCTTGATTTTCTTGAGGGTGATTAATGGCATCCGAGACATGTTAATTGTGTGCATGTGAGTCAAGGAGAGCCCAGACTCCACCTCTGACTCCTTGCAGGATCTGTTGTTTGTGAGTCAACTTTAAACAGAAAAATATGGTCAGTTTCAGATCCTAAAAGTTTGATCTAGAGGGTGTGCAGCAATTAGAGAAAGTGTGGGGATATTATATGGACTTCTTACCCACTGGAAGATCTAGATATCTTGCACGCTATGTCCAATGCCGGCACGCAATAATGTGGTTTCTCAATACTTGGTTATGCGCAATGGCCTCTCGCAAGGCATTGTATAGAGTCCAATGGTGGATACGGATGGAAAGATCTGGCTGTTCTCGTTAAAATTAACACCTTAGGCTATATCTTCCACATCTTTTGGGTAAATAATAGCTTTGAATTGAAATGACAACTCTGCTGTTTTTTTCATTCGATCATGCACTCAATTTTATTATGGCTACTCTCCTACAAACTAATATAAAATTCATAGTGACTGTAAAAATGGTGACTAAGGTTCTACCATACACAATTGAGTCGTTTATCATCAATAACTAGCTACCTGACACACATTAACTAGTTGCTAAAAGTAATCTGTAGGTCCTCGCTCAACAGCGTTGGCGACTGTCACACGTCTTCCAAATTGTCCTTCTGCGAGTTCCTCGAAGTTTCCAAGTGGCAGACAGGCCACGTATCCTTCTCTTCTTCCTATAGGCCTTTCTGCCCTTGCAAAACTACAACAGAGACAAGTTTCGTTAAGACTACACATAGTCCAGTGTTGAGAGGACTTACCCACCAACCGCACCATCCTCTCCAAGCATACCAGGCATACAGCTCGATCTTGTTATTGGTCCACTGGTGGTAGACTCCTATACAATTCTTGACACGCAGTCTCGATCGCTTGTAACAGAACTCTGTCGATACTTCGGGAATGACTTGATAGTTGAAGGTTGCTTGCAGTGTCAGTCCTGCCTTTGCTAAACGCTGCATTTGCAAAAAGAAGGTTTGACTAGAGTGTCTTCACAAAGAACACCAAACACTTACGACAATTTCTAGGTTGCCACCTGCAGACACCCTGATGGTGAGGGTGGGTGTAAGTCCAGCTGCAGCTGTCACTTTTCCATGTTTGTCGCAAAATCTGACATACATTCCTACCTTGAACTGTATCGTTGATTTCAGTTCGAAATTTAGGGTACCGACCACCACAAAGATGCTATAGGTAAACCGAAAAAGAGTATATCTATTGCCACGGTAGAGGTTCTTTGGAATTGTCATGCAGACACTTGGATCCTGTACACGGCGGTAATTGATGAGAGTCCTTCCTAGCAAAACGATGTACAGTCGACTGAGAGTAGAACGGGAGGTCTTCTGGCGCAAAACGAGGAAGTCTATAATTGTTGCTCCACGATTGAAAAATTGAGCTTTAGCTACAGCACGTCCAAAGAGTTTATAGTCACCAGAGGAGCTCACCCCAGCAAAACCACCCGCTGCTATTTTTAAATTGATTTTCTTTGCACCAAACCTCTTACCCCAAATGTAAGACAGTTTTCTCTGATATCTTCTAATGTCGCTATTCCGCACATTGTAAGAAGCCACCAGATTATAGACATCCTTTCTTGCATTCCATTGGGTTCCCCTTTCGAATCGAGTTGTGTTAGTAAATGTTTCTCCCTCCTTAACCAAATTCATGAACTGCAGTAGTTCAAGTGAATCCTCAGTGTCAACAGCTTTGAGATAGTCCTGTAGGGCTGAGTGAAATTCTTCATCATCTACCTTTACTGAGAGTGCAACAAGAGACTCGGCTAGATCCTTTGAGTAAGGTTTTGGTTGGGTTTTCATCATTGCCATCTCACATCCATACATCAGCGACTTTGCCATTACTGTCAGGTGATCTTCAGTCAGTTGCGGCTGAACCAAAAAGTCTTTGAGACATTGCTCAACAGGAGGGTGGTCTATCATGAACCTCATAGCAAAAATTGCCATGAGTTGAATGTCAGTCTCAGGGTGTTGGAGATAGTCAATGAGGTAGTTGGAGATGTTGAGTGATCCAGAGTTTCCAAGAGAGAGGATGTGGTGTATGAGAGATGTGCTGTTAGTCTCAGCCTCTGGGAGTCCATTAGTGAGGAAGAGAACCATCCTGTGTTGTAGTTCAGGAGATGCGTTTGGGACAATTGCTCCATACACTAGAAGTAAAGGATCGGTAGAGTGAGGATCTGAAGATATGAGACCCTCGAGTTTGGCAACAAACTCAGGTTGGGGACTATCGACCAATGCTAGGTAGAAGGCAACAGCCTCCTTTTCTTCGTCATTAACTGCATTCTTAAGTCCATCTAGAAGAGCCTGGAATGTAAAGATGTTACAATAATGTTGGTTCTCATATCTAACCACTAGTTTTGGCTTTTCGTTACCATCTGGAGGAAGACCATCAAGCATGTGATTCCCATGCCATGTGCATTAATGTGTTTCTGAATACTTTATTTTTGGACCAAACAGCTGTCGATATAGCGGTCTTCTGAGCCATGCCTTGTACATAAAGGGACAGGTTAAAACTGCATACTTGGCATAAGGCAGGTCGTTTGCTTCTAAGACCGCATTGTTTTGGGCGTAGCTACCACACATACCATTTGTGATCTAATGCTTCCTTCAGGGCTGATGATGAAGTAGAGAAGCATCCGCATGTTGATATCACTACTTTCATTAGAGCCAGAGAGCTACATGAAAAGCAGTGAAATTAAAATTAACTCTCTGAAACATAACTATACGATTGACTTACGTCAGACAGGTAGTCTAATACATCGTTAATTGCAGGAGTTTCATCTTTGGGTGGGCCCCTGTTGGCTTCTAGTTTTATTAGATGCTCAAGTTTGTGTGCTGTAATCAAAAGTTCTGTGATGTTCTTTCAGTTAAATACGGAAATAAAGTACCAATGTCACTGTTGTTTTGGTTCTCGTGCATCATTTCAAGTGCTTCTGTTATGTCTCCGAGTTCCTCACGTAGTTCATCTATTCTTTCCATGTCTCTACGGGCTGAAAATACACAGAAATAATAGCTGCATCAAGGGAACAGCAACACACACTAACTTTCATTGATGAATCCAAGCAGTGAACTTTCTAACATGTTGGTAAAGTCTGTCTGCCCCATACTTCTTCTTTCTCTCCCACCTAAACGGCGCTGGCCTACCAGTCGAAGAGTGTAGGATCCCTTTGTTTCGTAGTGATTGGTCTCCAGGTTTGGATCGTATGTCTTGATCTTCTCGGGATCCTGCTGGGGCTGGCTGGTGTAGCCACTGGTGCCTCTTTTTCGTCTGTACTCAGCCTCAAGGTTATCAACCTCAGTATCATCTTTCGGCCCCTCATTTTTCTTAAAAGCAAAACAGAATGGCAAATGCACTAATTTACATGCAAAAAGCTCATAAAACCTATTGTGACCCAAAGTCAGTACTGTCTTTTTATAAGTCAAGTGTTTTTAGTATAGTTTTACGCACACCTTTTCCATTAATTTGCAGTCAGTTTTTCCTTGAGCTTTTGTAAGTACACCTCCCTTGTACACCATGTTCTCTTTTTTCTTTAGCGTAACTTCGTCTTTAGGCATGTGATGGGCATAACTTTTTACACCACTGTTTGTCACTTTGCGGCTCATTCGTACGACACCATTAGCAACATCCTGAGCACTTGCTGAGTACCTGCGAAGTATATTTCTTAGAATACGGCAACTGAAAATTCAATGAGAGTCTCAATATCAAATGTGATGCATAAACATCCCCATGATTGAGATCATTCTGCTGGCGTTGGGGTTTTCACAAGCTTTTACTCTTTCATTGCCAAGTGTTTTTGGCTAGCTATTATTAACCATGAAGAAATTGACCATGCACACACTAAAAGCTGAGTCCACAATGGCACCATTTACTGTGCAAAACGACATCTCTCAAACGTCAAAGTGCTATATACAAGGCATGCGCTATATACCACGTTTACTATCTTCACCACCGCATTCTTAAAAGTATTCTCACCATAGCTTAGTTAAACATATAACCTGTATTTTGCTTTGTGGATGGACTGAGGATCAGCTTCTAGCTTCTCTTTGGTGCCTTTAAAATTGGCCTGGAACACTGATATAATGGCTTTCTTGGAATTAATCATTTCAGGGTCCTCCTCTCTTGAGTAATACGTTGATGGTATGGATCCATCTTCAGTTTGTACAAAGTAGACACCCTTTGAAAGCATGGAAGTCAGTTTTTGCTTTAAGCCTCTGGTCTCCTTTTTCTCTGCGGAACTATCAACTGAAGCGGACGTCATGTACATCTTGTAACGTTTGGCTTGTTGAACTCCATACCTTCCGACTGTAAATCAAAGTTATTGAGACAAGTGCGTAATGTAAAAGCTCTTGAAAGAAATTTGTTAACTCACCTGTCTCACAAACAACTTTAAAGTGAGCAGTAAACTTTATGTCAGGTTGTTTCTCCATGTGTTCCTTCGATCGGAAGACATATAGATTCTCGTGAGTTGCCTGTTAATGAAACGTATTGTTTCACAATTGAGATTCTATTATCATTAAATTAGAGTACACATTACCTCGCAATTTTTATCAGCAACATACTTAATTCCAGCTGAGGATGCAGCTGCAATCGCTGCAACAAGAATAATAAGTTTACCCCACATTGCTCTCTATAGAGCAAGAGGAACTGTAAGATACATCCCAAATCCGGCCCTTTTGTAAGAAACTCTGAATGCGCCTATAGCAAAGTGAAAATAAACTGACGTACATCCTGCTCACACTACAATAACTTTTGAGCACTATGTCATCTGTTTTCCTTGATTACTACCACAGTATGCCGCACATGTACAGGTTTTAGTTACAGTGCACGTGCACATGTCTCAAATTAATGGCAAGTCGTAATTCCTACAATTTGTGATACTTTCAGACCAAGGTTTTGTACCAACATTATCCTAGTATGCTGTGCTCTAGATATGGCACCAAGTTTTACATAATGCACAAAGAGTATTCATGCAGATTTACTTTCAAAGAAAGTGAAAGGTGATCTTAGCCTCGTCATTTTAATAGATGAGGAAGATTAACAGAAGATGTGTGGTTTGCATTTTCCTTATTTATATAAAACATTATCAATACATTGCCTTTTTACAGATAAACGTGTCCCAGAGCCTCCATAAGTCCATAAGAATTCATATAGGGGTAATAGTAATACTTCAATTTCTGCTTTTTTAAGCATATACCCATGGCATCCAAAGGGTCAATTTTTAAGAGGATTTTATCCCATAGACATGTTTGTGGGGAGAAGAAGTCTAAGTCTGAGAAATGTGTAGAGTTAATTATCTGGACAAGCCTATATACCTCGTTCATGCAACCTTTTCTGATTGTAATAATCATGTGTGTAATGCAGCTGCCATTTGCCCTAACTACAATACCATTGATTTTGTGTTATTTGCCTTGTGCTGTGGCTGCCCCCTGAGTATTATCAAACCATCGTGGTACGGGTAAGTTTTTCTACATGACGTATCCATGGGCACATACAATTTTAATGGGCAGAACACGCTTGTTAAACTCTTGGTTACCTAGCCTTAGCCCTAGCCCCAGCCCTAGCCCTAGCCCTAGCCCTACCTGCCTTTTTAAACTGAGTAATCAAAACCCCAAAAATGTTTCGCTTTCAGTCCCTCGATCTTTTCACAGCATTAATAATTATTATTGAAAAGTGTGCCACTAATATTACACATTAGTGCTGCTGTCACAGAGTACTGATATTATATATTATTATACAACAGAGCTGGCAGCAGAAGGTGAAAATACACAACCAGAGCCCGGTGATGGTGGAACTCAGGCACAACTAATACGTACTTGTGTTTAATTCAAGTGTAACCATGAAGAAATATTTCGTGTTCAACTCATCAAGTACCTACGTCATGTATTAAACCTTAAATTATGTACAACATGAAAAGAACTAACGTGCAAACCATCAGCGAACTGCGCATACGCTAATAGGGGTATCAGTATGCGTTTTTCCCGCTAGTATATAGCTCGCGGAGAGTCTGCCTGCTGGAGTGGATACATGTCCTTCGATGTGACTTCTTGTGCCTTCAACATATACAGAGCGAGCGGACCCGGTGTCGAAGTCGGCTGCGCGGCGCGCAATTCGAACGCGTATAATAATATACGCATGCGCACAGTTAATTGATGGGTTGGGCCACGCAACTCGTTCCGCGACCGTACCAGTTTCTCGCTCTCGAACACAGTCGTTTCAGCATAATCGCTCTTTCACATTTCAGGCTCGCGTAGATCTGCAGCCGTTTGTATCGCTGATAGGCCGCCTCGTAGCCTGCAGTTCCAGAATATGCGTCGACAGACACACAGCCCGGCTACTGAAACCCTCCATGCGCATGCGCGCCGGGGGTTACCATAGCCACTAGATAATTGTGTCCTCACCTTTAAGTTTGTGATAGCTTTGTGGCAAGTCTGCTGCTGATTTTGGTGGTAGCCTTGGCTCTGCCATGAGAAATGCATCATCCATTGCTGCAGCAACGAAGCAAACCTGGTTACATTCACCAATAATATTAATTATCTTTACCATGTCGAATATCATCTGGCACATCACCCAGGGATTCAAAGTTTCCTTGAGGAAAGGACTCCGGGAAAGCATTGTAGTCCTCGTCCATCTCCGACTGTCCATCACTGGTCATATTCTGAGAGTCCATTTCCACAGGATAGTCCTCCACTGGACCTGCCAGTACAGCAGTCACCAACAGTGACACTGCCACTCCGATATAGAGGCACAGCTTCATTCCTGTAGACAGTTATAAATGTTTTAGACACAGAAGAAAATCTGGTGCTTGCTCTTTTGCTTCGCAGCTTTTTATAACGAAAAAGAGCACATGTTACCCTATCCCAAATAGCTTGCTGTCATGTGCACAGTAACGTCGTAGAGACATGACACATACAGAATAAGGGGAAAACAATTAGCGAAACAATTACCCACAACTATCAAAAGAGAATGTTGTTAGGAGACCCTTTTCTGTTTATGGTTTATGGTTAAGTTTGTGACACACTATATTATACTTAACATAAGGAATTTTGCATCCTCTATGCAGCATTTCTGAACATGCCTTTCTTGTGAGTAGTTTCAGTAGACTTGTTGATCTCCTTACTTTGCAGCACCTTATAAACATTCAACAACTTTTTAGTGATGAATTTTGCACACTCTTACTTTGTACAAAGAAAGTCTAACCTTGTAATCGTCCACCGCAACGTCTCCCCAGGAGAGGTGGGTCGTGCATGGGGTTGTAGGACTCGGCAGTCTCTACCAGGAGTTCCCCCAGCCTGAAGAACCCAAAGAATGCGAGGCTTGCAATTGCCCAGTTCACCACCTTGTCCGGGTAGGCTGACTCCGAGAGTGCCCCATGGATTCGGGAAAGGATCGTGATGGTTATGGGGAGGCGAACTCATTGTGGTGCTTGGCGTGTGAGCCTGATGACCGCCAGGACTCTCTTAAGTGTGGAGAGCGTGTTAGTGCTGGCACACAGACGGCTTTCTTCAATAGGTTACCTCAGATTTATTAACCTGCTGCATGTCCTGATCTCATAATGTAAACCTACTTTGCTTTTGCTTTCACCTATTTTTCTCACAAGGTTACCCATTTTTCTTCAGTTAAAAAGGAGATCGATGAGCAAAGAACCAAACATTACACAATGAAAATATTTTTTCAGTTACTACTACAATTATTATACTGTATATAGAATGACAGAAAGTTCTGTATAATCTTTCAATGAGGATTCTTGCTGTGAGTTGAAAGAATTAAGAAACACACGCTCTGCTGGTGCAGAGCATGCACTTGCCCACAGTGGAGGTTCATTCTTATGATCTTTCCACCAAGTCAGTGAGATATGGCAGATGCCACGTCTTCCATCTTCCCGTGGCGCATGCGCAACCGAGGGTTAAATATTATAATTAAAATCATGCACAATATTTCCGTTACGTCATACAAGTAGTTCACTACTATCAGTTGTACATTCTTGTTGTGGCTGCTTTCTTATCTTCCAAAGCTTCCCCCTCCAGAAAATGCAAGCTGCTATTACTATGAATATGAGGGCTAGAATAGAAAACACAGCCATCAGAGATAGCCATAGATTTTTATAAGGAGAAGATAGGTGGAGAGGGCATGAAAGAATTTCGAGTGACTCGGTTTCAACATCCTCAGAAATTGCTTTGCAAAGGATGATGTAATCTTCAGGCTGTTTATGTACTCCACTGTTTTCGAAGCATTTGCCATATGCCAAGGCCGAGTAGTTACTACTTGTGAAATAGTGTGGGTCTCTATATTGCATTCCATTGACATAAACCTGCTTTGTGACCATTTCAAAGATGTAGTTAACCTCTGTCGATGTAGAAAGTGAAAAGAAAAAGTAACCATCGATTTCTGCAACAAATGGCTTTCCGGGTCCCCATTTATCAAAGCACTGCGTGTTATTGCTTTTCACAGAGATATTTTCCATGAAAATCGCATCTTTCTGAATCGGTTTTATTGCACTGTGGTAGGTTGGAAAGATCTCCAGTGTTACTTGTGCTGTTGTACCTCCATTGTTTATGATGCAGCAGTTACCTGAAACTACTGTTTCTCTCCAAGAGTAGTATGTTACTGTTGGTGATGAAAATAGTATGCTGCTGGTCAATGGTCCCTCAAACCGAACTGGCTCTCGTTGCCGGTTGTAAGATTTCAGCTCGTCGCGGGGAACAAGCCAAGTCTTGATTGCTTGGTTGGTTGTGTACTGCCCACCCACACTTACATTCATTCCACTAGCCGAGCAGGAATCTCCCATTCCACACAGTATAGTTTCAGTTGTTAGGGCCTCATACTCGGTGCAAAGAGTACTTCCGGAGAGCATAGTATTGCGATACAGCATTATCACTGAAAATATGGCTACTAGAACTAGTAGTGCAGATAGTAAAACTGCCCCAAAATCAGATGTACATATCAGGCATTGTTTTGGTCCTGTATGTATAAGATATTGCAATTAATCCTCGTTTATGCCCTATAAGCAAAGTACCTTCACAGATAGAGACATATCCTGGAGCTTCCTTTCTTTCTTCTAGCACATGAGTATCTGCAGGAATCAGCCTCTGAGCACCTATGAAGGAGGTATAAGAAGATTGCTGTAGCTACATAGTTTAGCTAAATTACCTAGCTGCAAACACGCCTGTAATAGTTAGCTATCATGGTAGTCGCTAAAACTGTAGCTAGAGTGACTAGCTAGTTGAGCATCCATGTGGGTGAGATGTGTAGAAACAATTTTCAGCACAGCGACTCCAGCCTCTGAAGTCTCCGTTGGGCAAACAGCTTTGCTTTATTCACAAGCGCACCAACCCTAACACCACTGACTATATACTTCAGGAGAAAAAAGGGAGCATGCTTTGCAAAATGCACCATCCATTGATCGACTATACTGCAGCCATGAATGGGCTTTAACCCAGTCAGCTTTAAACTTCCTATTGCATCCATTCATAATATATGTTGTGGGGTAGACAATGCTGTTATCTGGGATCTTATTGATAATTTAATTTTCAATCTTAGATCATCAGATAAGTTCCGCAAAAATTCATGCCCATTCTGTAAAAGTATAGCCCAATATCAGTGCATGTATGGTGAATGACAGGATTTTTGCCGGACAATTCACAGAATAACTAACAATAGCCACATCACTCTCACCAACGGCAAGACGCTCAAAGTTCTCACTTGCATTCTCATGTTGGGTGTCACCATCATTAACAGCCAATTCTTCATCATCAGCCTCACTACCTTTTACAATGAGAAGTAAAGCACATCAGGTCTTACAACTAGTATATGTCAGAGTAAGCCTAGGGCTAGGGCTGGGTGTATAGCCCCGTGGCTCGCGCGCACAAAGTCGCCGCCGCTGCTTGCGCGGCAGATGAGTATATTATACGTGTGGGCAGAGGAGGGGCCGTGATGCGCTCGGCCTGGTAAAAAGGGTGAACTCAACGAACAAGCCTAGATCCGCCACTGGATTACGCGCCAGGCGGGGTCACTACCGTAAGGTTCAACCGGAGGAGGTCGGACATGCGCAGGGATTGCGTCATTTTAATTGAAATTTATAATTTATGCTGACACAACCCGTGTAGAGTGATAAAACAGCGTGCTCTAGAAAAAACGAAGCGGGGTTCGGAGAGCAACTGACTCGATGTAATACGTAAGAAAGATACTGAAAATCCTATTATCCCCAGCGATCCCCTACCGCTCGGCAAGTTATAGTGAAGAATACTCCGTCAGACTCGCCCTTGAGCCAAGCTAAATGCACAGTTTTTGACAACTCTCTGTGTGGTTTTAAGCGAATTCTCGGTCTGTGTTGTCAACAAACAAAGCATAGGGCGAGCATGTTGTCGGACGTCGTGCATTCCTCAAGGCGCTAATTGAAATTCTTGTACGATTCACGTTACCGTGTCCGTCCGCATGATCTCGCGTACCGTGTTGGCAACTCTTTTATACGCCGAAGCGACCGGAACACGCCGCGCACGTAAGAGGGGGGAATCATGTGACCATGTCGTTTTGATCAAGATCGCGCATACTATATACTGGGTCGTAGCTAGTTCATACGTACTTACTAAGCATTTAGCTATGACCAAATGCTGGTTTCCGCGTACACGCTACGGTCATATATTCGGAATCTTACTGCCATAACTGTTGAAGACTGAGCCACCTCCGTGAACCAAGATATGCCCACCACCTGCTGAGTCCACAGCGGCACTTGGCACTTGAGAATAGGTAGGCATCGGGTCTGAGGGAGCTTCAGCCATATTATTCCGCCTTAGGTAGCTAGCTAATTGTTCAGTGACTATAGGTTGAGCAATTTATGCACGAACACATAAGGGCATTTGGTAGCTACTACACACCACAGCTATATAGGGTCGAGGTGATGTCAGCATCACTCACTTATTGTCACCTCATATCTGGTCTGATCTCATGTCCAATATTCATACGTGACGTGATGTAATGTTGTGTATGTCATTAGCTATACATGCCACTCCTGGGGTTGTGTTTACCGAAAGTAGCTCACTCCAACTACACACGGCCCTGTTACGAATTCCGGAATCGAAACTGCAGTGCATTTTTGGCGAGCGGGGACGCATGTATGACGTAGCTTGTCCGGCTGCGCGGTATGGGCCTGCAACAACGTGTGGTTTTCAGCGTCAAAATGTGAAGCACTAACCAGTTAACTCTCAGTGTGCATGCGCAGCGAGGGTTACTGTAGTCAGTTTAAGTCGACATCTCACTACACGAGCCATCGGTGGTTCCACAAACAATACCACGTATTCAGCGTCGGGTATAGGTCGAAATGTATGTGAGGTTTTCTGTGACACTGCTGCGTTCGAGAGTTATGGCGTGAAACGCGAGCGAATAAGCCAATTGCTAGGCTTACTCGAGCGGGTGATCTTGCTCTGTGTATCTTGAAGGCACAAGAAGTCACAACGAAGGGCGTTTATCGACTCCCGCATGCTATCTACTGCTGTACCGTGTCAGGCTCTCCGCGAGCTACTAGCGTGAAGACCACGAGTAAACGCATAGTAATAGCCCAGCCCATCAATTAGCGGCACCGTGCATGCGCAGTTCGCCGATTGCACTTCAGTTTCCACTAATTAATTGTGCAAGCAGAAGTTATTGACCTTTTGGTTTACGAATAAGAATTTTTCGATTCGTTTGAGATATAATTATACTGCTTTGAATAATTTGAATGTAGCTAATAAGGAAATGCTAGGCCAAGGCAACAAACTTTCTATATAGCTGATACCTAAAATTTTTATGGATACTAGCTAAAGTCTAAAACTAAAGCCTCTGTTACCAGCTTACTTACCTGTGTCTCCTTACTCCTACTATGAGGATTCCACAGAGCAACTCCATATAGACATGGATTACTAAGATTCCATTACCATTTTTGCGAGCCATCATGGAACTAGCTACTACTAGAGCGTTTGTAATTCCACTCTATTTATACTGCTGAGTCAACTTTATTAGAGTCGGTAGACTCTCTATATAGGGATGACACTGGTGAAATCCCACGTGATCCGCGTACAAAAC